TCACCTCTTCCCGTCCTCACATCGCAACGCAACGCAACGCAACGCAACGCAAATCCTATAACCCGCCAAGGGTGGGTTTTGTGTAACAGTAACCTCCAAAGCCCATCCTGCCATTACCACACGGTCCACGCCACCCATCTGCCACCCACTCAATCCCTCTTTGACTTCGTTATCATTGAGGACGGGACCGTCCCGCAGCAAGCTCCATCCCACATCTACATACCCTGCCCAGCGCCTTGTACGGCAAGCCATTCGGCCAACGGGCTTACATACACTGGCACGACTGGGAAGTCTGGGACTGATCCCAGTCCTCCCTACCACCAGCACCCCGGTGCTCCTGGCTTGAACCTTGAAGCCGTCTCCACGTCCCACGAGGTCCAACTATCTGCCCGGACATAGCAAACCGGACGAACTGACGGATGGACGGCGCCACGCTAAAACGGACACTAGACGCAAATGTTCGGACTGTCTTCCTGCCCCACAAACACCAACGACCCCCGAACATTATTGATATTGCCAACAACCCTGCCCGCTCGCTCGCTGATTGATTCCATCATCGCTACGGAGTACATACACCTTGAAACACACTTCCTATCACCGCGTAGTCTCCAAAATCCAAATCACAAGAAATGGAACCTCAGCTACCTTGCGCATCCCACCCCCCGGGGTCCTTGGCTCCCGCTCCTCCTTGCCAACAAGTCATTACGACTCAGTGAGAGAACGTGGTTGGTCGTGTCTACCTCCCGGCTTCACTCGCCCAACGCGTCACATCCACAACGGAATCCACGCCTTTTGGGGAATGGAAGCCTCCATATCCGTACACCCATTCACTGCAATACTGGCGTGAATCCACTTCCACATCAGCACGCCTCTGCTCCTTTCAGAAAGAGCGAGTCTTGGCATCTCACAGGGCTCCAGGGTCCGCTCAACGATCGCTCCTTCGCTCCTGTTCCCGTCCTTGTCCCGTCCTCTTCTCCCAGTCAACTGGTATGCTACCAATACGATTACCGTTTATGGGTACAGTAAACGCACAATTGCACACGTTGTGCTCTGGCGCTGATTATCTGAAGATAATCCGTCTACGCGTGTATGGACACACACACCAAGAGACCAGCAACCCTGAACTTGAGAAGCACACATCAGCACCCGACTGGGCAATGTGCGAATTTGTGAAGTGTCGGGGGATCGAGACCCCTGGCTCTTTCGGATTTGCCTGTCGATCTCTCGTGGGGACTCGACCGACATCGCCGAAGACGAGTATTAGTACGAGAGTACGGAGGAGGAGTTTGCTACCCTCGAGAGAGCTTAAGCGCACCAGAAATCAGAGCGCTTGCTCGTGGATTTGACCGTATGATGGCACGCCATTGCCCGCTTCCTCCTTGTTCCTTGTCCGGATCTGCTGTCTCACCAACAGTAGCTAGCCGAGCAGTTTGACTTTCGTCAAAATCGTTACCTCGCCGATATGCAGCTTTGCGGGAATTCTATTCCAGGCCTACTAGGCGGCCGCTTGCTCGGAGATTCCTCCTAGGTATCGTCCAGAGCATTGTCAACTTTACTTGCCTGCCGGGGCGGCAACAAGAGATGCAAGGTTAGGGGTTCCTAAGTCTGTACGGATACACTACGGATACCCAGTGGCTTCATCTCCCATCTCAGGGCTCGTAGGCTCCTCTCCACTGTCTCCAGACCCCAACATCTCGAACAAGGATGGCACGGCACAGACTTCATTGGCCGGCCAAGCCAAAGCTGAACACGAAATCACCACTCCGTAAACCACTGAAATCCTCCCCAGACATCAACCATGTCAAGTCGCAACAGGAGCCAGCTCCGCTGGATCCTTGTTTTTGCATCCATATTGCATCGTTACACAAGTATCCGCAGACAAATTTCAAAAAATGAGCCCGCCCATTCCTCGGCCTCGACGCTTCAAGAAGAGGCAATGAGCCCTGTCTGTCAGATTCGCGGCTGTTACATCAACAATTATCGGGGGGCTCACAGCCCAAGCAGATCGCGCCTTCGCAAGTCTATCATGAAGCCATGTCTTGACTCTTGAATCCTCAATACACGCGGGTCTTGCAGCATTGTGCGCGTGAGTTGCACGCGCGAGTTTGGAGGACTGGCGCAATTCGCGCAAATACAAGTGTTGTTAAACTGGCGCGGAGTGCGCGGCAATTCTATTCCTGTACGCAAGACTGCGTGCTTTACACCAGTCGACGCCATTAACGCCAAAGTCCTCTTCCAGGGCCCTGCTCGCTAATTAGGCATCGGGATTTTGAGACCTGCTTCTTTGATTCACCAACCCCTTGCCTCTCAAATCGGCAGATCAGAAACGAGATAGATCTTGGGCAGCTCTAATCACTTCTACTCGGCAAGGCGGAGTCGTGTTGGTGGTCAAATGTTCTGTTATGAAACGATCTGCAAGCATCTACGGGGAAGGATTCTCCCAAAGGAGACAACACGCCCGTGGTGGTACCAGCTTGTTGGTCCAGGACTCCAGTACAGCGTCGACAGATGATCCAGATCGAGGCCTTCGTGTAAACTTTGCGTCAACGCTCTCAAGGGTTTTTTATCGTCTCATGGTTCTCTTCATACTTGCCCCCTGCAGATGGCCTGACCAAAGTTGGTCCTGTAGGGTTTCTCTCAAGGCCCATTACAAAGTAGGATCCCCGTGACATTCAAAACTCGGGCTTCTTCCGGGGTCAAGATGTGCCTGGTCTTTTTGCGGCCGCCGATAAATGATTAGTAGATGGTGGCATGCGAAGTTGGGCCAGCTCACGATGGCACATTAACAAGAAGATACCCACCGTCATTGCGTGAGTTTGTTGGATTCGGATCGGCGGGATCCATGACAAGAGCTGAAATACCTAGGCTTGCTATTGATAGTCTGGGGACTGATCTTTCTCTAAACTAGCTTTAGAACAGCATGGTGACAGCAGGTCAGTACCAACCCTCGCGTAGCGCCCAACACGGTGATCGCTTATTGTCTCGGGATTGCATATTGTTGGTCCAGGCCTAGGTCGACCAACAATATGCAGTCTATAATTGTACTGATTGGACGGTGGTATCGCCTACCATCTACGGTTACTGCGAATACTGTGCTCACTCATTCTCAGCCGTTATCTGGTTGTCGGAAACGATCCTGCGACCATATTTGACCAATATCAGAGCGTACGGCCGTTAACTCTACCCAGGTTCTCAGCAGCTCCATCGCGTGACTGAGATATGAACAGTCGAATCAAGGTAGCCGCCAGGATACAGAAAGCGAACTCTTTCCTACGTACATCCAACGTTCCTCCATCGACTCAAGCTCCTCGGTTCCTTTTCCCCAAACGACCAGCGAGCCACCCCGAAGCATGAAGCATTGTGACGACACACGCACATCCCTACTAGATCTAAGCCCAGGGCTGAGAAGACTTCGGGGGAGATGAGAGGAACCAAGTGAGCACAGCCACGTCTTTCCATCTTCCAAGAGGCGTGTTGCATGTACATCATTGCCGTCCCCTCCTCCTCACCCCCCTTGCCGTGGCTGTTTGCTTGCTGCTTCGGACTTGTCTGCGCCTTCTCAATCTTCAACCTTGCCCTGCCCTTGCCCTGCCCTGCCCTGCCTTCGCCATGTCTTTGGCGGCTGGCGCCCCCCTACTCTCTCTCCACCCCCAAGCTTCTTCATGTTACACAACGTGGGTCACTCCTCCAGAGTCCATACAGGACAGTGGTTCGACTTTTGTATTACGGGCCAATACCGGGCTGTTTGCTCCCGCCGAGGCTGGGCCAGCCTGTCTTGTGGCCCCCAAATATATGGAGGCCCGGGGAGAGAGGGCAGCACGGATGACGGGTAGCTTATCTTTACAAGGTGTACCTGGCATGTTTGGATGATGGAGGAAGGGGAGGGGGGAGAGGGGAGGCGCAAAATGAGACCTGGCCCAAAGAAGTCGTGTCGTGGGTGTTAGAGGTGAAGAAGCGTAAGATCTACAGGAGATGGAGGGGGTGTCTATGACCTTTGTTCCCAGCGGTAATGGTGGTGGTGGTGGTGGTGGTGGTGGTGGTGGTGGTGGTGGTGGTGGTGGTGGTGGTCAAACCAGTCCTACGGAATCGGAGCAACGTGTGAGTGAGCAAGGGGTCTGGGGTCCCGGACGGGAATCCGTAGGAACGAAAAGCGCCGCATGTTCCAGTGGGCGATGGGCGCACGCAGCCCCTTTTCTTTCTTGACACGGAATCTCGTCAGGAGAAAGCAAACATTTCAATTTACTCCGTACCCAAAACCCAGGTCCCGGGAACCGCCTGCCGTCGAAGAAAGGCCCGACGTCCCTCTACGGGATCTCTGCTTCTACTGGCTTCTTGGGCCATGCCCCTGAAGATTCTTCGGCGTCGGCCGCTGCGGGACGTTTTGGAGTTTGTTTGTACCTCATTTGCTACGCACTGCGATCAAGTGCTTGGACGAGGCCCAAGAAGGAAGAGGAAGAGGAGGACATCTCGGAAAGGAGCTAATGTCTGGTTCCAGGGGTTCTGCTTACTTACATGGTTATTAGTTCTTGACATGTACACACGTAGACAGACAGAACACATATGCCGTTGCCACAGGCATGGAAGCCATATGACCGTGTGATGGATAATCCCTGAAGCAAATAAAGGGCTGACGATGAACGGAAAACTCGGCATGGGCAAAGGGTGCAACGTTTGATAAGTTGCTGACTGTGACATTGAAGGTAGGAAATCATTGCTTGTTGATGGGCGCTACCCGAGACGCCGTTTTATGCCATCCCCTCTTCTCAAATATAATGAGGTAACTTGAAAATCCAACGCAGCCAAACATCAGTCCCAAAGTTTGGAGCCTGGCCAAATTGAAGCAAAAACGGGGGAATCATTGTCCATCGTGGAGCACTTCCATCGCATGTCATCCTTCGCCCTACCATCATAACTCCATGTCATCCATTACAAAACATTGCGTCAGCGCATGCCTCTCAGGGGTCGCTTTTTGCTGTCATGTTCATGGCCTTCCAATGTCTCTACACCTGGTTCGAGCTGTCGCCGGTGCTGTTGGCGTCCCTGTCTTCCTGAATCTCAACCCACCTCCCACTGCATTGACCACAACGCACGTGAGAGCAGTTCACACAAGCCGAATGCACTTTATGGTCTGCCTCCCATGTACACGAGCACTAGGCGTCATATTAGCATATCTTGACAGGCCAGAGCGAAGAAGTCTCAGGGTCACTCACGCATTCCCACATGAATGTCTTCATCCGCTTACGGCCGGGCTGCTCGGCGCCATCGTCCAGGCCTCTCTTTCTTGACTGACGGTTGACACCTCTTCCATTAATCGTCGACTTTCGTGAGCCAGACATGATTACAATGTCATCGGCCGAGTCTGCATCACTCAAGTCGTCCGAAGATCCGGTGGCGTTGACGTCTGGCGAGTCAGGATCGACAGCTACCCACTGGGAGTGGTCCTTCTTGATTAAGCCGTCACGTCCAGCGTAGTGGTTGTCAATATGATCGAATCTTTCGGCCCAGGCGGTGGCACCCTTTTTGTTGATGTCGACGATCTTGACACAGAAGCCACACCAGAACTTCGGTTCTCCGTTTCGTCCGACGCGACACTCCTCGAGGACCTTCTCGATATTGGAGGAGTCGCCCATCTTGTGTTCCTTTTGAAGATGACTTCGGAAAGTTTCCCGACGATGGCAAACCTTGCCACAACTCTCATTGTCACCTTCAGACCGTTGTTCGGAACACTTCCATACCTCAAGCTGGAAATGCTGGCTGTTCTCGTGACGTTTCCAGTCATTTTTGCTGCCGAACTTCTTCTTGCAACCGGCAAATGTGCATCCATACGGCTTTTCGTGACGCTTCATGTGCTTCCTATCCCTTGGTTAACAGCCGATACATGTGGAATGACAGGAGTAATACACACTTAAGTTCACACCTGCGGTTGAACACTTTATCACAGGCAGGGTCTGAACACCGATGCTGGCCGTCAGCACTGCCGTTTGTGGTCGGTGTGGATCTCTGGAGAGGCGTTTCCATCTGTGTCTTTATAAATGTCTCAATGACGGTTTTGGGCATCTTTGAGAGTAACTCGAGCATGGCCTGTTCACTCATACTCTTGTTTGGAGATGCGGGAAGAGGCTGATTAAATATTTGCTCTCCCTGGGCCGAATCATTGTTGGCAGGTTGGCTCCTAAGAATAGTCTCGTCCGAAGCACAAGGGATCGAGTTAGTGCTAGTGACCTCGGAATCCAAAGGATCTATCGGAGATGTCTCGAAAATCTCGTTGCGGGCTCTGCTTGGTCCATTGGTATTGAGATTGATATTCATCTCCATGGCGGCAGGAGCGCTCGCGGAATTGCCTTCGCGAGTGAAATTGGATCTTTGACTCCTCCTCTCTCCAATCATGATCCTTGGAGATGGCGCTTTCGAAACTTCTCTAGGCTGCACATATTGGTGGTGAGATTGAGGGCTGTCGCAGACCGATTGGCCATCATTTTCGTGCAATGTGGAGTTGGAAATGGCCTTGTCCGCAGTGGATGATTCAAGACAGACGTTGCGCGCTGAGCCGCCAATCTGCGTCAAGGACGGGTCGATGAGGTTGATCTCCAAGCCATTTCCTGGATGCTGAGGGGAGAGTTGAACATCGTCATACATTGGCGATGGACCATCGCCCCAGGCCATAGAAGGAGCCTGGTAGTACACCTCCGAGCCCACGCCCACACCTTCAAGGACGTCTTGTGTACTTTGTTGATACGTTTCTCCCAATGGCCTCTGGGTAGTTCTGTATCCTGTTAGGCGCCTTGAACAGCTACAAATGTTTCTTGACTTATGCTTATTGACTCACTGGACAACATATTCGCTAAGATCATCCTCGGGATTCACAACGATACTATGCACCCGCTTCAGGTGTTGCCTGAAATTGTCGGCTCTCGGCCATATCTTGTTCTTCGTTGAACATGGTCCTTCATAGCAGCGATATCGCGGACCCGAGTTGAAGAGCTCGGGGTGCACACTTCCTCTGTGTCTCTCAAGGTCATTTTGGGTGCCAAACCCCTCTGCACGGGTACATCCTTGAACATCACACTTGAAGGCTTTCTGGTGACGCTGGTGATGTTTGCTACCAAATTAGTATTAACGATGTGCTTCTAAAGTGTAGGAGTGCACTGCTTTCGATACTCACTTCAATTCCGACTTGGTCTTGCAGATAGCACGGCAGTGGTCACAAACCAGCTTACTATCGGCCGCACCATGATGTGTCACTGACATGGGAGTAGCCCCTAGGTTCCAATGAGACTCGGTAGGCGTTGGGCCCAGTTGAAAGTCCAATAGTTGGCCCGAGATACTGTGAGTGTCTTGACTTCGGTCCACATCGTTGAAGACAGATGCGTTATCAACGCTATGCTTGGTCCTACTCTCATAACCAGAATCTGAAGGCAAGTATTGTGGTACGGTACCGCATTCTGAAGCGAGAGGGCTCCTCCATCCGCCCCCGAAGTGAGCCTGATTGCGGCGCCGAAGATCGCCTGAGACATTCAACTGCTGAGTTTGATGAGAGTCGGGAAAGATTCCGGCGGGAACCCATGGTTGTGAAGTGTCATTTCCATAGAAGTTCATCAATGCCCATGGCACTGGTGCAGTCTTTTGGGGAGGAAAGCCCTGATTTGTCGTCTTTTCCATACTGGCTCGTGTGTCTGAGCCATGCATCGAAGCCATCTGGTTGTGCTTCGTAGGATCCATGATCATAGTCCGAGACAGGCTTTCATCGACCAGAGGTCGGCAGAAATTGGTTAGGAACCGACTAGATCTGATGACTTTAGCTGGGAACTATTCGCATGGCGTTAGGCACATGTTGTATTGACTAGAGGAAAGCATGTGCACAGTATCAAGTCAACAGGCACTGGCCCGAACTGAGGTTATAACCTCATAGTGCTGATGGGTTTATTTGATGGATAAAGAGAGGAGGATAACCAACTCAAGATTGAACCAAGGTCACCTAAACTTGATACCCAACCACCTTTGTTATGTTCAGTGCGTGGCGAAGAGGTCTTGACTCGACCCGAGTCCAAGTCCACCAAGTATGAGCCGTTCCTCGACCGAATAAGCCTCAGGCCGGCGCAGATAGGGGCGTTGGCCTCTGGATTGATGTTTTCGGACGAAGAGAAATCCGGACGACCAAGCGAAGGGGGTAAGGTTGATGCAGTTCAATTACCGGTCCGTAGTGGGTCGGTCGGAGCCGGGAGAGGACAGTAGATTGCCGGACTAGCAAGACATGGGTAGCTGGGCGACCGAGTGGGCGAAGTATCGCGGGACGCAAATCGCAGGGTGAAAGACGACAAAATGGAAGAAGCGCAAAGGTTTGTTCAGGCGATATGGGCACGGGCAGGACTTGTAGTCATTCAGGCGAGAGTAAAGGCAGTCAGTTGGCGGCCAGGAATGAGGAAGAGGATGAAGGGCGTGACTGATGTTGAGGAAGGTGCGGCTTGGGTGAACAGTTTGGGGGGACCGGGCCAATGAGGCAACCGCGAGGGCGCAGTCATTCGCTTGTCCGCCCTGCTTTTTGGGGAATTCTCGGTGAGCAGAGTACGCCGTCGCCTCATTCCATCCAATCAACGGTCAAAGAAATGTAGGCAACCACACGAGGCAGCCAGCAAGGCAACCACCGCCGCACCTTTACAGGCGTCCCAAAGATGGTTCGCCATTTTTCCACTTCCATCACCGCCACAACCTGGGCCGACCGAACAAGCAAGAAAAAGCAAGCCGAAGCACAACCGTTCAGAAAAGACAAGGACATACTGACAGATAACGGGTTCGATAAAGACCTTACACGAGGTCCACGATCATCTATTCCAATGCCAGAACACTCCCTCTTCTCAAATCGTCCTGAAACCGGCGAGAAAATGGAATATCTGAATTAACGCGATTGCGAGTGAACGCAAACCAAGGTACCTAACCTGAGAGAGCATATTCTCTGTCCCACTCATTCCTATGCAACACTTCTGCCAGCCACGGACAGTTTACCCCGAATCTGCGCTCTGGGGGCATATCTACACGAGAGTTCGACTCTTGTCTCTCTCGGCTGACACAACCAATTTTGGCTGGGACGCTCAAGACCAATGAGGTCATCAGTAGCCCCTATTTCAATGTAGAGTACAAGGGCTTAGATGGCGATCGCTAGATCATGGGCTATCATCTATTCGTACTTCCATGGTCTCGATAGTGTCAGTCCTTGTCATTGAGCCGGGCCGGAACCACCTGTATGGCTGCGAAAATAAGGTAGGTAGGCGACATCCTCGAGCCTGAGCCGCCATTTTTGGGCATCATCGCATCCAATTTTCGGCCAACTATCAGTCACCTGAGGTTATCCGCACACCGGTGCTCGCTCCTGTTTCCAACAAAGAAGCTGACCAAGCTTGTCGACAAGCTTTACGCAAGGGCGCACACTCTTAACTACGACGCGGCAGCAATGTCTTCATTGCAATACACTGACGGCCGTGAGCACCGCAATGTCCCTTTTCACGGTTCCGCCGAACTTCTTCTCTCGCAGCCATCCATGTGTATCTGTCCCCTCGTTTCCGTTGGGCAAACTGCACATATCCAAGGGCGTGAGCGCTTTTGTGGGGGAGCAAGACCCAGGTTGGATAAGCATGACAGGAAACGAGAGTGTGCTTCGGAAAAGATATGATATGTCATTATTGATGTCGCTCTCCGATAGTACAGACATTCGCTGCGTACGGAGTCTTTCGGAGCTTGCTACTTATTTCCGATGACCTACCGTTCACTTGAAGATCAGTAGTCGTGGATGGCTACATATGTATGCGATTACAAAACGCTCAACTGAGCGGGGCATTGTCCCTTGTTGCACAGTATCACGAGTGCAACATGTTGGACACGACATTTACTCCCCACCACATGAGCCTTCGCTTTTGCGCCGCGCGGCTCCATTGTGTTCTTACGTCTCCAGGATCATGGCATCCATAGATTTTACTTTAAGGGGATCATTCGGCCGTATCTTCGGATTCGCCTGGTGGCTCGCCCGTTTCGCAGACGGATATTCGATGTTTGCTCTTTGCCAAGGAGCGAGTGTCCCTCTCAGCTTACTTAAACCCGCCTATCGGGCCGCTCCGCAAGATGCAAGCGACTTGGATCCCAACCTGACGGTCTAGACTGATTGGGTGGCACAGGTGCCACCCTCTCGGCCGTCAAATTCTTGACGTTGATAATGTCACACACACTACTTCCAGTTGCGAGACGAACTTGATGCGATGATGGGAGGAACAGAACAAGAGTGTAGATCATCCACAACTGACAAGGTAATAGCAACGGCGGTGGCTGCCCGGTTGAGAATAGCAAACATCTGCCGATATACTGAACAGCACTGCGTTTAGACGGGACGGCCCAGTAATGTCCCGGAGGGCCGCTCAACGTCGTGAGATCGATGCTATTAAAGACATGTTGATGAACGTCTGCTACAGAGCCATGATGTCAACTCAAGATGTTTCAACTTTAATCTATTTTGCAACGTGTACGTGGAAGGAACATCCTGGCGTTTCATCAGTATATCTGGCTCACTGGTGACTTCATTCTATGCCTCAAGGCCCGAGGCAGGCTTCGAAGCGCCTCGTGCCGGGAAACGAACTAGTTCCTGCATTCTCTTCATCTACCCGGCCAACGGATGCAGTCTTCTCTTCCGGCCTGCATGATCCATCACCTCTATGGCCAAAGGCTAGGTAGCTTTTGGAGCTCGCAAGGAGTAAATAATGGGTGATCTCGCCCCCACCATTCCACGTTAAACCTGGTCATCCTCACGAGCAGGTATCTTGACATGGCATGCCACCAATATGGCAGCAACACACGCACAGTGTGCCATGTACCCAGGCTTCTCAACGTCCTTCGGCAAGGCCCTTTGCGTCCATGTGCAAATCGACTCTTAGATAAATATGACAGATATTGTTGCGGCCGATACTTTGAAGCTCGGGGATGTGATGTATATAAGATCGAGCGAACTCGCCAGAGAATAACCACAGAGATCCTCCTCATATTCACCTCTACTCACATCGTCTACTTCGTTCAGATCACAACTCCTTGAGTAGCACTTCTTAGCTTTCACGGCTCTCGCAAAACCACGCTTTTTTCGGATAGTCTCAGTTGTAGGACATCCCTTGAAACGGATCTGGACGGCCAGACTGTACGTATATAAACGTTCTCTTGTAATCATAATGTTTTCAACGAGCTGACTCAGAGTCGCAGCTGCTGTTATAAGCTTAATCAGATTACAAAGAGCACGAAGTACTCCCCCACCGAAAACCCCCCATCTCAAGATGTGCGACTGGGAGGAGTTCCTCTTCACCTGCAACCACTCCGTTCTACGGCTCAAGTCGTACTGCCACTTTGCCCGCAACGATCCCGGCCACCAATGCTTCGGCGTCAAGGTTCTTCGCAACTCGTGGCAGCAGAGCGTCCCGTGCGATAACTGCATCTTGGCCTGGCAGGGTCAGGGTCACCCGCATTTCGGCACCGGGCAGCATCGTCAGCAGGAGTTTATTGGCGGCCAGCAACAACCTCCCCATTAATTCAGTCCAGTTGCTTTCAAGCCTTTTTTTGAGAGCACCCTTGCGCGTCAGGGGGAGAGTGGCATGGATTATCATTGGGCCAGGTGCGAATACCGTAGAGATAGGGGCTTCAAGTGTACGCCAGATTGTCTATACAGCAACTGTGATTTTCGAAGATGTTTCAATAGCTAGAGATCGCAAGAGTTTCTGTCCCACACAGAATGTTAGCGTTACTTGATTTGTGGGGGATGGTAGAACGAAAAGTATATGGTGGTCACACTCAGTGTAATTGTCCTCTTTCTCATTTATTACAATGAAGTGGGGTGGATGACAGTGTTTCCCTGTTCTAGGAGGATGATGAGCAGCCTGGGAAGTTGTGTTACATGGTCTAGATTTCTGTAGGAACGACCCAAATCTTACGCGGGCTTATGCATGTTATTACTTTGACGAGGAGTGACGTGAGGACTGACATCGGTCTGATGTTTCTGGGATTTGTTGATTCCGGAGTGCCTGGAGTAAAGTACCAAGGCTCACTCCGACACGGTTCTGCAAGCATTCGTTACACACTTTTCAAGAGTAGGTAGAATACTGGACAGTATTTAAGACATTAAACTGAACCCTGAAACGAAGAGGACATTCATCTGTGATTGAGGCTGCCCATTTACACGCTTCGCTGAAGCCTCAGGCCCATCAAGATTCGTACTTCATGGCGAAACTTCCCCAAATTCCGCTACTGACTATTCTCCAGCCAGACAGAGCTAAACCAGTTGTCAAAGGTTGTACACTCGAGTGTAGAGTCCCGTACTTCGACATCTCCTAAACAATTTCACCGAGTCCCAAGACTAGCGCCGTCCGTTCTAGGTCTCATCAGAGATGGCAGAAGCATACTCCATGTCATAAAGAAGCATTTCATTCAGCATGAATTACTTTGGAACAACCGGATCTCAAGGTGCCCAACCATACGATGTCGGGCTTAAGCTAAGTGCGTAAGCACGATGAACAAGTACTTCTGCAAGGTATGTCGTACAAAGGGACTCCAGAGATTGAGCTGCCCCTATGAAACGGGATTTGTGACGCTGTTAACGCGATCAGTTTTCTGCAGGGCAAGTCGAAGGAAAAGGGATGAAGAGCTGAAACGCAAGGCGATGTTAATGGCTGGGAGCCTGCAGTGACTCTAGGACACGTCATTTGTCATTTGTTCAACGACTTAATGATTTGGAAATCTCTGCTCAGCCACATGGTTTTCGTATTCAATATAAACTGGTGCCCGAGATATGGCTGTTTCTTTAGTCGAAGTAGATACTTGTCGTGAGCGATTGGGCGTCATTTCACCGATCGTCGATGTAGGGGTAGCTACTTACGCCCGGGACTGTGTCGCGACGTCGTGCAAGAACAGTGGCATCGCATATGAACGACGTATGCAGTACACATTCTAACACATGTGTGTGGGTGGATTAGGAATTTTTATCGCACACTTCCTTGAGTATAAGGCAGCTTTACATCGGAGCCTTGTAATGTGCGATGGAATCTCGATATCATGGTAGCGAGGAAACACATTTTCAGCTGTAGACGACTTAGAGATCAACGAATGTCTGGGTCTACATAACATGAGAGTAACTAGGGTCACCCGAGATGTTCTCTCACTCACTTCTCGGCGTGGGATTATTGACGCAAGGTATTCAGTTTAATTTTTACGTTTACACACGCTCATGGTAACGTCTCACAGCCAAATGACGGATATCCCTAGCCTCCCGCTTCGCCCACAACCTCCTTCACCCTTCGCTCGAGCTTCAGAGCCGAGCTTTTGGTAATCTTCATTCAAAGTTGGTAGCGCCAGCGACGCGGCCAACAATGTTGTAGCGCTTAGAGAAGAAGGTGATCCAGTCGTTAAGGACACCCTTCTCCTTGTCAGGAAGATCCTGCCAGTCGGCGCTGACGTCCTCAGCCTTTGTTGAGGTCTTTCCGAGAGCACGAGAGGCGTCCTTTCCAGCAAAAACTCAAGGGTTGTCAGTCATGATAGACTGCAAAATGAGATGAATGTTTTCCTTACCGTTGTAGGATCCTCCTGCTTGGTATGCCTTGTTACCTGTTACGTCGTATACGATTCCCTGGATCATAAAACATTAAATTTGCGTAGAAAATGAAGGCCGGCGTGTTTGATTACCTTGATCGCCACGTATGTCTTTCCATTGGGGTCTGAGCCTGTTATATTGTTAGAATTATTGGCGTGGGGTCTATACGATGATAAAACAGTTGCATGCGAGGCCAAGCATATATAGGCATCTTCGAGACCACTTGATGAAAGAGATGACTGAGCCGCAACCGTTTCCAGGTCCACGAACATGTGTTCATGAACTGCAGATTGGAAAAGATACTCGAGCACGATCTTAAGCCCCGCTCTCTTCAACAACTGACACAATCCCTCATGATCATTGCATCAAAAACATGCTGCCGGACAGTTTCGTAGCGGATAAGTAAAGGCAAGAACACTTCGACTTACCATCGGCCTTGGCCAACTCCTCGAGGGTGATGGGGTCATCCTTGGGAGGGGCCAGGGTGACAGGGTTCTTGGGCTCAAACTTTCCAGACATTTTGCTGGCCTTTGCTTGGCTATAAGCTGTTGTAAAGCTTGAAGTTATTGAGCTAGCGATGTAATGTTGGATGGATATGGAGTGCGAGGATTAGGAAGACGTCGACTTCTTACACACAAAATAGATGATGGCGGGGAGAAAGAAGCTCGGTATTTGCCCCTCTGAGCCTGGAGCTCTTCCCCACGGTCAAGGTGGGGGGGCACTTGCGACATTGCTGGCTGAGCCTCGGAGTAACTGCCTTCGTGTGATTGGTTGCGCATTGATTAGCATAGACCCACCAGAGCAAGAGCTCTAGACCTGCCGAACAATGCAGGCGAAACTCTCATTGATTTTTGATTGATACGTCACTTGACAGCCGCCCGATTACAGTCAACCACCACGCTCCGTCGCACGAGCTTGGCCCATACCGCACAGCTTGACCGAGCCCCGAGAATCGATACTGTGCCTGCTTCTCAATTGATGACAACGATGGCCGTGTCGCGCATTGCGGCATGTCGGGCAATCAATGGCCTGGGGCTTCGCCAGATCGCAAGGTCGCCCGGAACGTCCACAGCAGCTTTACGAGCAAGCACACCTCGGAATGCTTCAAACGTGTGCAGCCATACCCAATTCAGACACCAGAGCACTTCAAATCCTTCTTACAATGGCTCTAAAAGGAACAATGCCTCTTCTCCGCCGCCGCCGCCGCCGCCGCCACCGCCACCACCTTCCGCAAGTCAGCTTTTGAGGGCGATATCCTTTCGCTCGCTGTTAACTTCCCTGACGCCGAGGGGCATCAAGAGGATGTTTAGAGAAAGTCCAGAGGAGCTCGTGCTAGCACTAGCAATGTGAGCTATCTCAAGCCGTCGCTGTTTTCTAGGATAAATAGCTGACCCGAAGTTCTCAGTCTTGCTGGCTTGGCAGGTGTTTCCATCTACATCGTCAAATTGTACTTCGACTACTTCATGGCCCGTCAGTTCACCAAGTATCCCAAGCCCATCGCCAAATCCCTCCGCCGAGCCCTCTACTACACAAACATCAGCCCCGATCCGAATCTCGCGAGGAAATACTACAAACAAGCACTGGAACAATGCAATGAACTCCAGCTAGACCCGTTCTCAGATGATGTTTTGGGCATTAGGATCCAGACCGCGGCATGGCTCGAAAAGATCGGAAACTACCAAGGAGCCATTACTGTGTTGGATTCTGTGCTCAGAGACTGCCTCAAGTGGGTGGAATGGATGGAGAACTCCGTTGCAAATGGAACAGTAGAAAAGTCAGGAAAGCCGCCTGCCGCGAAGCCTCTGTTGGAAAATCAACGACTCGCAGTTCCGGAGAATGGCGAGGAGAAGGTTGTCGAAAACCTGTGGCATAAGCGCACCCGCCTTCTGGCCAAAGCCGTCGGAACTAGCACTAAGCTTGGTGCCCTTTACTCGGACGAGCATGTTTTGGAGCCAGAAAACTCCCTGGCCCGACTAACGTGGGCCGTCGAAACGGCACTGGCAGAGTCAAAACGACGCCACAAGGAAGGTGTCAAGAAGGATGAAGGTTCTTGGATGAGCCCAGAAGAAATTGGCGGTGCCATGGAGTGTTGGTCTCCCATGAAGCCCCCTATATCGTACCCGCTTTCAGGTTACTGACAGAGTTAATAGCCCTCGCCCAACACTACGAGACTAAATCCCAGTTCCATCTGGCAGTACCTCTCTTGTTCCAAGCATTACGACTTTGTGCTAGCCCTTGTCATCGAGTAACTATCAGTATGTCCTCAGGCCCCTGGATTTGAGTTAGAGTATATTTCAAAAATCAAACTGACACACTCTCCAGTGAACAATCTGGCTGCAGCATTTGCCCAGCACCCTCTTCAGACCCCGCTGGACGCCATTCCCAACGCGCCTGCCACTTCCGACGCAATAGTCAGTCCCGACATGCCAACAGACCGAGCCGGACTCTTGGAAGCTGCGAAGAACTGGGCTAGCAATGCTTACTCACACTCAAAGGATGTCAAGGGAGAGGACCGAACCGAAGAGTGTGACGAAGCTTGCGCCGTAGCATTAACAAACATGGGTGACATCGCTGCCCTACTGGGAAAGAAGGAGGACGCAAGAAAGCGTTTCCAGCAGGCAATCGACATGAGCAGGAAGATTGGCTTCGGTCCCGGCATCTCTCAGGCCGAAGCGGGACTTCAAAAACTCTAGGATTATAGAGATACGGCCATACAGACTGCTGGACCGCCCCGGGAATGTATTCCTCGCCTCGCTTGAGGTATTGCCGGGGCAAACCGGGAGCATCAGGATCCCATGTCGGCGAGCATATGAACATATCAAAAAGACGAGAGTGATGGTCCCCTCGCGCCCGCAAAGACCCTGCATAGGGCTAGGACTTGGCCAACAGAGACATGAAGCCGCTTCTGCAGCATCCTTCTTTCGACATGGACCTTTTCCAAATCGATTAGCATGGGTCCGCATATGTGAACCGAAAATAGGTAGATGATGGGGTCTTTATGCCTTCCTACGCCGTATCAATGGATTCTTGACTGGGGCGCATATGAGGACGGAGAAATACCACGACGGTAGCCAGGGGCCTCGACTAGGTCGGATTCAGCAGCATCATTGCATCCGGTGCAGGAAGTCCCGACTGTCATAATTGTTAGAGCCACCGCCCATCTAGAAAGATGGCAAACGATTCGAGTTGCTTGGAAGCCAGAAACGGACCCCCTTAAGCTCGATTCAGTACCAGCAGTCCCATTACACCAGTAGCAGCGAAAGTGCATACAGCCGAATTTGAGCCGAGCCGTTGAATGAGTACTTGTTCCGTATCGAAGAGCTATGCGAGGCCCAAGAAACGAAGCCGCCACAGTCTCTCACAGTCTCTCAGCCGGTCTCTCTTATGGTGTAAGGCGACGCTTTGATCAAACAAAGGACTGCTATGAACCCCTAAACATTCCCGAAGCCCAAGGCCCTGATTCTGATGGTTCGAGGGAACTCATCGTCGAAATTGGGACCATAGGTGCCCAGAAACTCACATGGGGCCAAAATGTGCTCTCACCAATCAAAGGGGCGAATGGCAACGGCTTAGCGTAAAGGCGGGTGCAGCTTGATGGGTCCAGAGGCCCCCTGCAGGCTCATCCCAGCAACTCCAGTGCTGGGGCAGACAAAAATTACCCTTTTCGGAAAATAGTTGGGATGAGTTGGAGAGAGACGGTCTTCGTGGACGAAGAAAACGCTGCCAGCCACCTACCATCAGTTGAACAGCCTGGACGCCGCAGAGTGGAATCTTACACCGACTTGCAAAGATTCCTTCTGCCTAATCTATAGTGGGAAACTACCATGTGGCACGCCCCCGCAGACCCCGAGACAAATCGCCAAACTTCAAAGTCTCGAGGCAAAACGGTGCTCGTTACGCCACCGTTGTTCGCGTTGCCATATCATGCAGCAATTATGCGGGAATACCACATCGTGTCAACTTTCTGGTGTCGCGTTGGATTCCTGGGGGTTGAAAGAGCACCGCACCTTCTGAACTTGAGCACTGAAGACCATTCGCATTTCTCATCGGTGTTCAAAATCTTGGCAGTGTAAGGGGCGCATTCGACCGTTCCGTATACTCCGCAGGCGCCTGATGTCGTAGGACAATCTGAAGACAGCATATGTCTATTCGCTTTCGAGAAGCGATTTCTACGTACAATCCTGCTGTTGTAGCCAGCTGTAGTAGCCATTGCGACTTCCAGTATTGACCTTCAGATACAACAAACAACATATGGTCGCCAATAACAAACCATGGCCTCAAGGACAGAGCCTTGCAGAAGTTTGCGAGTTTCTCCGTCATCTCATGGTCCTCGCTTTCCAGAGCAGGCACATTCCAACAGTCATATGGCCGCCGGCACAAAGTGTGACAGCCCTTTGCAGCTTGCGGCATTTCGGGACATCATGCCGGCATCCACTCAACCGCGATCTTCAAGAAGCAGCCCTTATCTTTGTGGATGAAATCCATCCCGCCATATCTCAAGCGCTTTTTTTTTCCCCTCCTTCCCTGGCCCGTCGTGGCACGTGGCTCATGCACGCCATGAAGAGCGAAGGCTCATGTACCTGGACATGAAGATGAGTCTGTCTCTCATGTTCCACGAATCTCAAGGACAGAACAATTTTAATCAGGTCAACTGAGTGCTTCCCTTTGTGACAACAGTGCATGGCACCACCTTGTCCAGCTCTTGACTGGGCAAGCAATCACACTTGATTAGCAGAATAGCAACGAAGGGAACTGGCCTTTGATTTTGCCAGAGAAATCTCTTTTGCTACAGCCGATAGTGCGCCTACACCTACCTATCAAAGAGTCGACGGAGATTGGACCCGAAATTTCTCATGGAATTCCGCTCTGCTAGTATTTACCCCGTCACATTAGAAACGCCAACTTATAGGTTGTGGGCGAACGCCGAGTTGAAAGACACCTCCATGGATACATGGACGGACGAGGCCTTGGTATCTCATTCGACAATTTTGTTCTGCTTCTCGCCCGGGGCCTGTAGCAGAGCGCTACGGGGACTGTATACCAAGGCCTACGTTCGTGAATTTTGGCTCAGCTATTCGTAACTCACCTGCTGTCGCCAAGGTGGGTCGGCAGCTTTTAAAATAGACTTGACTCGGCCGAGCTCTAACCTCATCCGTCCGTCATCAATCCAGCTCTACGGATTGAATCTCATCTTCCCGGGCCAGGATTACTCTATCCTTAGTCGAGGCCAGATGAACCAGTCTACGACTGTCGTCACTCACCAATACACACGATCCATGGCCCACCGTAGAGGCAACAGAGACCACGGGTTCTCAAGCCAGCTTCCTTCGCATTATGGGGGCTAGTACCCTTCGAACGCCCTGACAACGCTTGAATCCCCGTAAGTATGGTTCCACGGGAAATGGGGACGCGGGTAACGCTAACGGCTGCAGCATGACAAAACAAAGCTGGGCCTGTGATTGGCATGTTCGTACAGTTGTGGAAGACTAGGGTTCGAAAATACACCAAGAATAATACAGCCATGCATCAGAACCCCGCCCTTCCGCTGAACTCGGGAGCGGAGAATGGGGTCGAGAAGACTTCAACAGGGACAATATATGGCTGCCTGATCTCGAGAATAGCGACCGGCCCGTGGCGAAACTTACCCTTCAAATCTCGCAGAAATCATGCAACGAGCGGCAAACTATTGGCATCCTTCCGTTACCATAATTGTCACAATGGCCTGCTATTTCCGGTTGGGAAGCGGACTTCAACCAAGGGCGAAGTGTAAGAGACCGTTTCGGGAGTTCCGGTGTGGAGTTCCACCCGGGAGCACGGGCTGCGAACGATAGGATTCGGATCCGGGGAGGAAGAGGAATGCTGATCTTCGGCCGCCTCACCTTAAGGTTATTTGGAGGTGGCAACTATGAGGTCGACACCACGAGGTCACCTCACGGCTTGCGAGAAGCGGCGGATCAGATCATGTTACAGCAAAAATATGGACGCGGCGTTTGCCGACTTACTCAAGCCTCCTATTTTCGACTCGCAAAAAAACCCCCCAGCGAGGCTACGATAACGGTGGTGAGCAGTTTGAAACGGCGCATTAGATCAACAGCAGTTCGGCAAACCGTTGCAATGAGAGAACAACGCCCGCTAGTGCGGCGGAATTCCACTACACAGGTCACATCACACTCATGTTGTCCCGTCGAACGCCAATGGACACGCTCTATACTCATTTTCAGTATCCAACTTTCCTCACACTTTGGTCAATGAGTCCTTCAAGGAATGAGGCATCGTTTCCCTTCTTTTCACTGAGGTTAATCGCCTACACGATACGATATAAGATATCCAAGCCTCAAGTGGTTGAGTTGTGGCTGTGGTGGGGGCGAAAGACATCAGACAGACTGGCAGGGCCACCGCTTATCAGATGAAGATCCGTGCAATATACGGATGCTGCAAGAGCAAGGAGCAACAAGGTATTCGACCGTCGGCCCTTGCGAATTTCACTAGACATGGGCGGATGAAAAGACACAAAGTTCCCAAGTGTTCCACTATGCCAATGTTGGAGAATTGACCCCACGGCCTAGACCAACACCACCTCTCATCGGATACTAGTCCGCGATGTCCCACCCCGGATTGAGAGTCCACTCTCACAAGATTTGGGGGAAATTGGAGAAGACAACAAATCCCATGTTACTTCTCCCCCTCTTTCTCTCTTGTTCTCGCATGTTGTTCCACACCACTCCCCGTCCCGACTAGCTGAATGCGCTGTAGACCGAAGCACAGCATCACAACACTGTCGCAAGGTTCCTCGATACATATCGGTAAACTATGCCGTCTATCAAGATCAAGAGAGCGACGGGAGGGATTGGCCATTCTGGCGGAAATTAAGTTGGGAAGTGCGTATAGGATCCCGCCAGCATCTCTCTTGTGTCCTAGTGTAGGATTTCTAGTTGCCTCGCCCTAGCTCCGGCCGACGACCGAGTTAAAGTCTATCCAGAAGACGTCCAACCACCATTGACAGCTGACAGTCCCGTCACAGCAGGTTTGACGTAAGGTGCCCGTTTCTTCGCAAGCAAGACTCGAGGAGACTTCTATTGTTGGCACTGCGGAGTACCTTAGCTTTGGGCCCTGGGACCGGGCCAGCCTGGCAAGGCAACGACCCCCTGCCAAAGCTGCACTCACGCGGTGAATGTGCCACTATCCTGCATACCATTAATTGTAGGTGCGGTTCGTAACGAAATGCGTACGGAAAGAACAGCAAACGGAGACAGCTTCTTTTGGGGTTGAGTAGCATTGGCAACTCTTACCCAAGTTCGTGGGATTCGGAAGCATGCGAAGCCTGTGCAACGTAGTCATCACCTTCGTCATATTGCTTGGACACTTCTTCTCGCTAGAAGCCGACAAGAGACCGCAGCCCCGAGTCTGCGCCGGCTGTGACTGATACGAACGCCCAGAAGGACTTTTGGCATGGGCAACAGGGCAAGCCGAAGCGTGTAACAGCCACCACCGTCCAGCAACTTTACATGTCATCAACCAGACATAACAACGCCCCATCCAATCTCCGAGTATGTCGTCCTGTTCTTCGCCCCGGCAGGCGATCCAATAAGGGTATTCGACGCACTGGGCATCTCATCTTCGAGATCCCCCGGAGAACGGCGACAGAACGGCATGCACCAAGCTGCTGCCGCGTTATGCATACACCCTTACTGTGCTGCCCCCCCCCCCCCCCCCCCCCCCCCCCCCCCCCCCCCCCCCCCCCCCCCCCCCGCCCCCCCCCCACCCCACCGCCCAGCCACACACCACAAGTTACTGCAGCAACAAACCACGCCGCAGAAGCGCAGCCGGGCAGCCGCACCACGCGCACCCCCCCCCCCCCCCCCCCCCACAGCTCAGTTCCAAATTGGGCTCCGCCCTTTAGAACGAGAAGTCTATCCAGAATAAAGCTTTGCTGCTGGGAAACGAATCCCAAAAGGCGGGATTGCGATTCCTACGCTCGGCAGCAGCCCACCGACTTGCCACACCCCTCCCATGCCTTCTCGGTCTTGGGCGACGTCGACGAATGCAGAGATTGCTTTCGTGGTTCCAGCGCCGGTCACTAACACCTTCGGCATGCCGGACGGATTGGCCAACTCAGTAAGCCATGGATGGGCTTGTGGAAAAGATTCTCAAAACCGTTGGCAATGCAGTGTTGCTATTGACTCGCAGCGAGCATGACTTTTTGGCAGCGAAGAAGCGAGTCTAAGATAACTTTGGCGTCGTCTTCACCGAAGAGGAGACCGAAGAGGCGAGAACACGGACGTTTGCCTTTCCAGGTTTTCTAAATTCTTCTCACTGAGGCTAGGATCATGAAGAATCTAGCAGACCAGACGAAGAGGCTAGATCTGGCTGCGGCGATGCTTTCGTAAACCTGTCGTCTGAATTTTCGACTCGTCAGAATAAGAACCTGAAGACGCAGAGCTATCCCAACTGGCCTACACACGACGTCGTGGTCGAGAAGGCTCAGCATCATGCAACGGCGGCAGGGCCAAAGCTAAACGGCACCGCGTCGGCTTACTCGACCCCTCACCTCCGTCTTTGCGCACCGTCTCCCGTCCTAACCCGTCAACCCGTTCAAATCTGGTTCCGTCTTGCTGGGACCCCTTGCAACATCGCAGCCCGTTCGAAGCGGGTCCTTGGCAAATGCAAAAAAGACAGCGGCGGTCTCCATACCCATCCCTGCCCGCACCATCACCACCCCTCCACCCGGTTCAAGCTCTTCGACCAGGCCCAGAATGGAGGCGGCGGCGATTCTTCTTTCGCTCTTGGCTTCTCCATCACGCTATCCAGAGCACCACACCAGGGACCAGGAACAAGAAGGGTGCGAGAGGGACTGCTATGCGTCTAAGCAGCCCACGAGCTGGTGCGCTATCTCGGGCCCAATCGACGACCCTGTACCCCATTGGATTGTTGCGTTGCCGGTATGTACGTTGTGGTCCTGGCAATGTCTGTCAAAATGTTGCTTACCTACGTATTTACGAACCAGAGGATACTGCTTTCACACATGTGCATGTAGCTTCTGCTCTACTAACTAGTTTCCCCGAGTCTTGACATACCGGCACCCTGTCCGGAGCCTAGCTTTGTCTGCTGCGTCTCTTATCCCATGCGTCGCGCCATATATATTTCCTCCCAGCCCGGTTGCAAAGCATCATGGTGTAGCTTAGTTCGCATTACACATCACCTTCCAGACACACCTTTCTAGACGACGCGTTGCCCATTCACCTCCTCGTATATATCATCCCACTGTTCGCCCAGACTTCACAGCCCTTGAACCACGAGACAACATCTAATCGACCCGTTTTCCATCTCATACACCATATAACTTTTCCATGCCTCGCCCCACTGCCACCCAATCATTACACATGGACCACTCACTGCCACTCAACATGTACGACGACATGGATGCATTCTTGGATATGGAAGCACCGTACGTCTATGACGAAACAGAGCAGTACTTGGACACTGCCAGCTCATCTGAGTCAACGAGCCCCATTATCTCAACCGTGAGTTGGCGCCTCATTCGCATAGAAAGAGATTTCAAATTGACCAATGCGTGTCGTAGTTTGACATGACCTTTGTAAACGACTTCAATGGCACCGACCAAGGCATTTATCCTAGCCCAATGAGCTCCTCCCGCGATACAGCATCACCTCAGCCTACCATGGATGAGAAAGCTGGAACAACCAAGGGCCCAGCTAAGAGAAAGCGTGAAAATCGTTACAAGAATGCGCCCCCTTCGGTGCTCTCAGTAGGTTTCCAGACCTGACGTCAACTCAATTGTAGCAGTGTATTAACCCAAATCTTCAACAGCGTCGCCGAGCACAAAACAGAGCCTCACAAAGAGCATACCGCGAGCGCAAAGATCAGCGCATAAAGGATCTCGAGGTCATGCTCTCAGACCAGAAGCAGAAGAACGACTCCCTTAGCCAAGCCTACTCTGCCCTCCACGCCGAGTTCCTCAAGATTCGGGGAGCGCAAGCGAGGTCGGCGCAACAACAGCAACATCAACACATGCCGCGACACCCAGCCGCGCCGGCAATGGCTTACGATCCGACGGCCGCCGCCCACATGGGCATGTCGTCACACCCAGGCGCGATGGAATTCGCGGACAACATGTTCATGTTTCAGGATATGCAGACTTACACCCTCTAAAGAGTGGGAAAGCTGCCCTGAGAGAGAGGGGTCGGATAATGGGTAATTGAGCGAGCGGCAAGAGAAACGCAAAAACAGGGGCCGCGAAGAACATCTCACTCGTTTTCGAGGAAAAAGAAGAAAAAGATCGGATGCTCAAGATATGGACGCGCAATCGAATGACATGACTGTCAAAAACGTACGGATGGAATACGACCGACTGGCTTGACGAATGCGGAGGTTCGCCTGATTTTTTTCTCTTTTCATCACACTCACTCTTCTCATCAGCTTTGTTCTTTCTGGTTTCTTGTTACTTGCTTTGGGTCCCGGCGTGCTTGAGATTCCTGGCTCTATTATTAGATGGCAAACATGGGCTGGCAGGCATCGGACTTCATTCTACTTTTGTTCTTGTTTTATCTGGCGTTTCTTGGGAATATCGGAGTCTGGTCCACAGTTCTCTTGATGATGATGACAACGACGGGAGGCCATTCCGAGAGGAAATTCTTTCCCCGCATTCGAATGTCACGATGCACACACAATTAGTCTTTTACACACTCGTTCAAAGAGAGGGGAGGCTCGGATGGGGGGGGGGGGGGGCAATGGGAAAAACAAACTTTAGGGAAGTTTAGTCGAGAGCAGAATATGAAATGACACGTGAGATTCCCATCCAAGACTGCGCATTTCCAAATTACCTAGATGTGGGATTCTCAGAGTTTGGGACTAGTATAGGCAACCCCGCAACTCAATGACGGCAGAATCGTACAAGAGTCCCCCAGTCTCTAAAGTTTCTCGGTCAGAGACCTGTTTTTTTCTTTCCTCTTTGGGCCTTTCTTCCTTGGTCTAGAGAGAGAATCTCGGTCTGCATGGCTGAGGGAGAGGGGGCGGAGAGGACCACGGGCATGGGTTAAGTCTCTGCCTAGTTCTTGATAACCTTGTTCAGCTGGAAGATGGAGGGGTTTACATTTATAAATATCACCATGCTAAGGTACATCCATCCGAGAGGGAGGGTGGGTTGCAGATCAATCTCTCAATGCAGGACGGAAGTGAGCTTTCTTGGTGAGATACTTACATGCGATTCTGGAATGGGTATATGCCAGGTGATTTTCTCTTTACCTGGGTTCGAGTTTGGGGAGGAGGGCCTCGAGATGTGTGTGTGGTGTGCGTGGCTTTGCCGAGATCCTTGTGGGAAGAACCCAGCTCCGGGGCGGAGGTTTGAACCTCCCCAGCTTTTGGGGGCTGTTGTAATTGGCTCACCGGGATAAAATCCGTCAACCGTTGAGCAAGAACGGCCGGCAAGCCAGAGAAAAATAAAAGACAGTAAAGCTAAAGGAGAAGGGACAAGGCTTGTTGGTCCCCTGGCCTATACCCTCACCTTGCCGGTATCTGTTTGCGTATGCATACACCTGCCCTCAGCCCTGTTAAACCCGTGTGTGAGTGGAGGAGGGTCGATTTTTCAAAGCGGGATGTTACTCATCATCGACTCACGTCAGCACCCTGTTCGACGACAACGACATTTTTAGCCTTGTTCCTTTTTGGGGGTCCAAAGAGATGTTGGCGAGCAAGCAAAGATTACTGGCTCCTAGGACAGGCTCCGTTACCTGCCTTCCTAGTTGATGCTATTTCCTTCACCACGTTAAGCTTTCGAGACCCGCTCTGTTTAGGACGTTCGTACATGTAACCCGGAGATATCTAAGCCTCGCTGTTCATGCGTAAACAATGAAGCTTTTTTCTTGATGAACCTGAAGCTTGAGCAAGTTTAAGAAGCGCGCCTGCGTTGAAACGTGTGTGGCTGTGAAGAGGACGCGGCTAGATCTGCAATGCATTTGGGCTTCGTCGTTTATTCTTGGGTATGTGCGCGAAGCGCCGTGAACTTGTGGTTGTTCAGCTTGTGGCAAATCGTTTGAGATGATCCGAGATAACAGCTTGTGGACTCCAGAATTTTGGGTTCTTGTGTGTTGCTTACGTTGATATCTTACACGAACGATCGTCAATTTTATGGAGTGGCGTTTAAATGGCCGTGCTTGTGTCTCTCAACATGGGATGGATGGTGGCTTTGGCTCTTCGAGACTTTTTGCGGCAGGGGTATAGTTTCTTCTGAGCTCGTTGTTGGGCATGAAGATGTTGGTGTTCGGAAGCTGCCGGCACGTTATGTACCCAAGTCAGACTCAGAACTCAGTATAATACGGACAGTGTTTGATAGGTAATCAATCCCTTGCTTCTACTAACAAGTTGACTTACATGCCGCCTTTGCAGCTAATATCATTCCGCTGGTGTGACAACGTCAGTGGTGGGAGACTCTTCGGATTGCTGTATGTCTCTGCAAAGGTATGAGCATTGATTGAATTACTCTCATGTAGTGTGATAGTTGAGTAATTCGGAGCTCGGAATGCTACGTTGCCCCTTACCGACCTTGATATCTCGGGAACTCCGAAGCTGATTTGACGACTCTTTGTCACGCTGACATTCAACATGCCGGGTTGACAGACGAAGGCATTTCCTTCGTTGATCTGATCCGAGTTAGTGTTTCCCTAGTCAGTAGCCGGATGCGTTGAAACGAGTACTTGCAGTATTTCTAGGGCAGGTATGAGTCTTTTCCCCCCGCCGCGCATGTTGCTACTTGGTCAAGATCACTAAGGTCAACGAAATCTTCCACCGCTTCGCGCTACAATTCCGTCTGAAGAAACACAGGACACATCCCACCACATAGGAGGTACCTGATGATGACAAGCGTGGATAGCAAGGCCGAATTTGGCGAGCGAGGTGCTCTGACAATGAAGAATCGTCCGGACTTGGTAAACAGCGCCAGACTTCATTGCTGGACCATTGGACAGGATCCGTCAATGACGACGAAGAAATACTCTCTGATATCAGGCGGTTGATTGTGACATGGCATTCCAAACGAGTATTGCTTCATTCGGCTCTCGTACATTTCTTGCAAAGATGGCACGAACGACCGACATCTCGATAGCGGTTATGCGGCTCCTTGCATACATAGCAACGTAAGGCTTTGAGCTCATACACATATGCTTTCTGCTTTGTGTATTTTGACGGTACATGGTCGTGGAGTCGAGGATCCCCCAAGACAAGTTTGTGACTGTCAGTTGTCGTAGGTTCCTTCCAGAAATTCAGGCTAAGCTTGAGCCTACGCCTCAGAGAACTTGATGTGACCAGCTATGAGCAAATGGCACTGTAGTCTGCCAGGAAAGAAGCAGATAAACCCCAATCGGAATAGACCTTGTCTTTCATGGCATCAAGGAAGCAAATATCGCTGTGGTCTTTACTAGAAGATAGCTAGGATGCTGCATTACTTTTAGGAGAAATTCTCTTTCCTTAATTCAAGGGAATGATGGTATCCTGATGACAATCACGAGATGCGTCGACGCTCAGCTGGCTCACAGTACGAGGTGAGTCTCATCAAGTCAACCTTAAGAAGCCAGCAGACCACTAGATGCAACGATCGTTCCTCAACTAACTTCTATGTTCACCTGAACAGTAATACTCCAAGTTTGAACCAATAACTTGAATCTTACTTGGCTGGGTTGAAATGGTGGGAAGGATAAGCGTGGTGAGGTACATCTCAGTTCAAGTTGCCTAGATCTCGTCTGGGCTTGCGTCGGCTGATCTGGGCGCACTTTAAATAATGAAGGCAATATGCTGGCGGTGATAGCATAGTATCCTTAGGCAGAGGGTCAAAAAGCAACGTGTCTTCAAGGCTTCGAAAACGATCTTCGGACGGTCGACGGACGCAAGAGTCATGTTCCAAGTTTGATTCCATTGTGTGACCAAGCCTAAGTGACGACCCTGAGAGCGAATGGAATGCAAAATATCTAGGAATTTCTGCCTCACGACATTGTCGAGATATTAAAATGATCAATTCATGATAAGGAGAACGATGTTGCTAGATTGACGAATTGGAAATGCGCGAGGATGGGCTCCGGCAAGCAGAGAGCGACGTCCACCGTTGTGGCGTGGAACTTTGGCGAAGATCCGATGACTCAATCACGAAGATGCCGATCAAATTTCACTGCTGTACAGAGAAAGCTTGAGGCCTTGCGGCAAGTTTTCGTGATAACAGACTTGACTCACACAATCCTTAGCGATACTAGGTCGAGACTGATCGATGCGAGGATAGAAGTGGGACATTCACGGCATAATTGTCACGAGACCCGTGGGGGAGCTGAGGCGTGGCCGCTTGCGTCGAGCTCCATCGATAGCGACCGGACCCCGCTGTTAATGAGGCAGTTCGGGATGACGAGCACTCCGAAATCGCCTTGTCACTTACCTGCCAATTCTGCCTTTGTGACTCTATGGATAGAATCTTGGAAACATCGATTCCGCAATCGTCGGCATGACCATATAATCCACATATACTGATAGCATTATCTGGTCAGCAGAAGATAGAGCCCCAGATAGATACGACAGTAGATCCGGACCAGATAAAGTCAATAGGGCCGAGAGGTAGTAAAGCCTGGCAAACGGAGCCGGAGATCGTTAGAAGATGGGCCCGGTCCCCATCGGCCGGTTTGTCAACTGACGAATGGGATGACAGCCTTGATGGGAATGCGGCAGGTAGATGGGAGACACGTCAAGCGCGCCGTCGAGACAACCAGCTGCAGGGTAGATGGGAGGAGTGTTGCCAAGTGCACAGACGGCGGGGAACCGATTCGTGCGAGTCAGGGGGGCTAACGAATGTGTCCATTTGTATGTACAAGCTGTCAATCGATGGACAGGGCCGAAAGAGAGAGGATCTCTCTGCTGCTCGTGAGCTCTCCGATCCATGCGCCGAACCGAACCCTTGAATCCAATCTTGTCTGAAGTTGCAAGGCAGCTGAGCAGTCGAAGCAGGCTTCAGCGTAGGATGTATTGCGAGATCGGGGGAGGCGAAGTTGGCTTCGAGATAGCTCTAGAAAGCTCTTCGCGTGAGCAGGGTGGGGGCCATTGGTCAATTGACTCGGACCTGACAAGCTTGGCCGGTCCAGGGGTTTCGGGGACCGATATTGAAACGCGGAATTCCAGGTCATACGGTCAATTCTCCGCGAGATGCAGCGGCATCTCAGACTTGTTGGGACGGGATTTCTTGAGGTTTGGGGGTCTAAGGTACGGAGGCGAGGTTGTGGCAGCTGACGGCTTTGAGGGCCCATTGGGGATCCTCATTCCCCATCAAGCTGGGAGCAGTTTATCATGGAGCTTCTAAAGGTCTCCGTGAGGCAGTATGCGTTAGGTAAAAGCAAAGGGCAGTAACGAGACATGAAGCCTAGAAAGTGGGAAACGGAAGGGGGACGGCAGTCACCGAGCATGAGCATGATCATGTGCCCCGTTGATGCAGCTTGCCGTGATGGAGTCGTTGCAATGCGCCATGCTCAGGCCAGAATAGTGAAGCTTCCACATTGGCCCAAACGAGGCACGAAAGAAGCTGCCTCAGCCACGCGTGCCAGCTTGGGTCCCCGACCTCGGAACCAAGCAGCAGAATGGCACAATTGAGACCCTTGCGGCGTTACCTTGCAGGAATGGATGTAAACAAACGAAAAAGAAGCGGTTGAGCAAACGACGACGACAACAACAGCGACGGCTGATGGAGAGACAAAAAAGGAACCAACGGGTGTGAGACGAGACTGACGATGGGCAGTTTTGGATCAGTTGCGGCCCCGAAATGGCTCGATGGCAAGGGTTCGGAGGTACTGGTCTCGTGCTGCTCCGGTACTTGGGTGGGCGCTGGGATGCAGTGGCTTGGACGATGTACCGGGTTAGCGGCGGCTGGTACTGAGGTATCCACTACCCCGCAATCTGGCCACCCGTCCCAGCTGCGGGCTCGTACCTGAGACCCCGGATCCGAGTGGGCCCCTTTGCGTCACTGTGCTCCCGTGGTCAATCAGTCATGGCTGCACATCTGTCAGAAGAACGAGCGACTTCTTTGAGGAAGGAACAATTGGAAACATCTCTCATAGACGGGGAATGGTCAATATTGGATGATCTGGCAACAGGAGAAGCTCTAACCAAGAACCCCAAGCAACTGGATGAGAGGGAGGGGGCGGGTGATGGAATAGCAAAGGAAAGGTACGTCGAGGCACGTAAAGTGTGGAGCTATGCAGTGTTGGAGACCGGCCGACCAGCAAAGACAACACCTTCCCTAGTCTCCAATTTCTCAATGCCGCGAGAGAGGGACAACAAAAAGGTGGCATAATGAAGGTTTAGTCTGGCGTCAGTCCACGTCCATCTCCACTCTCCGGCCACTCCCAGTCCATGCCGGCCGGCCCCCGTCCATGTGTCCCAGTGCTCCCAGTGGCACCCCGTTTCTCTTTGGGCCTGCCTTTCCTCGTCCAGCTCGCTCCTGCCGTCCTGATGTGCTTCCCTTGCAGCAGCCCCTCCGTCCGTTGCATCAAGTCACGCGATCCAACTTTCCCAAAGGAACCCCCAGCCGTTCCGGACCTGCTCGCTACTTCCCCCCTTGCCATGCCACCCCATTGGGCAAGCTATCTGATGATCGCGTGATGTGATAGGCTGCCATTCCCCTCGAGCATTCGTTCTTTAAAAGCATCCTGAGTAGCTCTCCTCATCTACATATCTCCCCCTCCTCCCCTCCATCATCCTCACATCACTACAACCCATCAAGCCGTTCCTCAAACCATCGAATCAACTCATCAAAGACGATCAGTTTTGACCAACCTCAACCAACAACAACCCTCCTCAATCTCACATCGCTGTTCCTGAACCCCTTCAAACACCTTACACGCTTACACCAACTCTTCAACAACACCAATTCCATCAAGAGTCAGTATCCATTTTCCCTCCTAACGCTGTGAAGCCTCCACCTCCCCCGCATCACCAACCTTTCTGTGATGCTCTTCCCCATCATCCCCGACTTTTTATGGTCTCCATTGCCGAATCGAACATCAATAGCCTCTACGGGCAATGTTCAACCCTTGAATCGTTGTGTCTTCATCCCATTTCGGGCAGCAACATGGCACTTGGCATCTTCGACTAACACTCGTCTCAGTGACTCGATCTCACAAGTACAACGACCGTGACCACGCCGGCCTGGCCGACGGAACTGCCTCTCCCCAAGAGCACCTGCCTCGCTACTTTGCGAAGCACGGCCACGAGGGCGTCGATCCCAAGAAGGTGAAGAAGAATGGTGGCGGCAGAAGCAATTGGTAAGTTTGGACCCCCTCTACCCCACTTACACACGCCCTTCTTGGCAACTTCAAAGCTCCGCCGTATCCTGCCAACGCACGCCAGCTTGACTTAAACTAGATTCAATTGCTAACTTTCATGTTTCATAGGGGCAATGCTGGCGAGGAAGTCATTGACGAGGACTTCCGCTTCACCAATGCTCGCCGCCGCACCAACAGCAGTGGCTTCGCTGATAACATCGGCGCCTTCAAGACCAAGTTCGACGTCAACGAACCCGAGCCTGTCTTTGAAGAGTCCATACACGGCCCCTCCGAGGAAGACGGCGAGGACCTCACCAAGACCGAGTCCTCCGAGAGTGGTCGCTCTTCTGCCTATGGTGATGAGAAGATCACCAAGCACTAATTGTACGACTGTGATGTCTCTTATTCGGGTGCAATCACTCTCATAATCGCTATCCGGCAAGGCAGTCAATGTTCACCTCACGGCTTTTCTTGTTCGTCCTACGAACCATGTTAACATCAAACACAACACAAACACACATTACAATATGCATGGGAGGACATTCTGTTATTTGCTTCAATCATCTCTCTTTCGAAACGGATTCGGCGACATATGGCTTTGTATTTCGAGGAACAGAACGGGGATCTAGGGGGATCTCCGCTCGAAAGATTGACTGCCTCGGTGGCGGATGACAGTATGCATCACGAACTTATCATGACCTGGCGATGAAATAGTCGCCCTTGTATCATCATAAATCAAACGGCCAATGGTCTCAGTAAAAGACCCATGCCTTGTACCAATTATTTTTGCCATATCTGTTCGTGACGCTTATGAGCCTGTGATATCGCGACCCACTCAACTAATGGGGGTGATGCCGTTACTTCATGAAGCTTTTGGTTGATGGTATGTCAGTCATCATTGTTCTGGCTCTTTGAGGCCCCATGACAGATGTAACTGGACTGCTCGCAGCAGCCTCAACCACCACGCTTGTGGACAGGTAAACGCAAATCACAGACGTGGCCCAAAACTTACGGCAATCCCGTACTGGTCTCACATGTACGTTGACAGGAAGGCCTCCAGCTCACGGACGAAAATGAGGAATCAACACGGATTCACAAGTCAATGCTTCAAAGCTTTTCAGCAACAACGGCCATCAAAACGTAAATCTTCTCAAGGTAAGGTATCCAGAAACTTGGGACCAATTCAAGCTGCTAGGCAGCCACGTTCTCCTGGCACAGAGCATGACCATATCAGCCTGAGCAAAGCATCACCACGCCGTCACTTCGCCAGAGCATACACCTGCTAAAACAATTTCAATTCAGCCTGATATGAGCAGACAGCTATAGGCAAGCCACCTTCAATGCCACTTGTAGTCATATGCGCCATCAGAAAGCGAAATACTCGTCGAATCTGCCTTCCTTTACATTCCCCTCAATACGCGGGCTATCTCCCTCTGAGTTCCTCGTCCTAACCCCTCATCGCCAGCTGAGCACCCCTTTACACCACCAACACCATGACGAAACAGAACTGCAACCCCCGCTTCTGAGCCACTATTGGAAAATACGAACCCTTCACCACTCAACTCCAAGCACACACAGCCGCTCGACAAACGGGGACTAGCCGAATGTTAAAGTAAAACGAGCATACAGCATTTGCTCCTCCAAGAATCGGAGTCTACTGGCATCCTTCAAGGTAAGCTCTTCCCATGAAGCGACAGGATGAGGCCAAGATGGAAATTTCTTCGCCTCGCCCGCTACCTCCGGCTCCGCGTTCACCATGTCACTCGACTCGAAGGCGGGGAAGAAGAGCTCGCTCCAGGCCTGGTCACTCCAGACAAGCTTCCCCTGTGCAACGCAACCTGTTTCGTCTGCCAGGATACCCATGATTCGGGGATTAAGAACGAGAGACTTCTTCTGCAAGCAGTTCTTGCAATTCGCGGATGTTTGGTTCGCATAGAGGGGAACTCTACAACTAGAGGAGGCGCACTCGTCAGCCGTGGTGCCCTCCTTGATTGCTACAAGTAGACTGGACTTAGAGAGGAAGGGTCCATTCTCACCACTCTATACAGCAAAGCATCTTTCTGCGATGAAGACCGAGAAGGTCTATACCGAGTATGGTCAAGTTTAGCTTGCCGGTGAAGTCACTGGCCGGGTCAGCCCGAGCGAAGTCATCCACCTCGGCTAGGGTAAAGAGCGCCCGAACTGGTCCATGGACAGCTTCTTCTGCATTCCAAATGTCGTTGGGAAAAGGCACATAGACACTCTCCTTCTTGACACTCTTCTTCACCCACTGTCGAAGCCAGTTGGCATCCTGGAAGTTCGGATCGATATCAATTAAGGTGTTGTGATCAAGACCGATGCTGGCGCTCAAGGGTACTGACTTGTTGTCGGAAGGGGGTACAAACTTCGGACTGGTAAAGAGTAGCATGGTCTTATTGGGCTTCCAGAACCTGGCGGAGTTTGCCTTGTCTTCCCAGAGAGTCAACAGGCAGCTGGCGGTGTCGTCCCAAACTGTGACCTCGAGAAGTTCAATCTCTCTCGGATTGTTTCGCGACTTCACACGTTTTCGAGATCCAATGCTCTTGACGCAGACAACAATCCGAGCCCCTGCGATTTCGTGTCCCATTTTGAGATATTGACACAGAGTCATCAAACCTGGAAGCGGTTTGGGATCCTGTTTGCCTCGGTCGCACTCCAAAGGCATTCTGTAGAGTTGCTGATTTTCAATAGTGTCCGGGAGGAACTGAATGAACTGCTTGCTTCCAACGTTCGTAGGATTGATGGGTGTCCACGTGGTCACATATGGAATGCTGGTATGATGTGAACCTCCAGTGGATCCTACCCAAGTGGCCCATATGGTGACGAGCTGTCCTATCACAAGCAGTGATGCCGGAATTCCGATGGGAACTACCTTTACCTATGTAAAGGAATTAGCAAGTGTCTCCTTAGAGGGAGTGCACTCGAGAAGAGGAGGTCGTAAATACTGCTATTGCACCGGTTCCATCAACAATAATCAGCTGATGTGCCGGACGGTTGTAATTATTCTTGGAGTCGAGCAGAGCCGGTGCGTAGTTGACGACGCGGCCGGTGAAGCATATTCGATTCGGGCCTGGCTCGATTTGCCCGATATGCACCTCCGAGTACTCTTCCGATGGGTTCCATATTCGGCCAAGGGGGTCGTGTCCAGACTCGACTTCTGCTTGTGTGAAGCCGTCGGCTCGCGGAAATCCCGTCCTATCTCTCGAAGCATCCTGAGGCGTGGCAGGAACCTCCCTTTGATAGAATGCCTGGATGGATGGAGCCGACATCATGCGTATTGCTTCAGGAGGGTATAATACGCATCGATCGTGGAAGATATCTAGAGCAATGGTTCATTGAAGAAGACCAAGTGGGAGAAACAATCAACCGTAGAACATGACAGAACTTTCTCCGACTACTAGGTACCTTCCACAACGGCAGGGCTGCCTTTGCATGTCAGTCGCAGGAAGGAGCCACTGCCTGACCTGCGCCTGCCTCTTCCATTCTAAGATACCTTATGAAAAGAGGAAAGATGCAATCAACATTCTTTCCGTGGATCTTACAGCGTTTCAAAAATGCAACTGGAAATGGCAGGTCAAAGTTTCAGGTACCAGGTAGGTACGTAGTCGGTGTGATCAAGCTCTCAATTTGGGATAGAGATCAGAGGCATCAGGTCCAGAAGCCCGGATATGCATGGCTTCCAGGTAACGGCACGTGAAGTAGGCCCATCATGCCTGCGATCTGGGGGTGTGTTCGTATTCGTATATCGTATGAGTAGAAACGAGACTTGCGGCGGGACATGCGAGCTGCTAGAGTCCAGAAGCCTTTGAGGGCTGTTTGTGATTGAGTGAGTGGCTATCATGACATCGTTACAGACGAACAAAGCAGTGGGGAAATCGAGCTGCTTGCATCACCATAAACAACGCCTAGCCAATATCAAAGAGCGGATAGAGCGGCTTTGGTATTTCAAATGTTTCTTTTTTGGCCCTGCTATGCCCGGAGATACAGGATTTGTTATGTTACACAAAGGCACTTGCGTCCAAAACCGTCATATGGCACTTTTCCCTTCCGCTTAATGTCATCTGCTCATAAGCGCTCTCCCCTCTTTGTTTTCCTTTTCCGTTGATTTCGATATGGTACATACGTAACTGGGTATTAAATCTTGAAAACGAATAGCCCCAAATGACTCCTAACGCCTGCGCATTGTTTCTATCCGGAAAAAGACAAAGTAGAATATGTAATAAAGAGTCTTGCGTCGCTTGTTGAAGTGCCGCTAGCCATCAATTCTAGCCGTCTATATTCTATGCTTTTCCGGGTACCGTTCCCTATTCAAAGACCGATGCTAAGTTGTGCTTAGTGCTCGGGGGGACCAGACTGTTTCCGTCCAGGCGCGCCGTAATCCGAGACAGCGCTTGAGGTGTGCGAGATTGACGTTGATCGGTGGCTTTGTGAAAGGCTATTCTTGGCACTCCCAGACTCGAGATCTTGCATCGCGTAGAGGCTCGACGTGTCATGTGTCTCCAGCGCAAACTGCTTAGTGCAAACGATGCCTTTGCCGCCTCGCAGGGCTGATTGCAGCTCCGTGGTGGAGGAATCGCCGAGAGGACGAGACATGCGGTTCGTGCTTCGGCTCCCGTCCGCGGCGCTTGAGGGCGATTCCGCATACTTCTGAGTGTCGTAGCGCTTGGTGAGCATTCCAAAGAGTTTGGGGAAGGCCTTGATGAGAATGAGACGGATGGCCGGAAGACAACAACAAATGATGCCGGTGGGAACCTCGAGGCATGTCCAGAACGCAATGTCGAATTGATCCCATGTAGGGTTCAACGAACTCGCGAACCGGACAAGCGACTGAAGTCTCAGGATACTGACTATAGTGACGCTTGGTGATGTTAGAACAACGGCGAAATTGTCAGTTATGGATTCAGTGAGTACTCACAAAGTACCGACACAAAACATAAGGGTGACGGCTAGCTTCTTCCACCAGTGCAGGTTGAGAGTTCGGATTCGCGACAAAGGAAGATACAGCATCCATAGGTCTAGTAAGATGCTGATGATAGCGTTCGCCCATGGAACTGCATTAATGTTGATACAGGTGCCTTGTTGCTCGCCGTCCCACCTCGTCCAGTAGTAGTGGATAGGTGTACATTGGAAAATGCCAACCATGAGGAAGACGAAGGTGTTGACAGCATTGAAGGCAGCTGTACCCCAAAGCAGCTTTCCAAGTCCGGCGCGGTCGAAGATGCGCATGTAGAAGCACAGGATCGCCATCTTGACAATGCCCATCTGTACGAAGTACATTGGCTCTAGGATATAGAACCAATAACCGAAGCTTTCGATTTGATGTGGTGTGAGGGTCCAAATATCTTTACCAAGGCCGGCGGGGACAATTCCAACGAGGTTGATGATGAATGATGGAAGGACGGCCAGATAGGCGAGAAGAGTGAACATGTCATCGAGCCCGAGTTCTGCTGACGAGAAATACTTGTAAATCAAGCGTGCTGCAACCACGAAGGTGGTGAGTCCCAGCAGGACCCATGTAAGTCGGACATATTCCGCGCTGTGGTCTCGGACAGGTTTATCACAAGTGGTTTCGAACACAGCTTTGGCATCTTCTGATTGTTAGCATATGCCAGTCAGAGTCAAGAAGAAGGGCATGACTGACGAAGTGTGTCCTTGATATTGCATGCTCCGACTATACAGGTCTCCGTATCTGACTCGAACTTCGCATCGTTGCAGATACACGTCGTGTTCGTCAACCCGCATGGCGAGTCCTTGACGGCCGATAGAATGCAGGTGACCTAGAGCAAAGTTAGACGTTGACGGACCGAACTTAGGGACAAGAAAAACCGTACCGCGCATGTAGGTAGCTGGGCTACAGCATCCGTGATACTATTGACTTTCTGAGCTGCGGCCGTAATAGCTAGTAGCGCAGCTACCAAAAAGGCAAGAGACAGTGGAAACCTCATGATATCCGAGGTGAGACCGTTTTGTCGTCAAATAAAGTTCGAGAAAACCTTAGCAAGACCCTGGACCGTATCAATGGGGATATTTGCTTCTTAAAGAAGGAGCATTGGTATCACAAGGCCGTTTGTCACGTTTTTCTTCTTCTCCTCTAGCCACCGTCCGCAACAAAACAACAAACCACAAAAGGGGGCACCCAAGGCTGGCCTTGCCAGCGACATTTAAGGGTAGGCGACTTAATCCTTCGCAGTTCCCGAGTTGACCTCCTTTCAACAAACATGATGTGCCGCATGCGATAGTTCAGCCAGGAGCGCGCCACACTAGGCCAAGGAGGCGGCCGCCTCTTAGCCCTCTCACGTGGTGGAGACTTGATGAGAAGATGACGATCCAGGCTGGAATCGCGAACAGAGCGTACCCGGACCACTGCTTCCGGCAAGGCCGGTGACAGCCACTTTTCCATAGTCCGACGGGGGCGAGGCACGGATGGAACACCAAGGTCAAATAGCTTGGGATAGCGGACCACTGACGGGCGGACGACGTCTCGCGACTGTCGCCTCTTGGGTTGCTCCAGGCCCCCGGGTTGCATTCCGGATCACCATCCGCCATATCCGTCCTGCACGACTTACTGGTGACGGAATGGGAAAGCGCTTCGGTAACGACGAACGAAGAGCGATCAGAAATCAAGCGTCAAGACGATGACTTTTTTGGGTGGATCGAATCTAGGACGCGGGTGCATTTTCCAGCTGAAATGATTCGTCCCGTTCTTTTGGGTACTATGTGCCGATGGGAGAACCCACTGGAAACGTCAAATAGTTCTCGACAGGTGGAAATGCATTGCGATAGACTATGTGGAAGACGCTCATTCCGAGATTGCGAGAGATTGCTTAGGCCAATTTCCACGTGGAAGCCGTCTAGAAAGAATGAAGGCGTAATGAACGCTTCCATTCCGATGTCGTCGACGCCTCTGTGGTGTTTCTGGTGTTGTCATGTTTCTCGGATAAATGTGAGGCTTGCTGCTGTCAAAGAAAACAAGCAGTTTCATCAGGCAAGTGCAGATTTTTAGCACCTTGCGTCAGCCTTTTAGTAAGCCCAGCGCTGTTGAAGGAAAGGCCAGAAAGAAGAAAGGTCCCAGTGGGGCAAGGCAAGAAGCCATCGCCAACTAACGCCATGCCTGCACGTCAGGCCCCGCGTCGTCCCATCATGCATCTGCCAAGTTAATCGATGTCTTGCGTGCTCGCCTCTCATGGAACTGGAAAGTCGGGACGGATTGTGTAGAGCGAGTCCAGCCCAGGCACTCGGGGCAGCAGATGGCGGGTGGGGTTCCCAAAAGCCAGGGGACCTTTTCAGCCCGCTAGCGCTGAAGCGTCGCTAGTCGACTGCTGGAGAGGGCTGATATGCCTGCCGAGGCAATCTGGCTGCCCAAGCGTTGCGTCTGTGTGAGTGGACCTTTCGCAAGCTTCGCACCCCGGACCAATGATCGACGGCGGGATGGCCTGTGCGCTCGATCTCACAAAGCCAGATGTACGCACGGGCCCGTCTTTCTTGTAGCCAGTTTTATCCTCTTATCGGGCAGCTACGTAGTAAGGTAAGGTATCTGGGTATCCAATGTGCGTCAGTGCGTCAGTGCGTCAATGCGTCCATAGGTTCCAAATTTCTGAACCACGATCGCGGCAGCCTCGCGCCTGTTTGACACCGGCAAAGACACCTACCACTACGGAAATCGCCCATGCCATCAACTCTTCCGAACCCCTCCACCGGTAATACGGACCGCTTGACAGACCCGAATTTTTCTTTATTCTCGTTTTCCGTTTAGGAAGTCCTTGTTGGGGAAGCACTTACAAAATGTCTACGTTAAACGCCTTCCACGAGTCGTTGCCATGTACGTTTGTTATGCCAATCGCCTGCACCGCATATCCTCCGACTAACGAACTACGCCCGCAGATATTGATGACGAGCCCACACCAGCAGAGCGCGAAGCTGCCGAGTCTTTAATCCGAGCTGAACTATCCACCTTTTCACCGGCGCCTACGCCAAGCTACAAAGAACCCTCCTTCTCCCCCCTCGTCGAACTCGAGCTGGACCGTGTCGCCTCGAAACAGCCCCTTAAAGCCATTGATCTCGAGCGTTATCAAACACAAGAGCCTTTCCCCGACTCCGGGGCACCATCTACAGCAGAAGATCGTGTTCGCCTCGCCGATTCACTCCAGAAGGCCTACATTTCCTACGCCTACCTCGATACTCGTGCTCAAAATCTGAACCTGTTGGACAAATGGGGAAAGAACGCGTGGTTGATCGGCAATTGGGGACTCGAAAATGAGCTGAAAGGCTTCGAGCGTGACCTCGCCGAAACGAAGCGTCTCATTGACGTGCTGACCGTCGCCCGGAGACGCCAGCAGGAAGAAGTAGCAGCAGAGATGAAGGGGCTGGAGGAGAATTGGAAGAAGGGCGTTGGAAGGACGCTCGAAACTGAGATTGCAGTCGAACAATTGAGACGAGAAGTTCTAGAAGAAATGAGGGTAAGAGGCGGCTGAGACGCACCGCACTCTGCATAGATCGCAATGAGGCAGCCGCCGCAGCTGCACCAAACAAAAGACCAAGCCAATGATACCACCTGGAACAATTATTTTCACAAACGCCAAACGTCCATGCACTGTGGAAGAAATATAATCTTTACTAACAGGTATCTGAACGTCACTAGCCGTGTCTCTTAGGAAGCGAAGGTAGGGGGTTCCGCCTAACGCCGTTGTGAATCTTGACATTCACCCTCTTCAACCTTCCCAATGTCTGCCATCCAATCTTGGATCATACGCAAAATCAAACATCTTCAAGTTCCTCTCAGGCCGCTTGGAGCGGATCCATCTCCTCAACACCAGTCTTGACCTCCTCGTACTTTGTCCGTCTCATGATGCCTTCAACGGGACCAAGAAGTCTCTGGAAGGCGTTCTTGCCGAGACTCGCAACCTTGACATCCGTCGTCGCGACAATGCTAGCGGCGCGAGGGGCGTCGTTCAAAAGCGCCAGTTCACCAAAGAAATCTCCCTTGCTGTAATGCTTTACAGATTCCTTGACCCCGCCCTTGTAGGCATCGGCCTCGCCGCTCTCCAGAAGGAAGAACGCATGACCTGGGTCTCCCTCCTTGATGATGGTCTCTCCAGGGGCGTACTTCTGAGTCTCCAACGCGTCGGCAATCTTGGATCGCTCGTACGGCGTGAGGCTTTGCAGCAAAGGCACCTCTTCGAGGAAACTCTCGTACATCCGTCGCCGAGCGAATGTCGACTCCATGAGAATACGGCGGAACGTCAGGCGATCGAGCGCCCAAAGGGTGCATCCAGATTCGGCAGAGATGACAGTCGCAGCTCGGGGAGCGTTATACATCAAGGCCAGTTCACCAAATGAGCCCCCTGCCTGGATGGTACCGACTTTCTGACCCATGCCCTCGGGGCCAGGCTGCAAGGTACCGCTGCTGTTGACATATACGTCAAAAGACCCCTTCTCTACGACGTAGAAGAAGTCGCCCGCGTCACCTTGGCTAATAACCTGTGGCGGAGTGTTAGGAAGCTCCAAAGCATCATCATATCGACTGGACTTACTTTGATATCCTTGGCGGGAATGGGTTTCTCATTCAGCGCACCCAGAATTTGGCCGCTCTGTTCCTCATCCAGGTGGGAGAACAAGAAATTGCCCTCAATGGCAGTTTGCAAACGGCCCAACTGCTCCTTGGTCTTCTCGTGATAAGGGGGCGACCAATTGTCGTATGTGTCGGCACTAGGCTTGAGAGACTCAGCAGAGACCGAGGTTCGACGGCCAAAATTGTACTGGGCAGGGTAACTCTCGGGGTTCGGTGGGCTTCTCAGCGCAGAAGGCGCAGCGTCGTCTGCGGCATTACCGCCGAATGGGCCGTTGAAAGTCATTCCAGCATTCATACCGAAATTTGGTGATGTCGGAGAAGTAACACTATCATTCTCTTCCTCTTCGATTACACGGTGAATGGCATTGCCTCCTGCGGGAGGTCCATCGGTAGGTCCTCCGAAAGGGTTGGCGTTTGCCCCAAAAGGACTCTTGAACATGCCGGACATGGTTGCAGTATAGCTACTTGTACAAGGATGGATGTTTTCGTTTCGAGACTATAGACCGTCACGAATCGCCTGTTGGAAGGTGTTCGATCGGCGCAGCGTTCAAGGACGTTGACAGCGAGTAGTTTGGTAGAGAGCCGTATGCGAACTATTTGCGTTCAGATCAGCTTCGGCCCACGACGTACAGACAGTAGTGTGAGGAATGTTGGAGGGTTGCCAGGTTCTCTGAGGACTTCGGGCTGGATGGTGAATAAAAGAATGTTGTGAAATTGGTGGGGTCGTTGAGCAGGATGCAAAGAAGCACCTAATGCTTCGTCCCCGCGTTCAGGCTGCACCAATCAAGCTGGACACCGCTGGCCAACGACTGCGTAGGGTACAGGCAAGGACATGAAATGAGGCGGATCGTGTTCAACAGGCTGGACGAGCTCTGACGTAGTGGGGTGGCAAGATTTCGAATAGATACCACGTAAACAACGGAAGGAGAGATGGGATAAGATGAATACCAGGGAACGCTCAAGTTGGAGATCAAGAGTCCGGTGCCGATAACAACAAGGTTGCGAAAAGCAGAAGCTTTTGAAGCGAGACGACAAGCAAGGGAAGGTCGGTGTTTGATGGGCTTAGCCTTGACAATTGGGCTGGGGCTGCGCGTGGCAATAAATGAACGGGAGCTATTACTTACCACAGCGGGAGGAGCTAGCTAGTGGGTGATGATAATCTGGGCGGGGAGCTCGCTAGCTTTCGTGATATTGGCCACCGACTAATGAGGTAGGAGGATACTGTCAACCGTATACTAGAGCGAAGAATTGGCAGGACCGGGAAGGAGATTTGTTGATAGCTCAGACGCGGATGAAGATCCCCGAGAGCAATACGTGAGAGAAAGGAGAAGGAGGAAGGGAGGGTCGCTGGTCAACTTCGTGCGGTGAAGCAACCAAGGGTACGGTAAGGTCGAGATCGTGAATGCCGCTAGCTAAGAAATAGGACAGACGAAGGGCGAAGCAAGTGGCCGATTGCTCTCGTGCTGTCGTCCGGTTTCGAGGTTTGGCCACGAGGATAGCGTTCGCTTGTTTGTTCGTTCAGGTCGAGGGAAGCGGAAGGAGGCGACGTGATGAGAGCACGAAATGAAGAATGGCAGAAGTGGAAAAGGCCAAGGGAAGGGAAGCTTTTTGGGTTCGGTTTAGGGACGTGGATTGCTCTGGGATGGGGGGAAGAAGGTGGGGGGGTTGAGAAGCAGGAGGCACGGAGGGCCTTTGACGCATCGCTGCTTCCAGTCAAACAACAGCAGCAAAGAAGCAGGTGCTCCCCTCCTTCCCTCCTTCCATTGCTCCTCAATGTCCCCATCTCCTTCCACAAGGTGACGGTGAGGTCCTAGCTTTTGAGGGGCCCTGCTGCCCCGGTTGACCAGTCATGACCGTCGAAGAGTTCTAGAAGGCGCACAGATCAACTTGTGGCCGGCTGCCGCTTGCCTTCCCTGCAGCCCGAAGTGTCCGGGCTTCACCTTCCAAGCCGCTTCGGTTGCGATTCTGTGCAGCTCTCAGCGACACCTCTGACTGGCCCAACTTGCAAATCAATCCAGGCTTGCCAGGCATCCCAGGACACCTTGCCTTCTTTCATTCCATTGCCTCCTTGCTTCCTTGCCTCAGATGATATCCAGGCCGGTACGTACTCTCCCACTGAGGCATCTTGGATCCCCTGGTTTCGGCCATGTCATCATGGGGACGGCCTCCCGTGGAATTTCAGGGCGCTTTCAGTGGGACTACCCCGTCCGCCCGCAATTGCCCCTCACCAAGCCTCTCCTGCCAGTGGCTCCTTCATTCGATAGCCCGCTGATCAAAGCCGGTACAACCCTTTTAGGGGTACGGGCAAGGGGGAACGATCCCTTTCCCAGCCAAAGTTGTGGGAGCTGCTTGGTCTCAGGATGCACTTTCTAAACGACGCCTCAGCCTGCCGCTTTCACCAGGCCGCATTGTCGAATCTTTTTCGGACAGCCAAGTCTCGCCTACAGCTGAATCCTTGATGCTTTACGACGGCCCATGTTTGTTTGCGAAATCATCATTTCAAGCGATGGCCTATTAGGTGTGATATAAGACAGAGTCAATTTGGGATGTTCTGTGACTTGTTCTAGAAACACTGGAAACTACGCTGAAGCATCTTTCATGGTTTGGTGAGCAGTTACTTGCAACTCTTTCATCAAAGTCCATGTCCCTTGGCCGTGGTAAGTGTTCCTTGGCGAGACTCCCCTTCAAAGCTCTTGATGGCTAATACTTACAATTGGATTAGGTGCTCTTCCAACGTAAGCGTTCTACAACTACATTCTATATCAGCTACCGTCTGGTATACGAGGGGCGAGAAATATGATGCATAACTAATTATACCAAAAACAACCTGGCGGCCATATGATGAACATATTCCGTAAGCTGAGACAACGATGAAAAGTGAAGACCAAGCGTACGACAGACAGCCAGGGACCAAAAGTAACAAAAGTACTATGACAGAGTTCTAGCTAGGGCCGGCGGAAGAATCGGGACTACTCATCTTCTACAATTCAAGACACACCAATAAGACGACATCGCCCTTCGTACCGGAAGAGAATCCCGAACAGCATTGTCATTTGAAGCCAGGAAGAGGAGGAGACGCTCGAGTGTCCGAGATGTGGGGCTGGGCGAAGAATGGAGATGAATGTAGGAATATGGGTCATTAACCTTGTGCAAAAATTCAGTAATCCGATATGGTGTAGTGGCCAACATGATGCCCTCTCATTGTAGATGAGAGGTTAGGCATAGCCCCGAGTTCGATTCTCGGTTTCGGAACATTTTGCTTTTTTTGGTGGGTGCACAACAAACAGCTGAATTATAGCAAAATTTTGTTTAAATGTGAAGCCCCGTAAATTGTTTCTTGGTTCACTCAGAGTAGAAGTACTTTGCACTATCTCTTGACGTGCGTGTGCCACTCTGACTATCTTTCTCAAGGTACGAGTTCGCGCCTCTGTATGCCTAAGTTAGACAAGCAATTACTGAATGTCACTGAGAAGCACTACAGTGGGGCTTTGGATCTTTCTTTACGAGTGCTCCATTCTTAGAAACCTTTTCGGAGTTGAATTGGACAGGTGCTCACCAAATAACTACAAAGAGCAATCATATCTTGTGGTACCAAAAAACTTATATTTGTTCGAGGCATCTTTGATGTCTATTGTTCCCTCCGACTGACTGGCTGCGTCCATTGTCCCACGTCTGCGCATGTACAGAGGACTGCACAGGGGTACTGCGTACAGTGCATTATCTGTAGGGGCCCAATGAACGACTGAACGGCGGCTGCCAGTGCTCCGTGTTGACGAGGAAGTGGATTGCTCAGCCACAACGCTAGACCCAATATACGCACCCAATGCCAAGCCACAATTACGCTGACTTCCGGCTCTCCTGTCTGTCCGGGCAAGCGCATTCTGGTTTGGACTTCCTTGACAGCAACCGATCGCCAACATCACCAACATCAATCGCGCACATACCTTCTGAGTGCACGATTGCCCAAGATGCCCGATCCATCACCTGGCGTCAACCACGCCGACTCCATCGAATCGCAACATGACACTGGAAAGAAGGAAGACAAGAAGAAGAGCCGCCGCCCAGCGAGTATGTGGAAGCCCCGGAAGGAAGCCAACCTCCCTTCGGCAATCGCGGAATCGCTGGGAAACGATGAAATGAAGATCATGCTACTGACACATGCTTTTGAACAGACACGGCATTCAGACAACAACGGTTGAAGGCATGGCAGTAAGTTTAGCAACAGCTCTTTGGAGACGACTAGTCGCAAAGGAATCTCAGTGGCTGACTGCTACAGGCCGATTTTGACGCCCAAGACTGTCCTCCCTCTCTTCTTCACGATCGGAATCATATTTGCTCCGATCGGTGGACTCTTGCTCTACGCGAGCGCGAAGGTAAGCATAGTCTTAATACACCAAAAAAGCCCTTGCTAAAACGCGCGCTTCAAAGGTGAAGGAAATTCGCATCGACTACACAAACTGCCTCACCGAAGCGACCTCGACTCTCGGTGAAATGGACTCGAAATACATCAGCACTGCGTTTAAGAGCGACGACCAGACGAAGAATGCCGAGTGGGCTGTGACAACCGTTGATGTCACCGACGGACCGATTACGTACGAGGCGAAGCAATGCAGAATTCAATTCAGAATTCCTGAGGATATGGGACCACCTGTCCTGTTCTATTACCACCTGACGAATTTCTACCAGAACCACAGACGTTATGTCGCTTCCTTTTACGACAAGCAGCTCAAGGGAAATGCCGAGTCCGCAAGCAACGTGAACAGCTCTTCCTGTGAGCCCCTGGAGTGGGATTCGGATGCCCTGAAGCCGTACTATCCTTGTGGTGAGTCTTTATGCAGTCTACTGGCTCATTAGATCACATATTCACATAGCAACAGGTCTGATTGCGAACTCCATGTTCAACGATACGTTTACTTCGCCCCGCATGCTCCAAGAGGACTCGATATACCCGATGAAGAACAACTCGGGTATCGCCTGGGCGTCCGACGCTGATCTTTATGGGGAAACCAAGTACGACCCAGCTGATGTCGTGCCACCGCCAAACTGGAGAGTCCGGTACCCCAACTACACCACTGAGCACCCTCCGCCAAACATCGCCGAGTGGCAGGCCTTCCAGGTTTGGATGAGGACTGCTGGGTTGCCAACTTTCAGCAAGCTCTACCAGCGCAACGACGACGAGACGATGAAGGCCGGGACGTACGAGGTCAACATCACCGATAGTAAGTATCTATTCAACAACCCGACTCATTGTTCAGTACTTACCTAGACACAGATTTCCCAACCACTGAGTACAAGGGAAGCAAGTCCATCGTTATCACCACGCGAACGATCATGGGTGGCAGAAACCCTTTCCTGGGTATCGCCTACATAGTAGTCGGCGGCATGTGCATCCTTCTAGGTGTGATCTTCACTGTTACCCATCTCATCAAGCCGAGGTAAGCAAGCCACGCTGCAGTCCCAAGCCCCTTCAAAACCTCGATACTGATAACCCACCTAGAAAGCTTGGTGACCACACCTACCTCTCCTGGAACAACGCCCCTGGCTCCAAGCCGGGTGCCGGTCCCAGCTCGGCAATGGCTTCAGGTCGCGAAGTACGACCCGGCGAAGCCTAGAAGGCCCGCGATGAGTCGCTGCGCCCTCTTCGTGCGCGTGCAGCATCTGACTCAACCGAACCTTCTGTGACATCGACGAGACTGGCATACAGTGTGACGGCATCGTCGTCAGCTGGGGGCCAACGCATCGTTTCCCCCCTGTCGCATTTGTGAGGCTGGGCAAGCTGACGCAGCATTGATTTGGAAGGCTAGCATCGCGGCGTTTTTGTACGGAATGACATGAAATTGTACGAGTAACGGGGGCCTCGACTGAACAAGGGAAACCCCGCCCTTCAAAGCATCTCCCGCTGCCGAGGAGTGGATCAGGAAGGGGGACTTTTGTTTATGGTATTCTTTACCGGCTGGTCAAGGACGCGCATTGTTTATTCTGCTTTCTCCTTTCATGAACTTTTTGGGGTTTCGACCCTGCATGATGAGCTTTTTTTTCAGACCCCCTCAAAAAGGGAGGGCGAGGTAGGCAACCAGCAGAAACCAAAAACGTTCCTTAGCTTACCGAGGGAATCTGGAGTTCGAGGCTTAAGGGTCAGGTAGACCATCAAATTATTCTTTCGATGCATGATTAAATCAGTTTCATTTGGGAAATTCGTGCTCATCTATTGCACTGCGTCGCTGCTCGAGGTCAATAAGCGATATCAGAGAGAATTAAAGGATACCCTCGCTGGACTTCATGATGCAATCACAAGGTAGGAATGGACCGAACATATCCATCCGGGAATCATCATGGATTAATAAGAAAGCTATCTGTTCCGTCGCCCTGAAGGCCGCAAGAGGCGGCCCGCGTTCACCAAGGACCTCTCCATACTCTCTCCACCCTAGACGCCTACACAACAAATTTGATAATACAATTGATACCAAAAACAATGCACGCATGGAAAACGCTTCCGTGTGTACCTACGATTCGCCATTTCTCATCAAATGGTGCCCTTCCACGAGCCAAATGCTCAGTGCTTCCTCTTCTTGCGGCCGCGGTCGTCATCGTCGCCACCGCCACGAGCGTCCTCTCGATCGCGCTTCTTGGCCTTTGCCTCGAGCTCGTCCCAGTCCTCACCCTCGTCTTCATCGCTCATCTCGGCGTCATCCTCCTCATCAGAGACGTTTGAACCAAAATCGGAGTCTTCCTCGCTCGATTCGGAAGCCTCGTCAAGCTCGTCAGACTCGATCTCAAAGTTACTCTCAGGCTCAGACTCCTCGCCCTCGTCATCGGACTCTGCCTGCAAGAAGGACCAACCACCATCGATGAAGAACTGGTGGGTGTCAGCCGTGACCGTCTTCATGATGGTCGGCCAGTTCAAGTTGAGGGGACCCTCAGAGTATGCAATATCTGAAGAGTCCAAGAACTCCTTGACGTGGTCGAGAAACTCTACTGGAATAGTGTTGACGTGGTAAGGTGCTCTCGTGAAATCTTTGAAGACGAAAACCAGATCAAAGTTCTTCAGACCGAACTGCACACGTTCCAAGTGAGCCACTTCTATATCGTCCAATGTGATGACCATGAAAGGCGGCTCGACGACCTGGATCAGACATTCCGTGGTGGGCTGGATGAAGACGTTGCTTCGGAAAGGCACACCGTGGAAGCCAAGGTCCCTGATGGGGACATCTACTTCGATGTTCTCGTTCTTGCCAGCCTCAGCAATCTTCTGGGCAAAGCCTTGGAACAGCCGGTCAAGCTCGGCACGGCGACGACGCTCCTCCTGTTCCTGCTCGAACTCGTCCTCATCACCGTAACGGTATTTTCTCTTGCGGTTGCCTGTTTCATCGAACTGGATATCAGTCGCCTCGCGGTAAAACTGCACATCCTTGGTCTTCTTCTTGTTGGCAACCATGATGGGGTCTTTCAGGTGAATGTGGATGATGACGATCAATTCGTGCTGGCAAGGCTGGAAGAATAGGTGGCGAACGTTTGAGAACAGAATGTCGACGCGTTGCTGCGTGCTCAGCGGCGACTGGTATCGAATACCATTCTGGTGGATCTCCACCTTACCAGGAACTCGCTTTCCTTCCATGGCAGGGCGAATGAAGACGTTGTCGAGCACAGCGGGACGGCGATCTAGCAGAGTTCGTTAGGAGGCTTCTCATGGCGATCAAGGAATGGGCTAGCTTACTTCTTATTTCGACGAGCTTGTCCTGCTCGACAACATCCTCCAGCTCCTTCTTCTCCTGTTCCTTCTTGTTCACATCCCGCTTCATATTGGAAATCTGGGTGGCGATTTCTTGGTAGCGGTCGCCATCCGTCGACCTGAACGTCAGACTTCTGACGAAATGGGCTGACGCATCCTCGAAAGGCTGGTCATCTTTGCGACCGACTCCCTGACCAGGTGAGAGAAGGTTGATTCTAAGGAACGACCAGTCGCCCTCATCACTCTTACTGGCATTCTTGATCGTGTTGATGTGGAACGGCACAGGGCGGCCCATGACAGGAAGCACCACTGTGTCATTTCTCGCATCAACCACGATCTGTAGTTCGCGAACCTTGGGAGGGAACTGGTTGTCGCGCTTGTATGAGTCAAAGCGCTTGAACTTCTTTACCTCTTTGCCGTTCTGCCCACTAGTAGACTCGGAGAAGCGCGCCAGACCTTCCTTTTGCTTCTTTGACGCCAAGTCCTTCTGATGTTCTCGGCGTCTCTTGTCCGCATCGTCATCGACTGTGGTTGTCCGCTCGGATCTCAACCTCGTAGAAGTGATGTTTTTAGTAGCAACAGCACCAACTCGAGAATCCTTCTTCTCCTTCTTGGGCGTAGGCTGAGCCTCCTCCTCGTCTTTGAAGAAGAAGGAATTTGAATCCGCGTCAATGGGAGTATCTCCGGTGAAAACGACTGCCTCGCTCGATGTCACACGGATCGTGTCGGTGATGACCAAGGAGTAGATCTTGCTGCTCTTGTCCTGTGGTTGAGGATTCTCGATATCGCTGAAGCCGGTAGTGATGACAAGAGTCATGCCATCCTTCAGGGCTCGGGAGTTCTTGGCGTTGAGAATCAAGGTCGGGTCTCTATTCTCCAAACCGACACCCCAACCAACGTTTTTCAAGAAGTGTTTCTCCAAGTCAGGTTTCTTGGCCTTGATCATGCTCAAGGCCTTGTTGTAGACCTCCTTGATAACGACGCCATCGCGGACCTCTTTGAGGATCATGTTGTGGATGTTGAAAAGAAGCTTGTAGTTGCTCTCTTGCGACTTGTTGGGGTCAACGAGATACGTGCGCGCGATAGCCGAGCAATACGACTTGTAGCGCAAGCCCATAGCAGCAACAATAGTACCGGGGTGCAAAATGTCGTCGTTGCTCTCCGAGTTCATCTTCAGGTCGTATTTCCCACCACTCTGCACAAGAGGGCCCAAAACCCAGTCCAGCTGTGCGGGGTCCAGGTCTGCAGGAAGTTTGGTCTTGTTTGGAAGCTCAACCGTCTTCCAGAACTTGTTGTCGTCGAGCTTCTTGTCGACCTTGTCTGCCAGTGCGCTGTGCTTGACCTTCTTCTCCTTATCAAGAATGTCCGACATTTCTTCGAGGAAAAAGGGGGTCATCAGGGCGACGCAGGCCTTGGAAGCAGTTCGCATGGCTCGGAGCTCGGTTTCGTCCTTCACGGAGAAGGCATGCTGGGAAAGGGCTTGGGAAACGTCGACCTCTTCGATGTCTTTGCATTGATCGGCGAAAACCTTCTTCCACTCTTCGATGAAGGGACCCTTGGAGGTGTCCTTGGCAATGGTGCCAACTTTGCTCTGCGAGACGGTTGGATTAGTGACGATCGATGTTGGCCGCACGTAGCAACGACTTACGCCCGAAGATTTGATGACTTCAGCGAGCTTGACGAAAAGCTTCTCGTTCTCTGCGGCGTCCTTGCCTCGAACGAGAACCTCGAGAGGGAATCGACCGTTCTTCAACTGTTCCAGATGTTTCGCTGTCATTGAGTTAGCTGACGCTCGCTGTGTGTGCGGCGCAGTGATGGCGAAAACTCCTCACCTTTCTTCGCAGTCGTGAGGATATAGATCTTCTCGGTCGTGAGCAGCATCATCGTCGTCGGGAATTCGTAGCCAAGAAGCCAAAACTAATTGCGCACAAAAAAAAAAGAAAGTCAGCTCTTGATCTCTGCATGGTGACGATGGCAAACACAATGGAAATTGCCGTGTCGTCCCGGGTTGGAAGGGAGGCGACTAACGTGCATGGCGTTGTTCTTGTGCAGCTCGGGGACCTCCTCCACCTTGCCCATCATCACGACGATGGACGAGGCGCCGTGGAAGATGTTGCCATCCTTGGATCGCAAGTCATTCTTCCAAGCGCTGGCGAGGCGCGAAGTGCGCTCGTGGAAGGCCTTGTTGTCGATCTTGATCTCCGCCATCGTCGCTGCGTAGTGAGTGACGGATTTGTTGGCAGAGAAGGGGTGAAGAACGAAAGGTTCCAGGTTGCCGCTGGCGACGCGAGATCCGAAAAATCCACCGCGTAAATTGGGAGAGGTAGGAGCTCTGCACGTGACCCGCCTCGCGCTTTCACTTTCTTCCCACCTAAGGTTCTTAGGCAGTCACGTCAGTTGGCTGCAAGTTGCTGGGGGTCGCGGCGCGATTGTTGGTGGAGTAAGGTAGCGTGGAGAAGCTTGCGGGGGTACCGAGCAGGTGAGTTGGGCCTGTTCACTGTTCAGGTGGCGAGCTAGCGCGAAATGTGCTGAAGGAGTTGGAGCTTTGGCGACCTAAGGTATGTACCAATTGGTGTCAGTGTTAAGTTGGTAATTGCTGTGCAACTGGCAGGGCAAGTTGACGTCAAAGCTTCCTGCCCGGGCCGGCACCTTGAACTGGAGTTCTTTGCGAAGTCCGTCATGGAATTTCTCTCAGGCGGCAGCAAAGAAAGCCAATCCTCAGAAACACAGAGAGGGAAGGAGCAGGTTCAGCACGTTGCGCAACAGATCAAGTAGGGCATAGGTAGCATTGTTGCTGAGAGCGCACCAGCTACTCAAAATCAGAGGTCCAGACAGCCGGGTACTTCCATTCACGAAGACCAAGTGCTCGCAAGAAAGCATCCGTAGGGACAGAAGTAGGACAGGTCACTGTCAACCTAAGTCTTGGGAAACACCAGATCTATCCCGCTCCAGCTAATCCTATAATCAAGTGTAGACATGGTAATTTGGTTGACAATGATCAATGAATACCATTTTCATAGTGTCTAGTGCTCGACTCTTCTCGATGGCATAACAACATTGATAAAATATGCCTCTCTATCCTGACTCTGCAGAGACTCAACTCCATATTTCTTCCATGCAAGTCATCCCCAATCCCCCAGGGAAATAAACGAGACGGCTCTCCACTGAAAAAAAAAAGGATTCCCGCCTGTTACCGACACTTTAAGGAAGTATCCGTACCCAAGAGTGCCCTGCCGAATCGCCCGACCGTTCCTTGAGAGACTTGCAGGCTACAGTCGGGTGTCCCAAGCGACACCGGCATCGCGCCGGGACAGCATTCAACCGGAAGACCCAGAAATTTGGCAAGAGGGGGGAAAGAACGCTCGCTCGGCCCGCCCGATTTTCGGGATGTGGAGACGGGACTTATACGCAACCCCGCGTGAACCCCTCGGATGAAATAAAAGAAGGCATTTCGTAAACCTCACTTTTCTGTCTTGAAGATATCATCACTTCACAGATCAAAACCGCCAACCACATCGGTTTACATGAGCTCGTTCTCAAGGTTCCTCAACCTTTTCAAACCCAGAAAGACGCCAACCATACCCCTCACAACACCATCACCAAGAACCCCTTCCCCCTTTGCAACCCCCCCAAAACCATCCAAAATGCGTCTCCCCTACGTCCCCAACCCTCCCCAAACCACAACCCCCGAAGACGCCGCCATCGTCTCCCGCATCCAAGCCCGCCGCGCGCCCCGTCCCCTCCAGGCCCTAGACCTGACCCTTCTGCACGCGCCCCCCGTCGCCGACGGCTGGAACTCCTTCCTCGGCGCCGTCCGCACCCAGACCACCATCCCCGCCGACCTCCGCGAGCTCGCAATCTCCCGCGTCGCCGTCGTCAACAAGGCCTGGTACGAGTGGGGCCACCACGCGCCCCTCGCCGTCGCCGCGGGCGTCTCCCGGGAAGGCATGGACGCCATCAAGACCGAGGCCCCGCTCGACCTGGCCAGCCGCCCCGCGCTGTACCTCAGCGAGAAGCAGTGGGCCGTGCTCGTCTACTCGGACGAGATGACGAGGAACGTTCGGGTCAAGGACGAGACGTTTGCCAAGCTCAAGGAGCTGTTTAACGAGAGGGAGGTGGTGGAGATTACGACGACGGTTAGTTCTTTTCTCGGGCGAAGGGGGGATGAGAAGGGGCCGAGGCTGGGAAAGGAGAGAAGCTAACAAACGAATCCAGGTCGCGTGCTATAACTGTGTGAGCAGATTCCTGGTGGCTCTCGATGGTAAGATGGGACCCTCTACGTCTTCAAGTCGAATCGATTCTAATATTCAAGCAGTCGGTGAGAGGAACAGCACTGGGCCTGGCGATGTAGCTCTGCCTTCCCACTAAGCCAAAGAACACACAAGACATAATCAAAATAGTATGCTTAAGCCGGGGGATCTTGTACTGAATTGGGAAAATGAAAAGACTAACTGATCAAGTGTAGTGTAAATATGCCATGGGGCTAATAATGCTGTGAAAAAGGGGTATCTCATCTAAGTGAAGTGATGTGTAAATCCTCCTGCTAAACGGTTTAAAAGAGTAAAAGTTCTCCTCATCCCCAATCCTCTCCCTAAACCTCCCATGAACCTCCCATGAGACTCCTGTGAACCTCCGTGCCCGCCTTGCGCCTGTGACCCCTCCATTTTCTTCATAAAGTTCGTGCCCGCAGTTTTCACTGCGGGCGTGGGAGAGCTGACAGATGGTCTGCCAATGATGCCCCCCCAAGATGCTTTTCCGAGGCCTCAAGCTGAGTGCCACCAGATAATGTGTCGTCTGTTCAATATGCATATGCAAGTGTTCATACGTCGTTAGTGCCATGTAACCTGTAGTCGTAAGCCGGTAAATCGTTCTTCGTCGTAGTTTGCGTAAGTGTAGGTGCCGTCTATAGAGTTTCGACGCTTCCCCATGTCTGCCGCAAGCAACACTTCCTGAATCCATCGCCGTATCAAATCGTCAGCTTGGAGTTGGCCAACTCTTGTTCGATGGATCTTTCGATGGAGGAGCGTCGCTTGTGCATCCGGGGACTCTTTTGCAGTTCCTGAACCACACCCGCCCACCCCAGCTTGTGCCCGGGTTGCGTAGTCTCGCGATGACCGATAGCTTGGGTAGTTAGCCTTCGCAGCGGCGGCCGCTCTCGAATCTCCTCCGTTAAGGCGCGCGTCAAGTGGGCGTTTAGGTTGGTCATTGAGGGCGTGAAAGGGGAAACAGGTGTCTTTTCCGGGTCTCTTTGCGGTGTCGTTGGTGTTGCGACGGGCATTTGACGTTCTGCTGTGACGTTTGCCCGATCCGCGACCACACCCATGTATACTACGAGGAAGCGCATCCTCACGAGATCCAGCCGGCGCACACGCTCCTCGAGATCGCGGCGCTTGCTCGCCCAGAGAAGGCGGGCGCTCAGGCGTAGAGAAGTGGTGTCTTCGGAGAGAAGCAGCAAGTTGATCTCTTCACGCAGGTCATCGCCGCCCTTTTGGATCTCGCGCAGAAGTCGCCCTAAGCGGAGCTTATCTTCAAGGCGCTGAACCTTAGCAACATCGCGATCGTAGCTCTCGTTCTCCTCGACCGAAAAGTCGACGGCATCGATAAAAGATGTGATCTCGTTGGGAGCGACACGATAGGCAGTGATATACGTTGTCAGGATCTGGGAGAGTACGACGAGGGAAAGGAGGAGCGCGGTCAGAATGAGGACGAACGTCCACTGGCGCGCTTCGTTCTCGGCCATGGCGGAGAGCGAAGCACGTAAGAGAAGAGTGTAAGTGGCGGGTCAAATGGCGAGGGACTATCGCACCATGATGCGACGGAAGGGTTGTTCGTCAATAAGTATGCGTAGGCCTACACAGGGATGTGATTCGCGACGGACAAAGGCAGTGTTTTCAAAGTAGAGAGACGGCACAGTCAAGATGTGAAAGGAGGGAGTAGGCAACGTTGATGACGGCTGAAGTGTGTACACGAAATCGGAGGGGAGGAAGGGCAAGGAGGGCAAGGAGGGCATGGAGGGCATGGAGGGCTTCGCGGTGGTATTACTGTACTCCCGTCATGACCATCGACGGCAGGAGTTGGTCGTTCCGCTCCGCGCAGTGCTGTGCGCGCCAGTACGACGTTAGGGTCTGTAAGTTGGGTTCCAGATGCAGCGCAATCAAATAATGCCTCCTCTTCCTTGCCTTTTCCTGCCCCTCTTGGATGCGGCCTCCCTTGCATCTTTTTGCTCGTGAGGTGTAGCCACTTGGCGGCATGAGCCAATAAATGGCACCGAGGTCGCTCCTAACGGGTCCTGCTCGTCGACTGTGGGATGCGACGCTCCCATGGTTGGTGGTCTCCCCTGCAGCTGCATATTGGAGCGTCACCTGTCACTGGACAGACGAGGGTGAACTTCTGTATCCAGCATGGCTTCACTGTGGCCCGAACGTGGCTCGAGAACCGATCCGATGGGGCCGGTGCTCTTCTTCTGCCCTAGACGGTGGGAACTTGGAAGTCGAGGGCTGAGCTTGTGACCAACAGTAGCACTCACCATCGCGGCCCTCGTCTTCGGGGCTTCGTTGGGTGGATTTGTGCGTACCCACTGTGCTGCATATCGCGGGCAAAGTCCACCGACTGGTGTCAAGAAGGGGAGAAACCCTCGGGCGGATTGTGACTTTTGGCGGTAGAAGACGCGACGGGAAGGGCTAGAACCTGGAACCTGGAACCCAGCATTGCGGACGGCGGTGGGCGATGGGCGAGGGGTAAGTTCCATGATGAGGGGTTGTCTGGCGGTCAGCGAGCGAGACAAGATGAGACGACTGGGACGAGGCGAGGACGGAACGGCATGTCTGTTTCTGTTGGTGCTGGTGTTGGTGCTGATGCGATTTGCCTAGCCGAAATCGTGATGAAGAGAAAATAAAAGGCATGGAAGGCATAGTTACAAGTTGGTGTAATCAAAGTGTGCAGCTGCAGGTGTGTTCGCTTGTCTCCAGTACCTTGATTTCAGTCAGGTACCTTACATACTTTGGAAGCGCCATAATGTGCCATCCGAACACTGCAACCTGCGGGTTCTGTTTGGCTCCACGCACCAGCCATGTAAGAGGCTGGACACTTGTATGTTGAATGGCTTACTGACTTTTAACCCTTGCGCTTGCGCTGCGTTTGTTCTGCATTTCAGGTCAGCGGGGAGGTTTAGCTCACTGGATCACCGGTAGGTGCATGATGAGTGCTAGTTGCTAGCCAAGCCGCCACAACAATTGGACGCTCAAGGTAACCATTTGGGGCGGCCAGAATACAGGCAGAAGTTAAGTTCGGGAGGACAAGCCGAACAACATCGACATTGAGATTTAATGTGAAAATCAGTCTACTCCCAAACCTGCCCCCGGGTTTGCCATCATCAAGATGTGCAGCAGGAGACATATCGGAGCGAATGTAAACCACCTCGCCGACCTATCTAATCCCAGGTTGCATGGAAATACGGAGCAGTGGAGAATATGTCAACATCCCCAGATCCACTTTCCCTATCTAGACCTTTAGATGCCAACATATTCTGGAGGGTGCTCACTTTTGGATTGAGTTTATAAGTCACGTATTATCACATCAAAAAAGGTACGATCGAGTGAGGTTGATGAGTCAATTCATCTCTACCTGCAGGACTATCTGGGGATATGCATTTTCGTGCAAGGGGTATCAAATTCCATCTGCGTCCTCAATCCTGCCATGCTCCACGCCAATTGGCGCTGGATTTAGTGCTGTCTGGCCTCGGCCTGCTTCTGTATGTCATGCTCGGCACCACGCTGCTGAGTCTTGCCTGTGTCGTGGAGACCCTCGTAGTGTGCCTGGCCAGCCTTGTCGCCGGTAAGGCCAGCGACAGCACCACCAATGGTGCCCTGGACACGGTTGCCAATGCCAGAGGTATAATCGTTGAGCTGGCCCTTGGCCTCCTGCTCCTGGCCCTGGAGGTTCTGCTCACGACCTTGCTGCTTCAAGTTCTGTAGCCACGCTGTCAGCTTGCTAGGTGCTTATGGAACAGGGAGTGGGATTTGTAGACAAGCTTACCTCGGAGCCGACAAGACCACCAACAGTCTCCTTAGCAGAGCCGACGGTCTGGTTCCAGGAGCCGCCAGCACGATCGGGGTCGTCCTTGGTCACACCACCAGCGGTGGCAGTGAAGCCGGGAATCTTAGCAGTAGCGTGGGAAGCATCGTGTTCGAGCTGTGCCTTGTCCTGCTTGGCCTCTCCCTTGTTCTGATCGGCAGTGCTGCCGGTAAGAGAGCCGAGAAGATTCTGGGCAGCGCCAGTGGCAGAGTCGACGTACGACTTGAGGGTGGAAGTGTTGTCGTTGTTGGCAGCCATGGTGAATATGGTGTGGTTTGATTGCTCTGATGAGTCTGATTGATTGAGTAATGTGTATTGCTTGTAGGTTGCGTTTGATGGATGATGTGAATTGTTGATGTGGGAGAGGAAAGAGAGTGTTGCTGAGGAGGATGGATGGTATTTATGAATGGAGAGAACCACGACCAGACTCCTCCACTTTCTTAGGCAGGGAGCATGTGAATCGCCATTGTTCTGGCAACCGCGATGGCATTTGCCAGACGAAGCTGGAGGTGTGATGTCATTTTGGAGATGGTGCCTGTGGCTGCAAGAGCAGAGGAGGGGGCCACTTTGGGTCATTGTGGAGGACAAACGCGGGATGGAGGGGCAGCTTCGTACCCTGCGCACCTTCCATGATGTCATTTTGCGACTGAACGCCTTCCGGACTAACGACCACGCCATCGTCGCGGCGTCGCCCCTTTCCTCGTGCCCCCCAAATCCCCAAATTCCCAACACACTTTCAGGCTTCACACTTTTCGTCTGGAAACATGAGACGCCCTGCATACTGCGTAAGGTAGGCCATGTGAGCCCACAACAGACGTAATGAGGACCAGTCTGGACCTTCCCTCTCCGACGCATTACCATTTGAGGAATGGTTGATGATGCACATCTTCCGCCCGCCTTGGCAAGAGCTGTTCCCCCCAACTTGCAAGTTGCCAGACATGGCCATACCGCAATGACAACGCCTATCTGCCTGCCTCCTAGGTTGTCTATGCCATCGTGGTTGAGCAAGTAGGGTATCAGTATAGCATTCGTGCCGTAGGTAGTGCGAGCAAATTCATCCTTGCATTAGACCGCTGAAGAAGCCGGACAACCGATGACATTCCGCTTGCTTCATGTAGCTTGCTTACACTGATCGGCGGCTTGACACAATGCACTCTTGACATACTTGATGTTCCTGCAGAGAACCGTGGCACCTGGGGAATCATGTCAAGGCTTACACAAGGTATGCCAGACTGTCACTTGTAGGCGACACCGTCGGCTAGCACACGGAGCTTTCGCTTGCGTGTTTGTCCATAGCTCGAAGCTTCTCTGTTGTGATTCATGCTGAGAGAAGTTCTTTTGTTGGGGTCGCTCACAACCGTAGTATACAGGCCAAATTCTTCATAAAAACAGCCGATTGCCGCCGTGCCGGCTCTTGCCGGCATCTGGTCTTTCCGACCAGTATCTCAACTCTCCGTAGTCCCCGATCCCAACTCCAATATCCCTGAGCAAAAACGAAAGGCTGGCTGTTAAGGTATCTCAAATGTGGGTTTTAATACAAGCTACTCCGGGTAAGAAAGACTCGGGTGTCTTCCTGCAAGATCCTCAACGGGCTCACAAGGGTCGAGTGCTGAAGAGTGCAGGTGTTGATGGGCAGGTGTGCATCATGTCGAGCATACTGCCCTTAGTGCTGGCTCCACTGGATAGTGTTGAGGTCAACACCCTCCTGCACCAACTCCCAAAGCGGGCTCAGCTCGCGCAAGAAGTCGACTCTCTCCTTGACTGCCTTGAGAACGTAGTCAATCTCCTGCTCGGTGGTGAAACGGCCAATACCGAATCTGATACTGCTGTGGGCGCTCTCATCGCTATTACCCAAAGCACGAAGAACGTAACTGGGCTCCAGTGATGCAGAGGTGCAGGCACTGCCAGAAGACAGCGCGATGTCCTTCAAGGCCATCAGGAGAGACTCGCCCTCAACATAGGCGAACGAAACGTTGACACATCCAGGGTAGAAGTGCTCAGGGTCGCCGTTCTGGGTGGTGTGCTCCAGCGACAACAAGCCATTGAGGAGTCTGTCAGACAAGAACTTGATACGCTTCGAGTCGTACTGATAAAACTGTTAGCTGCTGTGTATAGATGCAGGATACCATAAACAGAGCAGAAGGGTTAGGATAAGGTCAGACAGGTTGCTATTTTTCAACATGGACGTCCTTGTCACGGGACATTCAGAAAGCCATGCATGTAGGAGCGAATCATCATATGGGTAGGCTGGGGAAAGGGAACTGAATGAAACCTTGAACATACCTCCATTTCCTCGTAGGCGATGCGGCACGCCTCGCCGAAGCCAGCAATCAGTGGCGGTGCGAGAGTACCGCTTCGCAAACCTCTCTCCTGTCCGCCTCCGCTGATAATAGGGTCAAGTCTGACTCTGGGCCGGCGGCGGACGTAGCAAGCTCCAATGCCCTTGGGGCCGTAGATCTTGTGTGAGGAGATAGACATCAAGTCGATGTTCATCTTGTTGACGTCCATGGGAATCTTTCCGACAGCTTGTGCAGCATCGGTGTGGAAGAACGTTTTCCTCTCGCGGCAAAGCTTTCCAATGGCCTCCAATGGCTGGATAACTCCGATTTCGTTATTCACAGACATAATGCTGACAATGGCAGTGTCCGGACGAATCGCTGCAGCTAGCTCATCCATGTCGATCAAGCCAGAGTTCTTGACCGGGAGGTATGTAACTTCGAAGCCCTCATCTTGAAGATGGCGGCAGCTGTCAAGAACGCACTTGTGCTCCGTCTGCGAAGTGACAATGTGCTTCTTCTTTCCAGATCTGCCAAAGAACCTTGCGACTCCCTTGATGCTCATGTTGTTGCTCTCGGTGGCGCCACTCGTGAAAATAATTTCCTTGGGATCCGCACCGATAAGCTTCGCAATGTGGCCTCGAGCCTCCTCGACCGCTTCCTCACTTTCCCATCCGTATGCGTGCGTTCTCGAATGTGGGTTTCCGTAGATACCAGTCATGAACGGTAACATGGCATCGAGGACGCGAGGGTCGACGGGAGTCGTGGCTTGCATGTCGAGATAGATGGGCCGCTGGCCCTCCTCCATCGTAGTGACTTGCTTCAGGACCTCAGCCATGGGGCTAACCATGACATTTGAAGCATCGGGAGACTGAGGGACAACATCGATGAAGTCTTTCTTGTCAAGCTTGATGGCCGTTTCGATGTTAACCTGTGCATTATCACGTTTCGTTTCCGAGACGTATCTGCGCTGCTGAGATAATCTGTGGGTTGGCGCAACCGCCACCCTTGATAATGAGGAAATGCCTCGTGAGGGAACACCCGGCACCTGCGTATAGCGGCAAAGGCGACCTGCCTGCCTGAAGGCGGATGATGTGATGCTAGCCATGATGTGTTTGATGTTGATGGCGTAGGGAAGAAGAGGGACGCGAGCTTCAGGGAGAGGAAAAGGAAAAGAGAAATTCTAGAAAGAGGAGAAGCTACCCTACTCAGGATGGGGATAGTTTTTTTTCGTGACAAATTGCATCGGAGACCGCCTCGGGGTCGGGGATAAACACACGGGCCGTGATTGGCCAGATCTGGGATGACGTTCTCTATTCAGCTGCAGTCCTTTTTGGGAGGCGGTTTCGGCTACGGCACCTGTCAGGACCGACACCCCCGAAAAAGCAGCAGCCCAAGATTGGGCCGCGCCTCGTAGGGTCAAGAAGCACAGGCGGGCGCGGCAGGGAAGCCGAAGGTTGCAAAGGGACGGTCCCTAATTACCTGGTCCTTACCTTCCTATGCCATGATGTGTCTTACTCAAGGATGATTAGCTAAACAAAACGTAAACGGGCAGGCCTCCCAGGACTTGGACAAAGTGAATTGGGTCTTTGCTGAAATGCTGAATGCGGCCGGACTGGGGACGAGGATCTTTGCAGAGACGGGCTCTCGGAGTCGCCCTGCTCTTCCACCGCTTTCGCCGCGACCGAGCAACTGTATTCCACTTGCCTTTCTTCCTTTTGCATTGTTCAATTTCCCAAACCGAAGCTCCGAATATCCTCAAGTCCATCCCCTTCCTTCTCTCCAACCCTTTTCTGAGATTCTTTCTCTCATCCACAAATCGCAGCGTCATCATCGCGAAACATCTGTTTCCCACGTCGCAGTGCTCCGTTCTTCCCGCTGACCCCGCCAGGCACCTACTTTAGGTACCTTAGCTTCTGCATAGTAGCGCCTTAGCTCCTGTCTTTCGGCACCTCATGCGCCACAGCCAAGCGACACTGCGCAGAAGCTGACTGACACAGCCACGCCTACGTCGTCACCAGCGACAATCAGGTTGCGAGAGCCCACACCTCATAAGGTTGGACGTCGAATACCCTCAACTTTCAAGCAGCGACGACCCTCGTCAAAACCTTCAGCCTACGATACCACCTTCTCAACCCTTTATTGGCACGAACTTTTCAAGTACCTAATCCGATACATCACCACCACAAAATCACCCCGCCATGAGCTTCCGGGGCTTCCAGAAAAGCGTCATTCGGGTACGTGTGTCCACTTAATGAGGGGTCCTCCCGTGCCTTCCGCGTGGTGACGTGAAGACGGAACACAAAAATTGGCTGACTATTGATCTCCTTTTCTCCACGACAAACAGGCGCCCCAGCAATTCAAGTCGCGCTTCAATATCGGCGAGCACACAAAGGATGCCGTCTACATCGATTCCGAGCGCAGATTTCAAGAGCTGGAAACCGAGACGAAGCGATTGCACGATGAGTCCAAGAAATACTTCGACGCCATCAACGGCATGCTCAGCCATCAGATCGAATTCAGCAAGGCCATGACCGAAATCTACAAACCCATTTCCGGTCGCATGTCGGATCCCGACAGTTTGGAGGTTCGCGGCAACCCCGAGGGTATCCGTGCCTGCGAAGAGTACGAGGCTGTCGTCAAGGATTTGCAGGAGACTCTTGCGCCAGAGTTGGAGATGATAGAAAGTAGGGTTATTCGCCCAGCCAACGAACTCCTCGATGTCGTCAAGGTCATTCGCAAGTCAGCAGCGAAGCGCGAACACAAGAAGCTCGATTACGACCGACACAGACAAACCTTGAAGAAGCTGCAGGACAAGAAGGATCGGAATGCCAAGGATGAAAAGGCTCTGTGGAAAGCGGAGAACGACGTGGAGCAGGCGACTCAGGAGTTCAACTACTTCAACGATCTTCTCAAGGAGGAACTGCCGCGCCTGTTTGCGCTCGAGCAACAATTCATCCAACCTCTCTTCCAGTCCTTCTACTACATGCAACTCAACATCTTCTATACGTTGCACGAGAAGATGCAACACTGCGACATCGGCTACTTCGACCTAACGCTCGACGTACTTGAGGCATTCCACAAGAAGCGAGGTGATATTCAAGAGCAGGCGGAGAAACTATCCATTGTGAAGTTCAAGACGACTGGTCAGAGACGTCCGGTAAAATACGGCGGCCGTCCCGCAATCGAGGGCAAGCCTCAACACCTGCTTACCGCTGGACCTTCTTCCTCCTCAGCTGCCTCCACAACCTCAGCAGCGCCCACAAAGTACGGTGGCTACACCAAGCAAGGAGAAACCGCCGACGCGAACCCGCCCCCTCCATACTCTCCTCCGCCCACGAACGGAACTTCTGGCGGAGGACTCGCCGCTATTGCCGCAGCAAAGTCAAAGCCTCCTCCGCCCAAGCCCAAACCCAGCCGACTCAGCGGAGCGCCCGCGGCCGAACATGTCACCGCCTTGTACGACTACGCTGCACAAGCTGAGGGCGACCTGAGCTTCAGGACGGGCGATGTCATCGAGATCATCAGCAGAACAAAGAACGAGAATGAGTGGTGGCAAGGTAGATTGAACGGAAAGACTGGGCAATTCCCAGGTGAGTTTTCGTCACCGGCCAGCACAAACTTGAATAGAGACAAAGACTAACTTTCTCCGCGCAGGGAATTACGTGAAACTGAATTGAGTGGGAGCGACTAATAGAGACTCCCAACCCACCAATAACGATCGACACCCGTGATCTTCACCCAAATACACTGTGCCGCAGAGGCACATTAATGAACAACTGCTAGGGCATCGAAAGGGAAGCGCGAAATACTTGCATTTGGGATCTTCGGCGTACGCAGAAGGGACTGCCCCATTATTTCGAGTCGGAAAACACTTGAGAGAGGAGCGAAGGCAAAGGGAGAGAAAATGAGGGAAACTTGGATGTAGGGGAAGGGAGGAGGGGTGGGAGAAAGGCTGAGGAGAGACGTCGCTTTGCTTTTACCCTGGGAGAAGTGTCCATGTGACACGAGTCTGTTGGTCGCCTCACTTTTATTTCTCCAGGTTTTCGGTGTAGAGAGACCGGCATCGGAGGCGGTGGCATAGCAAAGGATGGCCTTCTGATCCCATACCTACTACGCCTTTTTCAAACGATTCTGCAATTGTTGTGTTGTCAAAAATCACAAGAGCTCTCTCAATTCTGCGAGCATCATCGGCGTGCTGTAAGTATTGCGTGATTCCACATGAGAGAGCTGGCCATTTGCTTTTTACTGGTTTGTACAGTTCCCAAATGTCTCGTATCAGAAGTACAGGGAGGCGGGGGAGATCCGAGAAATGAGGCTCACTCTCCTCTTGGTATTTCACCCCCTTTTTTTTGATCCTCGACAAACATGTTCGCTTGCGGCTCAGCCTGCCTATAGCTTCATGTATGATCCCGGCCGGCGGTGGTGTGAATGGCAAGTCTTTGAAGATTGAACAGTCCAGTCGTGGTCCACGGGGCGCCCTTTTGCATTGTAATTTTCAATTTGAGAAAGAGGAGCCCTTTCGGAATCGGCAGGGTGCATAAACAGCACTGGGATATATATGCAAGTTGTCGAGGTCTGGTAGAATCATATTTACGTATGCATCTATAAGCTGCCGGCCAGCGTGACCTCTTCTTCCCCAGGAGCCCAAGACCCATGGAAGCCCGTTGACCCCTGACTCCGAGGGTACCATTGCGTCTTTGGCTGGTCATTAAGCCAGTCTCGGGGCTTGGGACATGCAGCTCGACCCTATCCACCCTTATGTTTTGGTTTGTCAAAGTGCAGGTTCGACGTGGGACAACGGGGCGAGGCTCCTTGGGTGAGGCGAGCAGCCTATCGACGGGTTCTGCCTCAATTGGTCTGCTGGTATTCACAACTCCGTCTTTGTATCGGCAATCGGCGGGAGAAAACTGGCAGGGTAGGCCAGCTGTCGCTTTCCTGTGGGAAAAGCTTTGGGTAGTAAGATCTCAGAAGGAATATCAGCTCCTATGGTAGTATCGTCCAACGGGAGATCAGCTCCTGCTCAATCCCACACGCTAAGGATCGGCCTCTCACCTGTCTCGCTGGCTAACTGATACCACTCGAAGTAATAAATGTAAGATACGGAGTAATTAATGAAGATAGATTTAGAACGGGGGTCGGGCTAGCTCGCTTATAGTGAGAGCCCCTTGGTAGAAACCGGGGTACTCCGTAGGCAACTCTACACTAGAGTCCCCATCGTGCGAACCACATCCTTCCTGAGCGGGGTGAACAAGGGCTTTTGAGCAGAAAACAAGGCAGCCGACATCCATTCCCCTGTCCAAGTACAAAAGCAAAGAATCCAGGCGGACGCTACTGTGAAGCTCCAGTGGGCTGCCTGCAGTAACTAACGATAGAAGTTGGCATACAAGTAGGTGCAGTTGTCGTCGGCCGAAACCCTCCGTCCCACAACTTTTCGCGTCTTTGAATGGAGCAAAATACAAAATTTATGCGGGATCGTCAGCTTGGTAACCCTGTTGAAAAAGTGCCAGCATGAGATCTTGCCAGTGAGGGATGCTAGTAAGACGTCTAGAACGTTTGATAGAGCTGCCCGCGGCAGGCTCTCATCAGCAACACCGGCACGGGACCGAGTGATCCTTGCAAAACGCAAAGTTGAAACCAACAGGATTTTCAAGAGCAGATGTGGGTTGTAAATATGCGGCCGAGGCTCTTCTTATCCAGGATGGCGCGTCTGGTCTGCCGATGCCCTCCTGCACGTTGGCAGATGTTTGTGACGGGTCAGGAATGAACCCTTCACTAAAGGAAGAGTTTCTCGAACCAGGAGCAGACACCGGCAGGGACTGCGGCGTAGGATAGGGCCCCGGATCTCTCGCATTGTCGCCTTCTGTCGCTTTGTGGTTGCAAGGTGGTCTTGTTGGGCCGCCAGGCCACCGAGCGAGTCCGGTGAGCTTAATGGAAGGGTCAAAACAGATGAAGACCAAAGGCCGTCTGGTTTGAGATCCCCTTTGCCCAATGGCGTATACCAAGGAGCGCTCATCCATTACCCCCGAGATGTTACCGAATGTAATTTGGCCTTTGGGATAGAGTATGTTGTCCAATGCGTCAAGATGCACATTTCGTTGGCTCACGTCGACCTCTGGTGGCCACGATGAGATCTCGTTAGGCCTAGGGGTCTGGTGAGAGACCTGAGCAGAAATGTCAGCTGGTGACTCCTTCGGAACCCGGCCGGTTCCGCTCTGGGGGAAACGAGAAATTGAACGTATTTGCGGTCTTTGCGTCATCGATTCGGTAGCGACAGGATCGTTTACCAGGTCGATGAATGTCTCGCAAGACTGATTATAAGAACGTATAAAGCATTGGCTTAATGTTATGGTCGGCGATGTTGAGCCGTCATCGCCTCTGTGAACGTAGGTTGTGTCCCCTTGCTTCTCCAATGTGACTGACTTAGCAGATGAGCAGCGCGGGGTTGACATATAAACGGTTTGGTGTGTGTCAGCTTCGGTATCTCTTTCACCAGGGTCAGCGGGAGCGGCAAAAATTATCTCCTTTCGATATGCTGTTCTCGCGCTGGAAGATTCGTTGACGAGCCATTCCCTTCGACATTCAGACACCATGATGTTTCCCGTGACCAAGTCTTTCGCGAGCTGCAAAGTACTCCATCGATCATCTATCGGGCCGTCTTTGTGGTCTCGCCTCAGCATAGACTCTTTCGACGCCAGCTGCATGTCTCCGGGCTGAGTACTGCCCACAGGCAACCGAAACCCGTAATAATACGATAGCGAATCCGTCTCGTATACTTCGAAACTGTTCAGGCTAGACAAGCCATAAAAATAGTCATCAATTATTTCGAAACAAACGGTAGTTCCGATGTCTGAACCAGCTAGGTCTTCGAGATCCAAGTGACCAGGTATCCACTGCTTGGTCCGTAGATCAAATCGCCGTAGGACCCATCGTTTGAATCCATCATCCCCAGTCACCGAGTGAGTGCCATAGTAGAGGTAGTTTTGGTTATTGCGTACAAATAGCTTGGAGGTTGACTCGAGACGTTGGGCTGTCAGAAGCGTCCTCTTCTCCAAGTTGATGACGACGAGGCGACTGTAACCTTCAGTTTTGGGTGGGCTGTAAAGACAAGACAATACTCCATGGGCGAAGTGTATTGGACGGAATTTGTACTTGCTGTTGGCGAGATTCGCCCCTGGAACAGATTGGAGCAGAATTCGAGTATCGATGATGTCTTCCGAGTCCGATGAGGCATGCAAATTGAGGAGGCGCAAAACCTCGTAACTTTCCGTATAACAAAGCGTGCCGTTACAGTAGATGAAGTCAACTGCATGAGCTACTAGAGCTGTGGTGTATGGCTTGGCAGTGGCGATAGCGTCCCGAAGCTTGACCAGTCGCCGCAAGCAGCGAGCATAATGCTTAGAGGAGCGGGCAGCTAGGAAATCAGCTGAATACGGCGCATGAGTCTAAGCCACCAAGTCAGCGCGGCCCAGGGGTGATTACTGTTGTTGAAGCGATGCTCACCTCCAAAGCGGCCCGGCAAATATCATCATTGTCCACGAGATACCTGAATTGCTGGCAAACGAGACTTAAGTTGAATATGTCATGTAGATTCAAAGAATTTGCGATGTAAGTCATGATCTCGATAGGCAGCCTTTGCATTCTCGCAAAGTCGACGGCTGCCATAAACCCGTCCTTCTAGCATTCGGTCAAGGAGTTATTGTGATAGGACGAAGGATCGAATGCCAAAAATTCATCAGGCAACCTGGGGGTTGTAAGTTAGGTAACGTAAGGTAGCTTGAGGGAGGGGTGGTCAGGTGAGAGCCAGCCGGCGGAGGAAATCGGTGCTACTCCAGACTAAGGCAACTGACTATAAGGCGACCACTTGTCATGCAGGTCGAAATATTCATCGGGAAAGGCGACTCTTGCTTGTTTTAAGGTGAGTGTCCAAGGGACTTAAGGACAGAACCACATCCCATTGACCCATTGAGGCTCTGCTTCCACATACACGCACCCCTCCCCCGCCTGAGACCCATGGATTGGCCAAGAGCATATCGCCGCTCCCCCCTCTAGATCCAAGACAAGACCAACCTACCTATGCTTAGGTATGGTAGAATCCCTTCGAAGCCAGTAAAATTGCTCGAAGACGCTAGCCTAGCGACATCGGACCATTGTGCAGTCTGTCTTAGTACATATACGGCGACATAGCGAAGGGGATGCCTGTTGGGTCCCTCGAAGTGTATTATGGGAGTCTGTGGTTACCGAGTTTTCTCACGTTCTCTTATGTGGTCTTGTGCAACAAAAGGCGTGACAATGTAGAAGCATTGGGGGAAACGTAGTCGTACAGGTACCAGGGTCCCTTGTATTGGAGAGCCGGTCATTTCAGTGATACCTAGTTCGGCAAACTGCGGACACAGAGATGCGATGCGATGATGTCCTACAAGTATGTCAGAGCCTTGCCGGGCACATTCTCTGACGAGCATGCGGCTCAATTCGAAATCAGGCTGTACAGGGGGGGGGGGGGTGGAGATTTATCAACCTGTCCGGTCGAGACTGGCATTTCCCTGCTAGCACGTACATGCCTACCTGATTGCAGGAATGGGACTAAAGTGCACTCCAACCAATCAAAAGACTGAAAAAGAGCCTCCATTCTCCTCCTCCTCGATGAGACCAATATTACTCTCTCTCCCAAACTTTCCTCATCACCCGCATCATCGTCTATGTGTGACCGCACTGCCTTAATCAAGGTGAGCTCTATGTGACGGCGATCTGGATCCTAGACTGATGCGGCTCTGCTTCGCGGCTCTTCACGAAGACTGTGCAGGTCGATGTTCCCTCGTCAGTTGCCATTAACACTCTCCATACTTAGCCACCTTGTGCGTAAAGTGTATCTGCTGAGGTCCGTCTCTGCTTAGATGACACACCGCTCACGTGAGGCCTTTGTATAGTCATGTTACTCTACTCTGGTGGAACGAATGTATTCTCAGCGACTCCATCATCTGCATGCCTTAGTCGTCGTTCTCGTGCTATCGTCGCCTGACCAAAAGTCGCGTTAGAAGGTCACGAAATCTCCCGAATTAGAATTTACGCCCGTTCGTCGTCTTGTTCCGTAAGGACTACTAGGACATTGCAAATTTAGAGGTTCAGCTCGTCATGCGTGGCAGTTACGAGGCTGGCTCAAGGCGACTCATGTGCTATGGGCACCAGATTCACATCGTCAGCGATCCACAACTTGAGCCATCATGTCAGATGCGACAGTTTCCATCACAATGTCCTTATACGGACACCCGAGCCTCAAGAATGTCGGCCTGGCTGACCTATCAATAGCGATAACACTTGTCCGACTTCCTTTGGCTTAGACAACGTATGTGGCAATGTCTTATTCGCCGGGTATTGTCCTACCAACCGGCGTCATCAAATGATGCCTTCGAAGGCATTCTGGCCAGGTCTTGCATCATAGATAGAGTGGTACTGTCGGCTTCCCATGAACCGGCCACGTTCCGCTCGCTGGTTTATCGAGCCTTCTCGGTGATGCTGTGTTCGCACAAGTGCAAAATCCGACACAACTAGCAGCTCGTACGCGGCGTAAGTCCGGTTTCTGTTGATGCCCAAGATCTTGATGCTGACTTGGGCCCAGCCACGCTGATCTGTTATCGCCCTAAGGCCAGGTTCGAAGAGCGAGGCGATGGTAGAATATCTGGAGAAAATAACTCTCTGGGATACGCCACAGCCTCACGAAACACTCTCCCATCAACTTTGAGGCCCTCAGATCGTCCACGAATGATCCACATGTTATCAAAGACTAGGAAGATGAAGGGTGGTGAATTGCCGGTGCAAACCGAGCGCTTTTCTATTGGAGGCCATCTCGATCCTGCAGTCAGGTGGAAAGGCTGAGGGAGTGCGTTAGTTCTAGGAAGTGTCACACAATGCGAATCAAGGAGATGAGAGACTGAGAACAGTTCTCTGCAGAGGTAACAGTGCATATGTCTTTCCCATCATCTCGCTCATACTACCAGCAGAGGGTTTTACCAAGTGAAGCAATCCCCAACCATATTAGTTTGCCCGGCGGACGCCGCCGTCAGCCTTTCATCCGCTGGGCCTAGTTTGGTAGCAGGGACACGGCCGGTGCTTTTTTGATTCTACGGTCGACAGCCTTACATTTCAAGGAGGTCGAAATCTACAGGACCTCAGCCCATGTCTTCAGCATTATCTGTACTACCTTGGCCCCCTGCGTTTCTTGGTGCCGGAGCTGTGGGTCTTTTACACCGGGGATTTGCCCGGTGAACCCCGGCATCTGACCGCCTTAGTGCTTACAACTGGGCTTTTCTTTTGGTACCTCGGTACCTAGCAATTCAGATTTATTAGGGTATTGTTAATATGCAGTCCTCTTCATATAGTATATGGTAAGCATCGTTTATTATGTCGTCTCTAAATAGATCAGTAGTATAGTTGCTTCGAAAAGCCAAACATAATTAATTCTCAGCTTGTTATCATCGTAGCGTGGGATCGATAAGTCTATTTCACACATATTTCGGACGCAGATTACCTCATGTGTGCTTCTCAGGTTTATTGTTCGTTATGGCACAGCTATGAGGGAGCCTCCCTATTACAAAAGATCCAAAATTCATTCCAGTACTCCTCTACACTGTTCGATGCTGTGCATCAAGGGCACAGCTCTTTACTGTGCGCAATGGCCATCCGCACTGTTGTCCTTAGCATAAAAGTAGCATGCTGCCGAATGAGAATTAGCTGGGTAGGATCCTCAATCCTGGTTTGCGACTTTCCTCTTTCATGTTTTAAACCTTTCCGAGACACACAATTCTGCATTTATTTTCTCGAAATTCACCGGCCATGAGTCTCACCGCAGAAATTGACCTGTGGTCACCTTTTACCAGCGACACTCTGTTGGAGGTTCGCACCAGCGTGATGAAGAAGATGCCTGGACTAGAGGTCACATCCGGAATCGACAAGGATTTGAGGCATGGTCCCATTCACGTATCATATCTCGGACTCGATGCGGATGAGCATGATCCAACTTTCCATGGTGGACCGGATAAGGCGATACACGGTTGTGAGTACATTGCGATGCTGGTTCAGGCGTTCTTCCCTCGTGACGCAGTTCTGAAAGTTTAGTCCAGATTGCTCCTCTCACTATTCTGGTTGGAAGGCAGAGCATCCAATTGCAGCGGACAGATTCAGACCGGGAGCTTTTGGCGAAAACTTTGTCACCAGACACATGAATGAGCGCAACGTTTGCATTGGCGATGTTATCGCCGTTGGTGCCGAAGTCGTGCTCCAAGTCAGTTTGCCACGACAACCATGTTACAAGCTCAATCATCGTTTCCAGTTAAAGAACTTTGCGCCTACGACGTTCAAGTCTAGTAGGACTGGCTGGTATTATCGTGTTTTGAAGGAGGGAACAGTCAAGGCTGGCGACGAAATTAGGCTCGTCGAGCGCAAGTGGCCCAAGTGGACTATTGAGAGGGTTCAGGAGTACCTGCACCGGAACCAAACCGACGCGGCTATGAATGAGGAACTTGCATCAATTGAAGACATGGGCAAGGAAAGTCGTGGCGCATTCCAGCGACGAGTGGCCAAGGCTAAAGCTCAAGTGAAGAGGGAAAAGGGGGACCAGTGGAGAGACTTTAAGATTATCGAAAAGACAAGACAAACCTCGAGAATCTCATCGTTTGTCCTCGAAGCCATCAACCCGATCGAGAACCCAGAATATCTCAACGAAGGGGCTCACGCAAAGCTCAAACTTCCGAATGGCCTCCTTCGGTCTTACTCCGTCATCTCCGGGGACCGCAACAAGTTCGAGCTCGGCATTGCTCTCGAGGATAAGGGCCGTGGAGGATCCCTCTACATCCACAACTCTATGTCTGTAGGCGACATCCTTCAGGTTGGGCGAATGACAACCGACGTACAAGTTGCCAGTGCCTCAAGCAATCACGTCTTCATTGTGGGAGGTATCGGTATTACCGCCTTTTTGGTCCTTGCCGAGGCCTACCACGAAGTCCACTACAATTTCGAGATGCACTACGCCGTTCGCTCGGACGACGATATACCGTTTCGTTCTCGCTTGGATGCTCTTGGGAGTAGTGTTCGATTTTACGACCGTAGTAAAGGCGAGAGGATGGATATCACCGAGATCATCAAGACGCTCAAGTGGAACAGCCACGTCTACGTTTGCGGACCTACGCGAATGACCGATGCTGTAAGGGTAGCCGCAGAGGATTGTGGTCTCGATGAGGGCGACGTACATTACGAAGCCTTCTCTGCCGACACATCGGGAGACCCATTTGAAGCAGAGGTTCTGAATCGAGGCGGCAAGATCCTGAAGGTGGGCGAGGAGGAGACGCTGCTGGAAGTACTTAAGCGGGAGATCGGGGGCGATGTGGAGAGTAGCTGCGAAGTCGGTAACTGTGGAACTTGCAAAGTTGCGCTTAAGAGCGGTCGAGTCGATCACAGAGGCACAGCTCTATCTGGCGACGACAAACTTGAGTCAATGCTGAGTTGCGTGAGTCGTGGTATTGGAAGAATAGCAATCGAGATTTGATTGAACACCAGTCTTAACACGCTCTCTGCTAGATTGCTACAGTATGTCCAACTTCACTTTGATTTCACATCATATTTGATTCAAAATAGACAGTGTTAAAGCCAGAGCGTTGTGTGCCACCGTACCTCAATTACTCAGAGAGTGCAACAGAAACAACCTTAGTACCTAAACTAAGTAAGACGGAGAGAGATCGGCCACCTCACCGAGCTCGGTGTCGATCGCCCTTACCGTTGATAAGAGTGGTGGGGTATAGAGCACGGGCCATGCAGCTGGGTCAGGCCAATGATGGTAGCTTCTGATAATAATCAAAGACCCACCTTGACTTTTTTCTCAGGCTGGCTTCGATCGATCCGACAAGAATTCTAGCTGCTCACTCTTACTTCCATAGGACGACAACATTTCTTCGCGTTGAGCCGATCCCCTGCCAATATGTCAACCGCCGAGTCCCAAGGGGATGGCTTCCTTCTCTTGCCAGTGAAGCTCCCAGCACTTCCCTCGTGCCCCATCACCGCTCTTCACGAGATCCGCGTTCGACGAAATGCGCCCAGGATCCCGACCGAGATCGATGATCGAAGTCTCTTTCTCAAGAACGTCCCCGTCGACAGCACCGAAGCTCATTTTCGCCAAGTTTTCTCCGCTCTCGTTGGTCCAGGTCGCTTCGAAAGCATTGCATTCGAGGATGATCGGAAGAATGCCGCAGCTGTCGACCCAGTCAACGCTGCGAAGATTATGGGTCTAGGCAAGAAGCGCAAGCGCGGCGAACAGGAAGCAGAAGAGAGAGCCCGGGAGGAAGAAATCGCACGACTGCCCGAGACTTGGACGAGAAGATTGCGAAAAAGCGGTAGCAGCGCCATTGCTCTCTTCGCAGATGAAAAGAGCGTCGAGCTCGTGCTCAAGGCTATCAGGAAGGCGAACAAGACGACAAAATTTCCCGTCTGGGGACAGGGTGTTTCCGAGGATGAGCCCGAGCTTGGATCCGAATGGGTATCTGCACACATTCAGCTGTCGCGCTGTGACAAGGCGGCAACGCAGAAGTCGGTTCACGCCTTCTTCAACGTTTTCAACCGCAAGGAGAAGGAAGCGGCTGAGATGGCCAAGAGGTTGCGCAATGAGCCAGACGAGGACGGCTTCGTCACAGTTGTCCGCGGTGGCCGTGTTGCTCCGGCCAACAAGAACGAGGCCGAAGAAGCCCGACAGAAGATGATCGACAGGGCCTCGAAGAAGAAGGACGAGACTACGGACTTCTACCGCTTCCAACTGCGCGAGCGTCGCAAGGCGGAACAAGCCGCTATGCTGAAGAGATTCGACGAGGACAAGAAGAAGGTCGATGCCATGAAGGAGAAGCGTGGCAAGTTCAGGCCGGAAACATGAATCTACAGAGGACGTTTCCAACACATTAAACAAGATACCCATGTAAAAAACATCAACTTCAGCGTAAGTGGTCTCTCCTCTTTCTCAGTGTACTCCCCTCTACATGATGACGCACGCGGGGCCAGCGGAGCACCTGTAGGCGAAGGGCTTGTCCCAGAGCCAGTGGTGCAGTGCCGACAAACACCGCGTTATATATATCTTCTCAACTTTGTCTGATATTTCGATCGGGGCTTTCTTCTTTTGCGATTAACGATAACGCTTGGAAAAAACAAAGGCTTACGCAATGCTAGACCACCAGATTTAGAGATCAAAGAGGCAGGCTCCTACGGCAGCAAGAGGCCTGTTGTTCGAGTCATAGAATCACGTTTGTGGAAACAGGACGGCTTCCGCCGAAGAGACTTGCCGTACACCTTCACGCCCTTTTGCCCAGGAGTGAGGGAGGTCGAGTGGGTGGAATGAGGAAACCTGTGCCGAGTCGAGTCGCAAAATAGAACCGCCGCGGCACAGATGACCACGGATTGGTCTGATATTTGCTACCGCCACGCCTCTCAGCGTCCTCGGTAGAAAAAATACAAAGCCACGTGTGCGGCAAGTCGATGTCTCCCAGTCATGGCCTTCTTTCCCAAGGCAATTCCCGCAATCCTAGATTGAACAACGCGGCAGGTTCAGGTTCTGGACCAGTGAATGCCTATTGCTTAATCAAACGCTCCTCTGTGCAGCGCGTGGCGTCAATGTTCTTTTCGACATTACTCCCATTCAGGTGTTGATTGTATTTTACTTGCTGCCCCTATGCCCCTCTACTTCTTCCCACCTCGTCTGGGTTCCAGTTCCGCCACGATGTTTTAGCGCCAGAGCCGGGGTATCATACTTCTCAACTGGTTCTAGTAGAAGAGTACTTGATGCGCCAGTGCTGGGCTACCACATGGCTGGTTCTCATGAATCGCGACGAGCGGGTGAAGTGAACGAGAAATTTAATTTCTTCGGGGGTCACCAAAGTTCCACGGTTCAATATGTACATCGTCCACCGCTCTCTCACAACTGCTCTGCGGTGACTTACAAAAGATCCATTTCATGCGTATCTGCTTACTCTGTGCCGCACGTCGACGTCTAATTCATGAAAAGATCCTGGCACGACGCGGGTTTACGGCTATCGTCGCCGGGTTCACCTCACCAACAAGGGCTTGAATGATGCTTACTGCCTCGGCGTCTGTATCCGATTCGGCATAGGCCAAAGTAGGAAGAGAAGCCCCGCAACACCCACGAAATTCATCATGGGGTCACTCTGAGCCCTTTTTCCGTGGTGTTTATGACTTCCACATACCCACTCCTGAGCGCTGAGACCCTGCCAAGCATCGCCATACTCGCGCACCGATGCTTGTCGTCTTCAGCTACATCCGAGAATAGCATCGCAGTTGAGAATGGCATTTCCATCTTCGCCTGAAGTCTCTAGCGTGGGAAACAGAATCCTGCCGCTCGTCACACGGACTTTGACGCGATGGGCCGCGATTGCTAACTAAAGGATTCATGACATGCGAAAGCCATGTAAGATTGAGCAAACGACTCAGGATCCAGTGGGTAATTAGGGATTCATACCGCGCCGCAGTCTACTCTTGTGAGCATAATGCACGGTACTTTACAAATTTGAGGAACCCTTATTTTCTCTCAGGATCGTATGTATGCATACCTATAGCTTATTCCCGCCTACATTACGTATAAACCAAAAGAGCGGCTGCATTGAGTCGAGGGGAGGGAATAACCTAATTAGCCGCAAAAAGCCACCAAGTCCAGCCGCACCTGGCTCCTCGCAGTAACAATAGTCGCCAACCAACATCCCCTTTGAGTTAGTCCATCGGCCGATACAAGTCGAGAGACTAACACCATAGCCGCATCGCTCGACGCCCCCGTGGCACCCATCGTGGGATCCCCCAATCACTGTCAATCTTTCCCATTTCTGTAATTTCCTGGGCCCCTTTCCCGCACCTGATTTGGCGTAGTCAGGGTCGACTCTCCGGCTGGTGCCCTGACCTCACGATGCTTGGCCTCGGCAGCCATCATGAGAGTCGTGCATACGAAGATGACTTCCTTTGCAAACCTCCTTCCCCTTCTGGGGCACACAGACAGCAATGGCGAATAGTCCAGCACGACCAGACAGGCCATCTTAGACTCTGTTCAGCGGGCCCTAGAGGAGGATATTTCCGAGATGAGAACCTCGCTTAGCCCTTCAAGGACGTCTAGCCCGCGGTGCCGCTGTGCCTCTGGCCGTGTAAGTGGCCTGCGTACCAGCGGCACGGGACAGATGCTCAAGCATCCAACGGGATGGCAGGACATCTTAAGCGGCACCTCGTCCGCCTAGAATGGGCTTCGTCCCGTTCACCTCACGCACCACATCCGCCAACAGCTGTGTCGTCCAGCATTTCCTAGAGCACTCTTGCTCGTCCAACGACGTATCTCACGTCAAGCCATTCGTTATTCTCTATACAGCCTAACAAAGTCTCTCTTTGGTTAATCATAATACAGCCATAATGGCACCTTCACTCTTTACCCTAGGCACGGCTGCCCTGGCCTTGGCTGGTGACGCTGTCGCCAAGCAGTTCGTCCTCGATGACACATACGACTCGACGAACTTCTTCGACAAGTTTGACTTTTTCGAGAGCAAGTACGGCACGGGAGATTATAATGACGTCGATCTCACCTCGGGCTACATCAACTATCGCACCCGTGTCGATGCCCAGAAGCTGGGCCTCATTAGCAATGCCGACGGCGAGGTCTACGTGGGTCCTGATGCCCACAACATCACCGAGTTCCCCGGTGTTGGCCGTTCAAGTGTGAGACTCGAGAGCAAGGCAATTTACAACAAGTCTCTCATGGTCGCCCGCTTTTCTCATCTTCCTAAACCTGTCTGCGGTGCTTGGCCTGCTTTGTAAGTTCTCCATCCAAGAGTGAACATCCAGTTCTCCCTATACTAACATCATTGAAGCTGGTCCTACGGTTCTCCGTGGCCCAAGAAAGGCGAGCTTGACTTCTTTGAGGGCTGGAATAACGCGGTATGGATACAGCCTGCATGTTTGCACTCCAAAAGCTTTGCTAAACAACTACGATAGGCTGCCAACAAGCCTGCTGCCCACACCTACCTCACGTCCGAACAGGGCCAGTGTGTCATCAGTGAAATCGGGCAGACAGCCAAAGTTAACACAGCAAACTGTGATCAACTGGCTCCTGGACAATACACCAATGAGGGTTGTACTACTACAGCCACCTCTGCTGACCCTTGGGGCTCGTCCGATGGTGGTATCTGTAAGTGAAGCCAGCATATCAGTCTTGGGATGGTCTCAACTAATCCTTCGAAATAGATGCTGTTGAGTGGACAGACGACTACATCAAGTTCTTTGGTAAGGAGCCTCCAAACCCTACTTTTCAATGCGAATGTGTATACAACAGGTAGCTAACATGGCACCTAGCCTGGACCCATTCCGCAGCTCCCAAGAACATTGGCTCCGACTCGCCTGATACCTCCTCTTGGGGAACTCCCTCCATGCTCATCGCCAATGATAAGTGCAACATCAACAGCCACTTTGCCGATCAGCGACTCGTTCTGAACATTGACTTCTGCGGTGTTCTCGCCGGCAATGAGTACATCTGGAAGGACCAGTGCGCCACGTCCACTGGTCACTCTGTCTGCTCGTCCTATGTCGCGGCGAATCCCAGCGCCTATAAGGACACCTATTTCAAGATCAAGGACATTCGTGTGTTCAAGGAGGGCAGCAAAGCAGTGACGACTTCTGCGTCCTCTTCGTCTACCTCTTCGTCTACCTCTTCGTCTACCTCTACCTCTACCTCCACCTCCATCTCAACCTCTACCTCGACATCTGCCACAACGTCGTCTGCTTTGACATCATCTGCCTCCACATCACCCGCCTCGACGTCTTCCGCTTCGACATCGTCTGCAGTCACGTCGACTACCATCTCCACATCGGCATCTGCTTCGGCGTCCGCGTCTGCTTCCGCCTCAACCTCAACGAGCGCCTCCATCTCTGCTTCTGCTAGCGGCTCGGTCACGGCAAAGGACACGTCTATCAGCGCCTCTGACTCCAAGACCGCCTCAGCTTCTGGCACTGCCTCTGGCACCGCATCTGCCTCTGGCACCGCCTCTGCCTCCGGAACTGCCTCTGCCTCCGGAACTGCCTCTGCCTCCGGAACTGCCTCTGCCTCCGGAACTGCCTCTGGTTCAGCGTCTGGATCTGGATCTGGGTCTGGGTCTGCCTCTGTCTCCGGCTCCAAGTCTGCCTCCGCCTCTATTACTCCCACTGGCCCAATTACCACAAGTGCCACTGGCACCAAGTCAGCTACCGCCAGCGCATCCGGTTCCATCTCCATCAAGTCCAACAGCAAGTCCGACGAGGATGTCTGTACTGAGAGCGACGCCACCAGCACCAAGACTGGCGTCACCAGCAAACAGACACAGGCGGCTGCGACAAAAACTCCTCCCGTCGAGCTCACGACCTCGACAGTCTACACCACTAAGGTGTCTACAATTACCGCGTGCCCGCCCACCGTCACCAACTGCCCAGCTCACATCGGCAAGGTCACGACGCAGACCATAGCTCTGTACACCACGGTCTGCCCCGTCTCATCTGTCCCTGCTCCCAAGCCCACCGAGCCGGTCAAGGGCAACAACAAGCCCAACGATAAGCCCAATGATAAGTCTAACGCTGGCCCTGGCACTGGCCCTGGCGTCTCGACCACCACCTTCACCACCGTCTATACCATCACTAAGTGCCCGCCCTCCGTCACAAACTGCCCCGTCGGTAGCGTCACCACTAAGATCGTCACGACATCGGTTCCCTCTGCCGGCACCTCTGTGCCCATCGTGACAAAGGTCGTCCCCACGGCCCCCTCGGGCCCCAACTCCGCCCTCGGCCTGACCAAGACCCTCTCCACGGTCTCCCCGTCTGGAGTCCCTCCCAAGCCCAGCGCCCCTGGTGGTAACAACTACGGCTCCGGCTCCGGCTCTGGCAACGGCACCATCCCCAAGCCTCCTACCGGCTTCAATGCCACCGTCCCGGTGACCAAGGCTACCACTCTCACTGCCTCCAAGCCCGCGGGGACGGCCCCCGGTGCATCAACAACTAGCTACTCTAGCGCCAGCTACCCGACCAAACCGGCTGTTGTTGTCAACGCGGCCGTTCAGGCGGGTGCCAGCTTCCTGCTGATGGCTATTGGTGCCCTCGCCGCCTTGGCTCTTTGAATGGCTACAACGCTTTATTTCCTTTCGGCGATGTTGACGGTGTAGATGTTGAACAATGTTTAATGTATACTGAGATGTTTGTAATTTGGTACAAAGAGATCGATCACAGTCATGGTCTTTCCTTTTGTTAATACTAGTACATGATCGGCACATTAACTTAGACTTAGAGACATATTAAACTTAGCTAGCTGCCCGGCTGCTTTGCAACTCTTCAATAACAAAGGCATCGAGCTTCATGATGTACACCGAGGTTTCACCTACAAGAGGGTGGTCCCTAAAGAACTTAACGTCGGCACCTTATGTTTAGCATGTGAGAAAGTCCCATGATTGAGCTGAGTGATGACTATTGTCGTTGAGGAATTCCAATTTTTGTCTACTGGCTTTTTGACCTTCAAGGGCCTTTTTACTAATCTACATGAATGATGATGATGCGTGATACCCCCGTTCGCTTCCGTGAAACCCCCCCCAAAATCGATTCCAGGGAACCGAGGAGTTCCCAAATAAGACAATTCCACGCACTACTTCACTGGGACCCGGCCTCTGTCCAACCGCCCACACATCTGAGGTAGTCTTTTTCTTCTTCATCGTTATCAAATGTCGTCCATTCTTGCCATCCCGCTCTCAATAGCAGCCTTCAAGCGGCGAGCTAGCTGTGACGTAGTCCCTAATCACAGGGGCGGAAGGCCTAGTGCCATGGGCAGATGGACCCTATCTACCACCGCCCTTCTGCATCTTGGTGATTTCGGTCTGGTAACGGATCTTGAAGCCGTTGCACAGCGCTCTCATGTCAGGGTAAGCCTGCTTCAGTAACTCGAAGCCACCCGGAATAACGCGAACAGGCCACGAGTTGACACGAGATCCACGACTCGCCTTGAAGCAAAGCCAGAAGTAACCGGGATGCTTGGGGTCGATACAGAACGCATAAGCGGACCGGTTGGGATTGGCATCAATGTATGTAGTGAGCCATTTCTCTGTATTGCATGATCAGTTGTCGCTCATCTCAATAGTAAAGTACGGAGGCACCTACCAAGATCCGTCTTGGACCGCTTCTCGAACTTCTCATGCTGCATCATCTCATCCACCTTGCGAGACATAGCCTCGATGTGTTCGTGGATCAACTCATCCAGATCCTTGTAGGTGAACTTGCCACCAACCCTGAGAAGTTTGCCGACGGAAAACTCTGTCTCTTTTTGGAGCTCAAGCACGTCGACATGTTGGAAAACACCATCGGCGACCTTCCAGGTGATAGCCAGATGGTCGTTACCTTTTGAGGAAGGTCGAATGATGACCTCTCCGGCGGCTTGGGTACCAAGCCATTGCTCAGCTTCCAATCCGTTGAACGGCTTGAACAGCGGGTGCTTGATGACTCTCTGGGTGCGTCCAGTGGTCTTGTCCTTTTCGCGGAGTTCTTCCTTATCAGCTGCCTCCAGTCTCTCGTCCCACTGGCCATGGCCATGGTATAATTGACGCTTGTAAGGGCGTTTGACTTCGGCTTCTCTTGCAGAAAGCTTGGCCAAGAAGTCCTTGTAGTTTACCTCAAGAACCTTGGCTTGCACCGTCTGCCCGGTCGTGAGAAGACCTCTGACGCGAACACCATCAGGGCCGTCGTGCGACTCGATGCGGCCCTCTATGCCGCAGTCAAGCTTCACTATGGCGAAGTCATCTTTTACCACTCGGATGTTGACGGGGATGATCATGCCCTGAGCGAGTGTGTCCTTGGTCTCGCCAGTGAACATTGTGAAAATCTCGTTCGGACCGAGGCTTGAGAAGTTTCTGCGCAACTCCTCGTAGGGGGCTTGAAGTTCAGCCCGAATTGTCTCGAGCGTAGCGCGCTTCCGCTGGCTGTAGTTACGCTCAAGTTGCTCCGCATATTCCTCGAGGATAAGCTCATTAACCTTCTCTTGTTCGTCTTCCTTAAAGAGTTTTCGAACAATAGCGCCAGGTCCATTGTGATCCGTCTCCGCTTTGACGTCCTCTTCATCAAGTTCAAGGGCGTCGGCTGCCATCTTGCGACCCAGCTCGTAGTCCTCTGGGTGAACACGGGTGTTGTCAAGGGGGTCTGAGGCGGGGTTGGTCGCATCGTAGTCGATGAAGAGGAAACTGGCGCAGTTGTTCCAGACTCTTGGGCCCACAACTGGTAGCTTGCCACTGTCGGGGTCGCCAACCAGCTCATCTCTGCTGCCGACAGCTCCTCCGTTCGCGTTGATGGCTTTGATGACGCTTGTGGCCTTTCGGGGGCCGAGACCGGCGACATAGGGTAGGAGGTTCGCTGTGTAAGAATCGCCCACGGCCTCGTTGATGTTGACACCACACAGATTAACCATGTCAACCATCGCGGACTCGAGGTGCTTGAGTAGCTTCTCTTGGGGCAGCAGGTTTTGACAAGGATGGAAAGCTAGCGATGCAATGTCTTTACCAAGAGCCGCATACTCCTTGAGTGGGTTTTGCATGTAGTGCGCCAAAGCGATGCAATATCTTGTGAGTGAACTGAGAGTAGGGTGCTCTGCGACTGCTCTAGGGCTGTCCTTGTAGAGACGAGCCACCTCGTCATTTACCACGATGACTTCGAGAGGCTCAGTGCGATACTCCCCAAGCTCAGGGTCATCGAACTCGGGCCCCATCAAGCCCTTCTCGCTGATTAGACTTTCCAGGTCTCTCACAAGCTTCTGCGTATCTGCAGACCATCCGCTGATACCGATGGCATCCGGGCGGCGCCTGTTGACGATCTCGACAAATTCTTCGCGAGCTCGCTCGTCACGAGCTAGATTGCCCAGCTTTCCCTGCTCAATGACCCGGCCATCTTCCTCAACAGAAGCCCAGAGTGTAGGGTCGCGAGCTGGATCGGCCATTCCGTTGGACAGAGTGATGATTCGGGGCAGTGTGCCAAGAATCATACCCTTGGGCTTGTATGGCGCTTGATCGAGCCTCTTTGAATATTCTTCGCGGCAGGCTTTGAGAACTTCTTCTTGGCATGCAGTCCGGAGAGACTCCTTGACGCCCTTGGCAATAATCTTAGAAAGCCGGGGAACAATGAGATCAAGTACCTTCTGACGTTCATCGTTCCATCGATCCGCGAGTTCACTGTAGTTGTCTGAAATGAACTCTTGGCGCAACGAGCGCTTAAAGCCCTCGTCGTTCTCCAATGTCAACTTAACCTCGATGAGACCCTCTTCCTCGGCCTTCATCATCTTGAGGTACAGATCTGGCTGGCGAGCAACGTCGGCGATTGTCTGGTTGATGAGATACTTGACCTCGTAGAATGGATGTGACTCGTCAATCTTCTTCAAACCCTTCTCTGTCCGGCGACAGCTGATTTCGCCCATCTGATAGAAGTTGACTCTAAAGTGCTTCCGCATACGAGGGTTGACAAACAGCTCCTCTGCGTACATCTGGCGAGCAGCGTACATCACAGTATCACCGGTTTGGAATTCTTCATCCGTGAGGGAGTCGGCGAGGTCGTCAGGAAGCTGGCTGTCGTCGTCGGCCCAAACCTTGTTGCCCTCGCGAAGAGTGTTTTGGGCGAACCGATCCGGAGTGATACCGTAGGCACGGACAAAACCGATAGCCTTGCTCCTCCTGACTCTGTCGACAAGATTTGATTTGGAGCCTGGGCGCTTCATCTGATTGCCATTGCCGTTCATGAAAGACAAATCCTTGAGCTCGTTGGTGTACCGGAAGTGGAGGTAGTCCTGCAAATCTTGCAGTTCTTCCATGGTCGCAGCTTGGGGAATCATATCTTCGAGTACATCGTCCTTGATGCTAGCAGCAGATTTGAGGTTCTCGAGCGTCTTTTCCAGAGCGTTCCGCTTTTCGATCAGTGAGCGGAACTTGATATCAAGCTCCAAAATTCGCCATAAGTCGTCCTGAGTAAGAAGCTTGTCTGCGCTGACAATCCATTCAGGGGCGTCAGGGTCGTCACGATGGTCGGGATTTTTGGTCTTCTTGGCATGGATCAGGTAATCCTTGCGATGCTGAAAGACGTAGGGGACCTCAACGTCGTCAACGACAAAGAACTCGAGGACCTTGCCAATCGCCTTGGTGAAGGGTCCGTGTAGTTCGGACTGGAGCAGCTTTTTGGGCCACATCAAACCCGCAATCCACCGGGCCTCTTCCTTGAACTGCTCAGCGCTAATTTGCAAGTGCTTGAACGGTTTTCGGTCCAGCTGGAATCTTTCAGGCTCGTCTGTGAATCGGATCTGGTTGTCCTCGTCGGTCAAGAGCTTCTCTTTCAACTGTGAAGGCTCAAACACGTCCTTGAGCTCAATGACCTGCTCTTCGCGTTCGCGGTCTTCTTGCTCTTCTTCCATTTGGAGGGCCCACTCGTAATCCTCGCCATTACCGAAGATTGCCTCCATGTCCTCCAAGGCGTCTTTATCAAGGCCGGAAGTGTCGACGACGCCTCCAACTCCTCTGTCGCGGGGCCGAGCGACTTCGGCATCTTCCTGCTGACGCGCTCGTTCGTCCTCATCCTCCGGATAATCTTCCTCAATGAAGTCTTCGAACTCGTCGGCCTGGGGGCGGTAGTTCGATCGGCCGTAGGGTTTTTGATCGTTGGCTTCCTCGTCGTCATCGGAGAACATGTCCTCTAAGCCGCGTCGCTCGGGGCCACGGTCGTCCTCGTCCCGATGTCCTCGTTTGAGACGCTTGAATTTAGGCTACAGACACGTTAGTACATCCAGTAGCGATAGTCCATGGGGACATCGTACCTGTGTTGGTGCTCTGCGCTCGATTTGTTCCCCGATAAGTTCCAGGTCATCCTCGTCCAGCCGCTCTTCTTCTTCTCTGTCGCGATGCTCTCGCTTCCGCTTTCGCTCGTGAGCATCTTCGTCCTCACCTACTTCCTCTTCCTCATCTTCGTCGACGATAAATCCCTCGCGAATCTGAGTGTGAGAAAAAATTAGTCAGTCGTCAACGTGATCTGAATGTCCATCGCCTACTTTGCGCGCTTCCTCCTCATCTTCATCGTCCTCTTCCTCTTCGGAGGAGTCCTCGGGGGCCGCATTTCTTCTGCGCGCAGATCTAGGGTCGGCATCCTCATCCAGAGACTCCTCATCCTCATCATCGAGCTCGGCCTCGCCGTCGACGAAATCCCGCATTGAGGCGCTCATCTTGTAGTTGCCTAGAATCAAAGTCGCAGCGCGTGGTGAAAGTGACGCCTTCGTCGGTGGATGATACCTGGTAGGCGCGTTGCGATCGCTGAGAGAGCTCGACTAGGCTCAGAATTTGATTAGAAAAGAAAGTATCGTGCCCGGATTAATGAATCGATGTCGAGATGGGTTCGCTCAAATTCGGAGGAAAGGACGTGGGCAAGAATTGAAGGAAGGCGTCCTTGACCAGGCAATTTTCAGTTGCCTCTCCAGCACACCTGCACTTGGAATAATTGAAAGCTTGGACCTCCCTCCAATGGCTCTCCCAGCGCGCCTCGTTCGCTGACCCGACCTTCAGCCTCGGACCCGGAAGGTCCACTGTGGCTGGTGATAGTTATTCCGGCTTCTGGACAGAGCCGCTTATCTTATCGGTTTATCCGCGAAATAGGTATCCCTGTACCTTAGGTACTCTATACTCCGTAAGGTAAGGAAGGTATGCCACCTGCGATACCACGTGCAAAGTGATTCTGCGTCCCCTGCTCGCGATGTGAATCCCAGATTTCCGAAGACTAGCTACCCTAGGCTGATTTAACCACAGCCCGCTATTCTAAGTCGCCGTTCATGACTCTATGCACCCGACACGGTCTCGTTGAGAAGAGTCACTGCATCAACTCAAGCATCCTTTAGAGAATCATGAAGCTTCAGTGACTATTTCTTGGGATAGCCGCCAGCTCAAGTAGCTCAGCTGAATAATGGGAGGCTTCTTGCAATGATCGATACTAGGGGTAGACAGCAACCTGTGTTAGTCTGTAAGCGTTTGGCTTAAACGGCTTGAATTGGCTTGCCTGCGAACAGCGTAGTCCTACTCTTTCCAGCTGTTCCTTCACGAATGCAACAAACTCCAGTCACTTGCTAGTTGTGCGGAGGCAGAAGGGATGCAAAGAATCTGTCAACCCTAGGCGATATTACTTCTATGATACTATTTCGAAATCACAGTTGGCATAAGCAGCATAAACAGGAAATCGCGAAGGAGGATCCTTTCAAGAGTTTTCATCTTCGTCTGCCAACATGACACAGACGTTGGCGCCGCAGGGAAGCGCATTTTGCAGCCAGCGACAAATTAGCAAGCCATGAACCCATCATGCAGCACATCATGGCACAATCCCGCGCTTGGGCAGCCATCTGGAGCCTGTCGGGAAGCAGAACAGACCAGACACTCAGACATTCGAGGCTTGTTGGTAGGTGTGGGAGGGGCAATGTGGGCGGGCGGCAAGACACTGAGACACCAGGCCATTTTGCGACTCAAGGCCCTGGTACAGAACAAAGTGGGATTTCTTCAATGCCTCACCACCGTTGGCTCGAGTTGCCTCCATCACACCCAGCGTGGCAGCCCACCGGCTTATATGAAGTGCCCAGACGACTCCTAGCCCCTGTCATGGACTTGAGTGACGGGTTGAAAGGGTGACGGAGACAGCGATGCAATTGGACTTGACGGCTTCTTAAATGGTGAATGGATGAATTGTGGGCCATCATTGAAGGATGGTAGGAACGGATGGGAGTAGATAAATTTAGAGGCAGTTAGATGTCTTTGATTGGCGTGTAGATCTGCATTCCCGTACTGCTTATTTTTTACTGCGTTGCCTCTGCCATGTTATGGCAATGGTTGGGACCGATGGTGTCAAATGCAGGCGGATACAGCGGCAGGCCAGAGAGTAAGGTACCAGTAGCCCTCTCCAAGTCATAGTCGAAATTGTCTTTTCGCCTTGTTCGCTAACGACCTGCTAATGTTGATGGGAAGCTGAAGCGTAGAGGAAAGGATAGCCGTCGGGCCCCGGCTCGTATACACACTTACTTGTAGAGTAAGGTACCCCATAGGAAGAGTGAGGTGGATCGAGGCGGGCTCTGGGCTTTTGAGTCTGTGCTGTCGAGGAAGAATCACGGATCCGATATCTCACGTTGAGTTGAGGTAAAATAGGAGGTCCTTCCCTGGACGGACCAGTCCAGAGACCCGTCAGTCGCCAACCCAGAGTTGTCGATGGCTCCACGGAACTGCAAGGTCCCCTGGAGGATTCTCACGTTCTGCTGGTACTGTAGCTCTAAAACGTGCGTCAAGTCATCTCTATCCCGTACTCCGGAGCTGGGTCTCGACGTCTCTAAAACACTGGCCCGGGCTAGTGCTGGGCTGTGGCCCGTTTGGGTCCTCTTGTTGTTCTCCGTTGCTGATCCCAGCCACTCTGCATCTGACCTTAGCTACCTAAGGCACGTTGGGAACTCTGGGTACTTGGCTTTACTAGTGTAGTTATTGGTAAGGAGAAGTATCCGTAGCCTTATTCGGATACAGTACCGCAGACGTTGGTGGGGCGCTTCCATTTGTATCGTATCCGCCATTGTCGCAGAGAAAGAAACAGCGAACTGCAACACTAAAAAGCCACGAAGCCGACGAACCAAGAAGCCAAAGAGACGTCCAGTCTCAACTCGTCGAGGTAGAAACGATGTAGCGTAGCGTCGGCTGGCCAGCAAGGAAATCAGTGGAAACGACACAAGTGACCAAACCTGCCCTGACGGACCGAGACCAAGGTGGGAAAGGCCTGGAAGACTTCACGGACGAGTAACCGTCGCTCTCGCTACTAGAGCGCGGATTAGAACCTGGAGGGGATGCCGCCCCCGGTTGGTCCCAGGTTCAGGTCTTAAACAGATACAGCCGCGCTGTGTGATCCGAAACCATTTCTGAGCCCTCATTTGTCGACTCGGGGTGTGCTGGAGACCTGCGTCTCGACACTAGACTGGACGGGACCGGACTGGACCGTGATTCTTGTGGGCTGTTCCTGCCACCTCGTCCTCCTTCCACGGGTAAGTGGAGGTAAGGTACCTCACTTCAGACACCTGGGCACCATCACCTTAGGTACCTACCTTTCCCCCTCCACTGGGTGTACCACTGCGCTCCAGTGGGGGGTCTCCCACTCCATCACACCCGGGCACCTCAGGTCTGTTCTACTTTGGATGTATGTGTGGCAGAACGAGCCTTTGTTTGATCTGACACCACTTATTACTCTTCACCTCTCAGGTCGACTACTGCACCTGCGTCTTGATCTCCAAGCGGTCGAAACTGGTCCATCGTTCTATTGCTTTACTTTCTCTTTCATTCATCCATCCATCCATCCCCTCCCCGTCATCCTCTTCTTAACCATCCTGACCCGCGACCCACGTTCCGCCCGTTCACCTATCGAGAGCAACCTCGTTTACTTCTACGAGGCCCTCTCATTTACTCCTATCCAGCGACACGGAGCACGTTGCCTATTTCTTGCTCGTCTACCCCTCCCCCCTCGCCATTTCTCGGAGTCGCCTCCCTACCTTACCTTCCAACCCCACCTTGGCCGAAACGGGGACGCCATCGAGAACAATCACACCAATAAATTTCGAGTCGTTTACGCCCCTCTTCCTCCTTCTCCTTTCTTACACGCAGTCGTCGACCTCGGATATCGTCCATCGCTTCTTCCGCCAAAGCGATATCAAACTCAACCTCGGCGCGCCGAGCATTAACGAACCTTCGCAGCTCGCCTTTTCCCCCTCCTGTTTCCCGACGCAACCCCGATTGCTCGATTCCTTTACAGTGACAAGCCAGTCTTTGGTATTTGATTACACGAGACCGTTGGTTCCAGTCATCTGTCCTCGGCACAAGCGATTCGACCCAGTCCAACTCGTGTGCGAACGCTACCCAACACGCGAATCACAATTCCTGACGATCCGAGACGGCAAAGCATAGCTTAAATCGCAGCGCAGGAGACCACACACACACTGGAGGGTGTAGCTATTTACTACAGCGTGAACAGGGCATGACATATACCTGTTCGTTGTTGTAACTGCTGGCGTTATCCATCTTCACTTTCGGTTTTCCGATTACGAGTGTGTGACGGAGACCTGTTAGCCCAAAATGGCTGACCCTTTCGCGCCTCGCTCTATGAAGCGCAAGAACGTCAAAGGCCTAGCCTTGACACCTGCTGCACCCAAGCCTCCACCGACTGCCGAGACCAGCAGTCACCGCGATAAGGACGGCGGTGACCAGTCGGCACAGCTGGAGATTGGCATCGAGTACAAGCTGGATCTGCGACCAGAGGACCTAGAAATTCTGAAGGAGCTCGGTTCAGGAAACGGAGGCACCGTCAGCAAAGTCAAACATGTTCTTACCGGAACTGTCATGGCACGAAAGGTTGGTCATTGCTGATGCCCTGCTCGGAAGGTCAAGTACTCACCAACACAGGTCATCCACGTGGAGGCGAAGAAAGAGATGCGCAAGCGTATCGTGCGCGAACTTCAGATTATGCACGGCTGCTCATCCGAGTATATCGTCAACTTCTACGGAGCCTTCCTGAACGACCACAACGACGTCATTATGTGTATGGAGTACATGGACGTTGGGTAAGCGAGTGTCTGATATACTTGAGCAACCTTGGCTAACGTGTCTCTCAGTGCTTTGGATCGGGTATCCAAGGTCTTTGGGCCTGTTCGAGTAGATGTTCTCGGAAAGATCGCCGTGGCTACCTTGGGAGGCTTGACCTACCTCTACTCGAAGCATCACATCATGCACAGAGACATTAAGCCATCCAATATTCTAGTGAACTCTAGGGGAAGCATCAAGCTTTGCGATTTTGGCGTGTCTGGAGAGCTCATTAACTCTGTTGCTGATACGTTTGTGGGAACTTCAACGTACATGGCACCCGAGCGAATCCAGGGCGAGAAGTACACAGTCAAGTCAGATGTGTGGAGTTTTGGTCTGACCATCATGGAAATGGCCATTGGAAAGTTCCCCTTCAACGCAAGCGAGCAACTTTCGGACGGCGAGTGCGCACCCGCCGGCATTCTGGACCTTTTGCAGCAAATTGTCCACGAGCCTGCGCCCAGGCTACCCAAGAGCGATGCCTTCCCTTCGATTTTGGAAGACATGATTCAAAAGTGCCTGTCCAAGGTTCCTGACGAGCGGCCTACTCCTCAGGAGCTCTTTGTAAGCATATCCCCCAAACATGAATCAACCTTGCCGCTAACATGTTTTCCCACCAGGACCGTGATCCGTTTGTCCAAGCTGCCAAGAGAACACCAGTAGACCTGAGAGAGTGGGCGGTTGGTATGATGGAGAGGGACAATCGCAAGTCTCACTTGGCGCCCCAGCTTTCTCCAGCAACACGCGATCTGCTCAACTCCAATGATTCCCCAACATATCACGGGGGTTCTGGAAACGATCGATCCCTGGACACGCCTACTTCAGGAGAAATTCCTATTGCCGGCGCTGGCATTATCTCTCCGAGAGAGCCCGCCAGTCACTCGAACCGCTCTCCCACTAGAAATGGGCTCAACACAATGAGCAGTAGACAGCCGGGTGGCCATCCTGGGATGGGACAGAGGATTGTTACCACCAACTCGATCCCCAAGGTTGGCGAGTATCCGAATAGTGCTGGTCCGGTGAGCGCCAATGCTGCGTCATTTAGCCTGCCTGTTCGCCCGGCCCCTGGCGGACCTCTACCTCCGGCCCCTCCTCGAAAGGGCACACCTGATGATCCGAGAAGAGAGAACCGGAGACAAGCTACCTTTGGCATGCCTCCGGCGCCCAGAAGCTACGCAAGCGACGTGTACAACGGCACCTCCAACTAGTCGCAGGGGGGCTTCGACTATACACATAGCATTGGGCCTCAACCCCACCAAGCTCACCAACTGCATAACAGAGCATCAAATCGCGCCATTTCGCCACAACAGCCACATCCATCTTTCAGCCAAGGACCAAGAACTTGCCATATTTCTACCCAGATGGCTTTCCAACCAGCATCTGACGAACGGGTTCAACGGGCAATCGCATCAGCTCCGCTTTACTCGTCTCAGAAGATGGATATGCCCGATAACAGAAGCCGCAGGACGCGTCGTGATGACAATGTCGCCGGCTTAGAAGACCCCTTCATCTAGACGCGTAGAAAAGCTGGGGTGAAGCCTCGTGCACCAAGTTCCAGCGGCGGAATGTGTCGACTCGATCGTAGGGAAGCTTCTTACCCTCTTTTCATCAGCATCACTCGGCGCATGTATGGACAACGTTCTCCTGCAGACTTCGGGAACTTTGGGACTTCACGCACCCTGGGAACGCATCTCGGATAGGTCTTTAGAAAGCTTGTGGAGAGCATTCATCATCGATCGTGATCAAGACAGGAGGGATATGTCGACACAAAAAGCCTTTCATGTAGCAAACTTGGAGGATGGGTTCAATGGTGGCTGATATGCAAATGAGACAGAGACGAACGATTGAGCAGTTCGTCCTGCTTGTCTAGACCATGGTGTCTTATACTCTCTTGAACTTTTTCTAAATAGACATGAAAGTGACAGCAGACAAGTTGCCGTCTAGTCCCTACTCCTGCGTCTCTTTTATGTCGATGAAACTGGCTCCCTGCTGCTAAAACCATCCTCAAGGATAGGAATCAGCTCGTCTAATCGGCGAATCACCAAGTCAGTGTGCTCGTGGTCGACCAAATGTACATTGACATCGTTGGCAAGGAGCACTGTCGCCGCGCCAGCTCTTCGCCCAGCTATCATGTCATCGATCGAGTCCCCAACCATGATCAACTCACTACCATCACCGACGGTTGTCTCCTTTGCATCAGTCGAGGTGCTTGTTTCTTTGACAAGACCCCAGTTTCGCGCAATATGCAGAATCCCTGCGGGATCTGGCTTAGGCGGACGAAAGTCGCGGGTCACGATGGGTTCGAAAAGTGACCCCTCGAGGAACTTCCCGAGAAGGTGTGCCACGGGCGCGTCGAAGTTGCGGGTGCAGATGCCCTTGCGGACGCCGCGGCTGTCGAGGTAGGACATGAGCTCCACGAGGCCCGGCTGGGCCACCTGAGATGCCATGGCCGTACGCTCAATGTGGCGAATGGACTCCATTGCTGTCTCTTGTTCCTCCTTTGTGGGGAGGGAGTAGACATGGTCGAGGATGTCTACTTTCTTTGTGATGCCGAGGGCTTGACGCATCTCGCCGAACATGTACGTTTGAGGTTCACTTGATGCTAGTCAGAAAATTTCGTAAGAAAATATATGCGGCTTGTAAGAGTATCTAATAAGTTTGTGAAGATGTGAAATGTGTGGCAATTCATGGACTCTTGTCTGAAAAACCACCCGCTCAGGATGAAGTGATTCTGCTTTGCCGGAGGTGCCAAAGTTGGGATTCGAATAAGATACAGAATGAGAAAGTATGATGGCTACAAGCAATGAGACACCTGATCACGTACCATAACGTTCCATCAACATCGAACACAATGCCTTTGAGTCGAGGTGCAGTTGAGTTTACTGCAGCGCCTGGCTTCAATGGGGCGAATTGCCGGGGAGCGTGTGTAACCATTCTCGAGACGAATTTCTTCATGGGAGAAGATTTGGTGTTGATGAAAGCTTAAGACCAACGGCAAAAGACGACGCTCAGGATTTCCCGACTTTGAGATAGAGTTTGCGGTGGTTGCGATACCTTCTATAGAGGAGCACGAGGAGCTGTTCCGATGAGTCGTTTAACCCTCAACTAAGACGGTAGAGTACGTACACACCCGCACCGGATCGATGACCGCGAGTCGGGAATGCGTCCTGCGGGCTTAGCTAGTGTAAGATAGGTAGGCGGCGATTGCGCAAAGCCCCACACTGGGCTGGATGGGCATTCGGGGAGTGGGAACACAGTGCCGGCTGACTGACTGAAATGTTGCACAATTCCGGACCCCAGCCGGCCAGATGACATGGGTCTAGGGATGCGAATGGTCGGCGCGAATCTTCGAGGCAAGAGAGGTCTGCTGTGCTGCTGCTGCTGGGAGGAGCTTTCCATGTGGCGACGCCCAACCTGCAGCAATTTAGACCAGTGCCAGTGTGTCGCGGATGCTCGGTCGTTGGGAATTTTGTTTAGACGCCTTTGCAGTTGGCAGTAGGTCTGTCTGTGTCTGACAGCTATAACCTACCTTTTTTTCCTTACGTACAACAAAACGTCCAGAGGGCACCACAAGTTCATCCCTATTGCCGCAACCTAGAAAACGAACCTCTATTAGACAAGCTTCTGCGAGCTCCCTTGCTGAGCGCAACCAGACCGACTGCTCCAACACGGCTAACATTTGGGTGATGCGCAACACCCAACCGTGATGAGCTCGTCGAACAGCAACCAATGGCCACCTAGGCGGCCCTCGAAACGGAGCGTGAGTTGAATCGGCTATCGTCCTTTTTCGGTGAAGCTTGTTGGCTGGTGTTGCGCAAATCGTAGCTGACCGCACGGTGTGATTCTAGAAGCTCCGAAATGGCACCTTCATCGTCCCAGGCACCGGCGAACGCAGCCGCCGCCAATTCTCTCTCCGCGGGTCGAGCATCGAGATTCCTCAGCCCGAAGTGAACGGATACCGATCCCTCTTGGCCGCCGAGTCGACGGGCGAGTCTCTCAATGTGGTCAAGCATAATATCAAGACCAGTGCCCTGCACCTCTGGGACTGGCTCATGTCTCCGGCGGGCAAGGGCGTGCTGAAGTGTACCTTGGCATACCTGTTGGCCAGTATGGCGACGTTCCTCTCGCCCATCTCGGCTTTCTTGGGGAAGCCTGATGGGAAGCACGTCGTCGCGACTTTGACGGTCTATTTCCACGCCAGTCGCACGTGGGGTTCCATGGTCGAGGCCGTCGCCATTGCCACCATAGCCGTCCTGTATGCCGAAATCATATCCTGCCTCGCCATGGCCTTTTCCGTTGTGGTAGGAGGCCAGCTCGGCCTCATCCCGCTGTCTCACGTTCTCATCTTGACGTTCTGCATCGGCGGCGGCATGGGATTCATCGGGTGGGTGAAGCAAAGGCTGAACAACCCCTTGGTCAATGTGGGATGTACCCTTTCTTCGATTGCAATCATCGCTGTGGTCACTAGAGAGGAAGCAATCCACGAAGGGCACTTTTCCGAAGCTAAGATTGTACAAGTACTTAAGATGTTGGCTATAGGCATTACAATCACGGCAACGGTCAACTTCTTTGTCTGGAGAGTGTCGGCACGGGCCCTTTTGCGTTCCTCGATGAACTCGGCCGCGGTATCACTTGCGGACATGCTCTCGATGATTACTCGTGGCTTCCTGAATGGTTCTGAGAACGAGATCATGTCGGGAGACTTTGGCCAGGTTGCGAGACTGTACAAAACGACGTACGGGAAAATGACGAAGAATCTTAGGGAGTCAAAATTGGAACACTGGGTTCTTGGACGGGAGAAAATCTATAACCTGGAAAAGAATCTCGTCAAGTCGTTGGAATCACTCTCGCAAGCCATAGGAGGTTTGAGGAGTGCGGCGAACACGCAGTTTGCCTTACTCAAGGAGATGCCGCAGGATCCCATGGGCGGACAGCTTTCTCCCGGAAGCACGGTGTTCTCACCAACGCTGTCTCGCGCCATGTCCCAATACCTCAAGGGTGCTCGGGATCGGTTCGCGACACTGGCATCAATCGAGGAAGATGACGAGTACGACGATGATCTGGATAGCCACCCAAGCCCTGAGGCAACCCCAGACGGCCCTCCGGCGCCACTGCCTACTTTCCGCTCACCGTCAGAGATCTTTGAGCTCTTCATAGCGCTGCTGGGCCCCTCGATGAAGTCTTTGGCATACACTCTTTCGGAGATCCTGAGAGAGCAAGCTTTTGCAAAGGGAGCAGACTCCAAGATTACAGTCAACCCTCATTTTAAACATAGTTTAAAGGACGCCATGGCGCTGTACAGCAACGCAAGAACTCACGCCCTGCAAGAGCTCTACACTAGTATCGAGCTGGGCCGAGCGAGGTCAGAAAAGATTCAAGCAGACATCGAGGAAGTCGCGGCCGCCTGCGGACATTTCAGTTTCAGTTTGCAGCACGTAGCAGAGGATATTGATGCATACTTGACAGCCTTGGAAGAACTCAAGTATAATCGTGAGATGGGCTCCCGCAGCTGGAACTGGCTGAAGGTTTGGAAGTACTTTTCCTCGCCCGCTCAACCCAAGGAATCCGATCCTAGCAGCATGGATACTGAGCGTTTGCTGCATCAACCTATGGAGCCTCCGGAGCAGCCTGTTCGTGCCATCAGGAAATCGGCTCTTCCCAGGGGTATTCCCGACACGATGATCAAGCGCAGAGATACTTTTAGCTGGGATGCCGCTCCCAACGCGAGCATGATTATGAGATTTTTCTCGCAGCAGCTTCTCAAGGGTCTGAGGGTTTTGGCTCGCGATGACAGTAAGTGACTGGTACTCAAGGAGTGCTTAGGCACAGCTAATGATTTGGGCAGTCCGATTTGGTGTCAAAGTCGGCTTTGGAGCGATGCTTTGGGCAGCATGTGCCTTCATTCCAGCAACAAGACCGACGTATCAGCACTGGCGAGGCGAGTGGGGCTTGCTATCTTTCATGATTGTCGCGTCTATGACTGTCGGAGCAGCCAACACCACGGGCACTGCAAGGTTTATTGGCACCATTGCCGGAGCTACCTTTTCCTTGACGGCGTGGGCCATCAGCCAAGGAAACGGGGTCGTCCTCGCGTTCCTGGGCTGGATGGTCAGCTTCTTCAGTTTCTACATGATGCTCGTCAAGAACAATGCCCCCTTCGGTAGGATTACGCTTCTCGCCTGGAACGTCACTGTTCTCTACGCCTATTCGTTGTCACAAAAGGTGGATGATGACGATGACGATGAGGGAGGTTCCAACCCTTTGATGTTTGAAATTGTCTATCACAGATTTGTTGCGGTGTCTTTGGGTATTCTATGGGGTATCTTTGTTTGCCGGGCAATCTGGCCCATCTCGGGCAGGAAGAAGTTCAAGGAAGGTCTTTCAGTACTCTATCTCCAGCTTGGCCTCATCTGGAAGAGAGGACCGTTGGCTATTCTACTCCGAAGCGACAACACGAGGTCGTACATGAAAGCCGGAGAAGAGCAAGCACTGCAACGCTATGGTAAGAGACTTACTCCCTAAACTCCAGCATAACGCATACCGCTGACACAGAAAATAGCCTTCAAGCTTGAAGCCTTGCGTAATTCCGCAAAGAGCGAGTTCGAACTTCGTGGCCCTTTTCCTGATGCCGCCTACGGCCGCATCATGCAGTCTACCAGCAAGATTCTCGACGGATTCCACGCCATGCGGCTCGTAACCTCCAGACGAGGGCAGTTGTCCGCAGGCGAACGAGCTCTGCTCGAGTACACGGCACCAGAGCGCGCGCAACTTTGCGACCGCATCTGCCACGTTTTTCAGGTGCTCGCAAGCTCCATGATGCTAGAGTACCCGCTCACCGACGCGATCCCGTCAGTGGTGGGCAATAAGGACCGACTGCTGGGCAAGATTTATCAGTTCCGCAAGGAGCACCAGCCTCCTTCTCCCATAGTTGGGAATGACTTCGGGGAGCAGCGACAGGAGGAGAGTGGCAACGGAAACGGCAATGTCGGCAGCAACAATAGCAGTAGCAACAACAACAACCAAATTACCAAGAATGGTGTGGTGTTGGAAGAGAAGGACTTTGCTCTGTTGTACGCGTACACCTTGGTCACGGCCCAGGTCGCGCAGGAGCTCGAGTACGTGCAGAGGGAGATTGAGAACCTCTTTGGCGTGCTCAATACGGAAGCGCTCTTGCTGCAGTAAAAAAAAGTTCCCCAATATACATAGAAGAAGAACAGGATGTTACTGGGTAGAGAGGTGGCGGCGGCATGCTCGCAGTAGAGATTGAGACAGTGAATATGAACCAAACAAAAAGGGGTGACTGGACGGACTGACTGACTGATTGACTTGACGAAACAGGCATGGCGTTTGGTTCCAACACTATATACATATATTACTAGGGATACCTTCCAAGGGGCTTTTGGGCTCAAGAGCGACGAGAGCATGGGTTACAAGGCATACATACATACAAGTAGTCGTAGTAGTAGTCATTGAACACTTTTAAACCCACTCTCAGCTGTCTCTCAATTGAAAATCGCCATCATGCTTCTTCGACCGGCTAGTCGATTCTGATATCATGTGATTTAGTTGTATTGTAGTATTGGAGTCATTGCTATTCTAGCTGTACAATAACAAGAAAAGTGTAGATTTGCGAGCTATCCCAGCTCGCTAGGCATGGCATCAATCATGTCCTTGACGGCAACGCACGACGCTTTTCCCGTCTTTTCTACCTGACAACCCAATCTGATGAGCCTCTTTTCCGTCGCCGACTTTTACTACATATCGAGCCTTCAGAGATCGTCAGATGCCAGGGGGACGAAAGAAGCATGCAACCTGGCGCCATCTGAACGCCATGCCATAGATAAAAAGTCGCCTTGTAAACGCCGAATAATAGACACAACAACATACGTACACTGTTTGGAAAAACAGTCTTGAACTCCCAAACTCGCTGCGTCATCTTCGTCAAAAATAAAACAAATAGCAACGTATATGGAACCATGGTAGCATCAGATATAACGCCTAGTTCCAGCCATGCTGCATCCGATCGGCGTCTTCGTGAATACGAAAGCCTACGCCTTCGTCGGCGCCAGGCACTTGCCAGCCACGCTGTGTGCTAGGATACTCGGATGGCTGGCTGCTCACCTCCGAGTGAACGTCGTCCTCGATCGTCGGCGAGAAGAGCGGGTCAATATTCTCGCCGTCGGACATGTGTTCCTGGTCCTCGATGCCGGGCCAAGGCTCATCCTCAGGCAGATGGACCTGCCGCGAGAACGATGAGTCACCCTCACGCTCCGGTGGCACGTGAGCTACCATCTCGATGCTGTAGTCGCTGTCGTCGTCGTCGTCGTAAGGGTTGGTGCTTCCGTAATCCGGATCGAGGTTTTCGTCATCGTCGGCGGGAGAATCATCCACCACAACGCCCGTACCCCGCGGACGGGTCTCGCCTAGCGGTGCGTTGCTGTACGGGGTCGCATAATAATGGGGCGTGATGCCACGGGTTGACGGGTGACGCTCATCAGAGGGAATAACACCGGGCATCGGGCTTGGCGATACTGTCCATCGAGGGGTGTTAAGAGGGCGGCTCGGCGAACGAGTCGTGCGGCGCCGCTTGTAAGCAGTCGAAATGTTGGGAGGGTTGGGTCGGACTGGAACAGCTGCCCTCTGGCCAAATGATGATACACGGCGCTTGATCTGCGACGGCGACATGTTGGCGGGGACTGAGGGAGGAAGCGAGGCGGTGCGAATGTACGGTGGCTTTGTAATCCTTCCGTCTCTCACAGGGGTTTGCCCACGGGCTGCCATGGGACTAGATGACCGCATCGAAGACTGAATTGCAATATGATGCAGCGAAGGGGATGCCGAAACTCGCTGACCAGCTTGACGCATACTCAGAGAAGCTGGCGCGCTCACAGTCTCGTCAAGATGGTCATTCCACGTCCAGTGGTCCTCTTTCGCGTCGGCTTCGGGGACCTCCTGAGTAGCCTGAGAATCGGGGTAGAAACGGCTCATTTCGCGGAGGCGTTGCCAACTCCAGCCGCTCTCATACGATGGTAGATCTTGGAGATAGGCCTCAGGCTGCGTGATGAACAGACGCGGCTCAGATGATCGCATAATTACAGAGTTGAGAAACGACACGTCCCAGAGGGCAGGCGTTACCATCTCTGCCGGCGTCAAAAACCGGAGGCGGGAGTCTTTGTGGATCTTGCGGAGCGGTACCCATGGTTGCTGCAGGCCCAAAAAGCGACTTGTCTTATTGTCGAGGCTGCGTCGACGTGAGGCTGAACGATTACCGCCAGAAAGTTCGGTGAAGGCGGTGCCGAACGCAGTATGGATCGCTGCCTGGACACTTCGTGCGTCTGACCCTCTGACAGATATAGTTCGCACTAGACCGCGGCTCTTGAGTCTGCTGTTGATGATGCTGGTAGGACTACAGGCCTTTGCCATCAACCACGCGTAGTCATGTCCAGGATCAGCCCATTCTGCGCAGAAGGGTGACTGTGCTCTGAGTGTGTGAGAGCTCATGGTGTTGGGCATCTGAGTCCATTCATCTAAGCTCGAATTGCCATCGGATTTGAAATCCTGGAGCTCCACCCAGACCCTCCTCAATGGGAAAGGCAGATACACAACTTCAATCTCCCATGGCCGAGTAAGTGTGGGAAGCTGCGACTGAAGGTGGAGGATCTGAGACTGCAGCGTCTGGATCTGGCTGAAGATTTCGCCAGAATGGCCAGCTCGTGCGGTAGTCGTACTTGTAGCGACTGAAACAACGCTGTTGGTAGATTCGTCAAACGTCTGTCGGTCGGCGAGGCGACCTACAACACTGCCGTTATCATTAATGAGCTTTTCCACTTCCTCGAAGCGAACCTCAAGGTCGGTCACTCTGAGATCCGTGGCGTCATGCTTCTCATGACACTCATCGTGCCCGGCAGCGGAGAATGAAACATTCTCGAGTCGCTCGAGACGGTGTTCGTGACCTTGAACTGTATCCGATAGATGGCGAAATGTATCGCGAGAAGGCCCGGCAAAAACAGCATCCTCCTCTCGGACGCAGGGAGACAGAGCCCTCGGAGTGTCTGCACCATGATCACTGTGGACAATCATAGCGCTGGCGTCGTCCTTGGTAAATTGGTCCTGTGGGACAGAAGTGACGATATCCTGGAGTCTGTCCTTCCGTAGAGATTGCATGTTAGAAGTAGCAACACCACTAAGTGTTTGGAGACCTTTCCCAGAAAACGGACGAAGATAGCGAGCCTGGCTGGAAGATGTTGTCGAGCTGGGCTGAGACTGCATTAGGCATTGGACTGGTATTGGCGGTAACGAAGTAGAGCCATTTCCGGGCTGAGACTGAATAAAGTCGCCCCAGCTTAACGTATCCTGTAAAGTAGACTCCGGGCGCTGGCTAATATGGTCCACATGACGGGGCCTTGGTTCCTCGGGCTTGCTCGGAGATATAGCCATGGCAGTATCCAGGTTCATGAAGTCCATTGTCGGGGGGTATCCGGTGGGCACACGAAACGACACATCTGGCAATTGTACCGGGCTAAGCGGTTCCCTGGACATCCTTGGTCTCTCATTCTCCTGGCGAGGAATGTGGGTGGTGGGCGTGGGCGGAATCGCAGGCACAGGCGCGGGTGCTGGAGCCTCGCTCGCGGAGCGTCCGTCATCGTGGAAGCAGGCGTGATGCGAACACATGCACCAGACGGAGTTATCAGATCCCAGGCTATCTGTATACGCCTTCCCGGCGGCGAAGCGACTCCAGAATCGACGGCATCCGCACTTTGCTCCATTGGCGCCAGGTGTTAAATCCACATAATTGCATGCTCCTCCAGGAAGTTGGACAGGGTTGCGCTGGGCAGCGCCGTCGTTGTAGATATCGAAAAATGAAGAGCCCGGCAGAGGGGGATCAAAAGGTGTTGTTGCCATCGGTGGCAGCAATGCTCATCAGGGAGGTCGAGGGGATGTTCGGACGGCGATGGGATGGCGCGGGAGCTTGGGTCCCGGTGAGCTGGGATGTGAGGTCGACGATATTGGTATCGTAGGTCGGTGTCGGTGTGATGGAGGAAGTTGATTGAAACGAGACGAAGGAAATGCCTACGCGGCCCAAACCAGGGCCCAGCTGGGTCGCAATCCGAGAGACCTAGAACATTGCAGCAGCTGTGGTAGTTAGCCCTCTGTCCTCTGTCCAATAATAGGAGCTATGTCCTGGATTGAAGCTGGCACTCGCAAGCCAACTGGGGAAACCCTCAGGCCGTAGCACGCACCCGCGACGGAATAGATGTATAACAAATCGGGAAGGGGGAAGTCGGTTTCGCGAGAAGCTTCGTCTTATTTATATTTGCATGCGCCGGCTTGGTGAAGAAATGCACGAATCGAGCAATGCAGCAGGCGGACGAGACTGGCGAACGATTGAGTGGTGGGGGAGATGTTGTTGATAGAAAGTGAGGCGGTTACTGGATTGGGCAGCACAAGCACGACCGAGGGACCTGGCGTTGGTTGATGTGCGGATGGGCTAATCGAGGCGGAGGAAGTGGGAACCTGGAACAGCACTGGAAAGGAAATGCGCGACAAGTAACCGGGAACGAGGGAGAAGGGTAATTAGGAACGAGGCATGCGAAAAGGTGGAGAAGAGAAACATGAGTTAAAGCAGCAGGGCAAGCTTCGCTCAGGTTCACGGATATCGTTTGCTCGAGGTCACAGTGTATTAGCGAAGCAAGTGGGCTTATGCAAGTTGGCAGGAATGACTCGAAAAAGGTTGCAGGGGTCTTTGATTTCTCGGCTGCTGTCCTAAGGCTGCCGTTTGATATCTGTTAGAACAAGGTAAACGCTCTGGGTATTCGTATAAACCGTGGTGTGAATTGCATGTAGATGGCGGCAATTCAAGCTATGATGCGGCATAACACTAAGTGACTAAGTGCTCTAGGTGTGTGTGTGTGTGTGTGTGTGTGTGTGTGTGTGTGTGGGTTGGTGTGCCTGATGTCGTAGGATTTCGCTTGCATATGGATATCCCATGCTGCGCGCCATGTCGTACAATACACAAAGGCCCAGTGGACGCCTCTCACTCTGATGTGGTGGGCATCAGTGTCAGTCTGAAGCTACCTTAGCGAACCTGAAAAGCTGCCGTGCTGCTTGGGCGCTTCTGCCGCGCAAGATCTTAACCGGCCAGGCCCGTTGCAGGCCTCCATAGCAGCATGGGAACTTGCCTGGGAGGCGACGGGATGGATGCCCACAGCAGGCGCGAGAGCAGGCCAGCAGGCCAAGAAGCAGGGGGAAGAGACAGCAGAAAAAGAAAGATACAAGGATCAGGAGTGATTGGATGTCGACGGCCAGAAACGCGTCTTCGTCTTGCTTGCCTGCCATGGATTAAAGTGGTCGGCGTGAGGCCCCGCCCGCGTATCCTTGCAAGCTCCGCGTCCTCGGAGCCCCGATTGGCATCCAGCGGAAGTATCCCATTGGCCCGACGCCAACTTCGAGCGACTCGGCCCCCCTCTTCTGTTCCTCCCATACCACAGTACGGAAGAGGTACTTTCCCACGCCAGCCTCTTTCCCACCGCAACTCTGCATGACCGGGGTTCTTTATATCTTCTCGAGTCGCAACTCTAACGTTCACAGTGTTTTTATTACGTAACAGGGATAGTAATCGCACCTCACGAAGTTCCCGTTACGTACTAAATTACGTATCTATTTTAAACATTATATATATAGACCTTTTTCTTTTATCTATTTCTACTTTAATAATTAAGCTACTTTTATTATACTCCGTATACTTATTATTATATACTATAACTCGTAATAATTATAAGCTTAGCTCTTAATTAAGACCTTATATTACGATAACGTACTTATTAATATAATTCTTACGATTTTTTTAAAATAATTAACTTATTTATATTTATTTTAACTTAAGCTAAATTAACTAGCTATAATAATTAAATTAAATAGTTTAACGTACTTCGTACTATAAGTAAAAGCGTCGGGGTTTAGAAGTACGTCGACTTAGATACTTTAAACTCCGACGTATTCCTTAACCCCTTTATAGCGCTTATTTTACCCTCTAAATTCGGACGATTAGTTATAACCTATAATAAAAAAGAACTACGAGCTTATTAAGCCCGTTATAAAGCGTTTAAAAATAACTAAAGAAATTAAGAAATCTTTTATTAATAGCTTTTAAATATAACTCTTAATACGAACCTTTTAACTTCCTTAAATACAAATAACTTATAGGACTAAGTTAGGTTTCTTTTTATAAAGCTAGTTATATTACTTATTTTACATAAATAAATCTATCCCTATATTATATTTATAAAAAGGATCTATATACTTAAGAGTATTTAAAAATAATAAGAGCTTAATATTAAATATAAGTAACTTATAGCTTATAAACGTAATACTATTAATACGTATATTAAAATCCTTACTTAGTAGTTAGTAAAATTAGTTAACGCTATATTATATAAATACGTATTTTAAAAAATTATTAAAAATAGCGTTAAGTTTAATATATAGCGAATTATTAAATATTTAAAATAAGAATTTATACCCCCCGAACTAGTAGTAAAAAATACGGTTCGAGAGGAATATTAATAAGCCTTTAATAAAGCAAAGACCGGAATTAACCCCTAACGCTAGTATAAGGAGTAGTAATTTACTTATTTCTAAGCTAAAATATACGATATTTTAGAAATTAATAAAAAGATCGCTATACTTAACTTCTTAGTTACGGTTAAATCTAAACTTAACCTTATATAGGGCTAACGTATATATAAAACCTTTAGTAAATTAATAGCCTTTAAAACGTACATAAGGATACTTAAGGAAATTGCGTATATATTTAGCTTAGTAACTTAGGACGTATATACTAAACGACTTTTAAGTTAAAAAGGGGCTTATTCTATCTTCGCTAGACGCTCTAACTTAGTTAATAATATAAATAATAAAAGTAACGTTATATACTTTTATAATTACGTATACTTATAGCGCCCTATAGTATACTAAAAATTAAAATAAGTATTTATAAACCGAAACGCTAGTAAGTTATTAATACGAATACTAAAGAGCTATATAGAAAAAGTCCTTACTATTATTAAATTAAGTAAATAAAAATTACTCTACGGTAAGCTTAAAAAAGCTAGTTAGCTAAAGAATAATAGAACCCCTAAGAAACCTAGGTTTTTAAAAAGATCTTTTAACTAACTTATAATAAGCTTATTAATAAACTAAGATAAGGGCTACGTAATTACTATACTTATAAAAAGTTAGGACTTAAAAATAAATATAATTTTTAATACCCCTATAAATAGTACTTACCCCCTTTCTTAAAGTATAATAATAAATAGCTATAAAGTAATATATTTAGTTAATAATAAGAGCCTATTTAAACCTAAGAGTTACGTACTATTAAGTAATAATAACTATATTAAATTAGGAACTACTATACTACTTATTACTATACGTAATACTCGTATTATAAAGGGCGTTTTAAATAGACCTAAGAAAAAGGGAACTTATAATTTAAAGCTTTAAAACGTCGCTTATATTAAGGGATTTTATATTAATATAGTTTTAGAAACTCTACTAAATAAAAGCGTACTCTAATACTACGGTCTAGATTATACTTTATAATAAGAAACGTTTTATAAAAGTACTATTAAAAAGTAGCTTATTTAAAAAAATAATCTAGTTTTCTTTAAATATAAGCTCTTCTAATCCTATTTTTCTTTTATAAACCTTAAGCATATCCTATAGAGCCTAGTTAATATTATATTACTAATTAGCTATAGAAAATTCCGACGCTTATATTAATATACCCATAAGAGGTTTAATAACGCGCTCCTCTAGTACTTTAAAACAGGTTATTTCGGACCTAATACTCTTCGTTAATTATTATATAAGACTCGAAGTATACGTATTAAACCTCTATTATAAATTAAGTATAAAGTATATATATTATCTAAAGCTAAAATAGTAGTTTTAAGAGGACTATTTTTAAAAAGAGCCTTATAACTATAGTACCGTATATACTAAGATCTCTTTTATTTTAAACTATTTTTTAATAAATAATAATATATACTTATAGCTTCTAACGAATATAATAAGTAGCTTAGGGGTTTTTTTTTAAAAACTAAAATAGAAAAAAAAGTGCTTTTCGTATTATAGAGCCTCGAGGTAGTAATTTATTATTAAAAAGGGACTCTAATCTGCTTTTTTAAAAATAATAATAAGACTACTTTCTTAACTATAAACGTTAGATACGTATATAAGACGTAGTATAGTAAACTAAGAATTAAAATAGAACTTCTACCTCTATATACAAAAGAACCCGTAGGTAATACTAAAAAAGTAGGTTAACTCGTAATTACTAAAGCTTATAAAATACGCCTTTTTATAAACCTCCTTACGAATTTATAAAATAAAATAGTATTAGTAATAATCTTTATTTATAATATTACCCCACGGGAGGCTAATAAAGGAGATTCGCTTATTATAATAGAAATTAATTAGTAAAAGCGGTATTAATATTAGTAATAAACGGGTTACTAAGTATAGGATTCTAAATTAGTTACCCCGTATTTTAGTAATTTTTACGTATATAGCTACTAAGTATACTCTTTTTATAAAGATCGTAAGAGGGGTATATATTAAAAAGAGTTTAAAGTACTTCTCCGTAAGTATATAGGATACCTAGTTAAATATATACTAAAAACGTATAATTTATATAGGGTCTAAGTACCCGCACTTAAGTAAGTATTTATTATAAAAAATATTAAGTTTAATAAAAAAGTCTTTTATAATCCCGTATATAAGGAGTAAGCTATTATAAGCGAGTAAATAAATTTAATAATTTAAGAAATATAAAAACTCTTTAATACTAATAATAAGCTAGTTCGAGTACTTAGAGAAATAAATCTAGACTTCGGAAATAT